TTTGGGACGTAAAGGTAATTGGGACAATTTCACAGTAACAAATCGGAGTGTGGCATCTGCGGCCTTGCAAGGGAAAATTCGCAATTTTGACTTTTTAAAGACAACACCATGCTCCATAAGATCATTGTTATCATCATCTTTTTCGATATACAATTCCAAGTACTGAGTTGGGCCATCCCTCAAGATGGAACAAGCGTAGATCTTTGGGTGTTGAGCGCTGATTTCCTGCATACACTGGAGATCAGTGTATTCTTTCTTAACTGGAGTAATGTCGAGTAAGAAAGCATCCTCATGGCTAGCTACTCGATAAATTCTCGACTGAAATTCTCGCAAAGGTGAGTCTGCATCTTTGTCAGGTTCAACGATGCCTTGGTGCATGAGTGATACTCGAGTTCTAGCTGCTACACTAGCATATGATCTTAGTTGTTGGGTGGCTTTTAGGTTTGGGGATTTTTCAATCCCCGCAACCGACTGAAAGTGTTGAGAGTTGGGAAGAGCCATGACAAGTACATAAGTAGCATACTTGTAAGTCGGTATGAATGTTAACGGAGTTTGAAAATACATCTGTATTTTCTTGCATTCATGAGAAGTTCCTGACATCCATGCTTTCTTCCGTACCAAAAACAAAGCAAAAAACGTATGCTGAAGCGGCACGTCTTAAAAACGTGTCCCTCATCCACAACGATATCACTTCTCACCCAGAAGAGAATGATGATATTACCCGTATTCTGCAAACCAGAATTTATCGCTCCTCTCGCTCAGACGGAGCATACCTTTTCAATGTTACTGAATGTAAAAAACAGTATACTGATCAACAGTGTATGGTCGAGTTGAAGAAACAACACCCCAAAGTACACGCTTGTATGGCTCTTAGTGATGGAGCAATTCGTTACCTCGAAGTTTACGTGACTGATGCCAACGACGTAAATGACATCGCTCGAACTGGTATCAATTTCAGTGAAGCAAAGCTGCAAGTACTTCCTTGCAAAGCGATTGCCGACCAATCACAGGTCATTAGGTTAAAGCTCTCTCATTTGCCTATGTTTACTTCAGAAGAGGTGCTCAGTGGGCTTAATACTAGTTTAGCAATTTTTGGAACCATAGGTAGCGGATATGTAGTACTTGACGTATATCAGCCCAAGAATACTCCTCCCTCCATGAAGTTTCAACAGCTAAGTCACCAGGTTAATTGGATGGAATCAAGTACTGAAGTCTTCCGAGCCACTTGGAACAACATGCCTGTGATGTTTGGGTTGTGAATGAAGATATAATAGAAGATAGAAAGAAAAAACAAAAAAATACAGTGAGACTGTTCAGTACTTCTTTATTACAAAAATAAATTGATTGTTGTCTAAAATATATCTTTTCCAGGTTGTCTTCTATACTACCTGATTTATTGACTAATTATGATTACTGATTATTGATTACTTAACACCTTGACAGCGTGTGCCTGGGAATTGATTATATAAATTCTCCTTTAATTCTCCTTGTTACCTAAAAGGTACAATTATGGTTTCCTTATTTGTAAATATCCATATTATCCCAGTTACCGTTATTTACTGTCATTATACAATGCTTACTTTATATTTATAATGTATAGTGCTATAAGTGATTATTCATTTATATGATGAAAGATTATTTATTATATTCTGTATTAAAAGTGCTCAGATCACTACAATGCCAACGTGGTGCCGATATTGCCATCAAGATGGTCACACCAAATTTACTTGTGAAACTTCTAGAGCTCGCATTTTATGTTACTCCTGCCATGAACAAGGACACCGATCTTACGAATGTCCCCGAAAGTATTCGACAAACATCTTAAACAAGAAACAGAACAGAAAAACAGGCAAGTCTCTTGAACGTAAGATCACCAACCGTGCGCAGTCAGTCGAGTCCCCAGCACCTAAGGAAGACCAACCTCATGTCACTGCAATGAGTAATACTCCAGAGAAAGAACACTCAGAGAAAGAGGATCCAAACGAAGAGGACATACACATGGATGACAGAGTGGAATGTACTGATGACGAAAATGACCCTCGATACTTGGAGGAAATTCAAACCTATGTTGATGTTGTATACACAGCATTATTCATCCCTTCTTACACTAGTTGTGCCTTAAAAGAGCAAGTATTAATATCATGTATAAATATATCTTTCAATCACAGTTTTATCCGCAGCTTCGATGGATGTCTTCCATCTTAGTTTAAACATGTTAAAGATCAGACCATCACATAATCACAAATTGACATCTGCATCAATACCAATGGTAGACGAGGTCTGTGCCCTGATTATGTACCCAGTTCTTGTGTACCTTAATCCACTCAACCGATTAGCTAGTGTATACACACTCAGTCCCAAATCAAGGATAATCAATTATCATACAAACAGTATAAATACAATACAAAATATAACCTTTAATAAAGCAGACTTCTTTTGGCCGTTTTGGTTCTAATCGACTTATTGATTTGATCATTTTATTAGTGATTATATCACATTACATCAGAAATAGACATAAAAGAACCTCTTGTACTGAATAAGACAATGTATCTTTTAATAGATCAAGACTTATAACCGAAATCCATAATTTACATTATTTAATTAATTTAAAGTAGTCTATGATAATAGAGACTCAGTCATTTGCATGAACTCTACTACTACTTACTCCGACATCTCTTCATGTATAAATATGCTAGAATAATTTATAATCAAAAAGAACAACAATAAAATTGTATAGAACAGTCTCAAAGTATCTACCTTTGTCTCTAAATCATCTTATTATATAGCTCTATTATCAAAACATCACAGGCATCATGTCTCCGGATGCTGACAATACATTGCTACCCTTTTTCTCTAGAACTCTTCGCCGTCATGACCTTTGTCATCCCACTTCAGTTGTCAATGGTATTTATGCTGCCTTTGATCACTTTGGTATCAACTTCAAACTTGATAATGTGCCTCTTGCCAACTTGCTTTACTTTCCGCTAATTAACATGTTTCAAGAGGTACCTCAGAACCACTGGCTTCATCGACATTCAAAAGTACCAGCATCTCTCTTCTTCCTCTTTGACAAACAGAGTAACCGGTTACGCCTGAAGGTTCGCCATGAATATGGGACATTACCAGGATTGTGCCATCAGCTCTTTATAGACGTTCTTCGTAGACGAACAGTAAAACTTCAATCTTTCCTGTGGCAATATATTACACAAGATGTACACCATCTACTGTATCTGTCTATGATGCTTTGACCAAGCAATTAACTGACACAAGATTGTGGCGCTCTTTCACTTCTAGGGATTTCTGCCTGCATCCTTATGAAGACAAAGCTAAATCACAATAAAGGCTTCTCATACTTCACTCTCTCTGTTTTGGAGGACTCCAATGCTCCCTCAGGCTAGAACACTGTGGTATCGTGTGCTTCACAAGAAACTGCCCACTGCGTCCGAACTTTTCAAGATTGGTACTGTCTCTACTCCTGTCTGTCGCTGTGCAAATCACAACCGGAATCGTATGATCATTTCATAGCCCACTGCTCTACCAAGTGGAGTGTTTGGTTGGAAATACTGAACTGCTACTACCCTCTGGTATACTTTACTCCGTCCTCCCTCCACAAGGTTCTCACTCTTCAAGCCTTTCCGCCTGCCATTACAAACCGCTCCAAACTTGTATCCATCGTTGCGATAGCTCAATGGAATATCTGGAAATCCTATTGGAACCTGATTCTTAACCAGGTTGCTTTTGAACATTATTGTATCATTTCAGATACAATTTACCAGGTAGCCTTAGCTACAAAAAATCACTCCTTGCTAAAATAGCCCTGATCATTGTATGATCTTTACTTCGTCTTTCTTTACTCCTGTTTTTCGACGTCCCACCTCTCTACGATGTGTGACTAATCAATAATATTGTAAATAAAATCCAACTACAAAAAAAAAAAAAAAACTTATGTACTTGTAATGACAGAAAAATGAAAAACCTGAAGATTTCATATTTTCTGCTTAAAATTAGAAAAAAAGCCAATTTTTCAATTTTCCTGCCTTAGATAAATAAACGAGTCTACCGGATAATGGCTTTACTGTTTTAGTTAAAAGAAGAGATTAATGGTCGGTAGATTTGTTTTTAATTTGAAACAGAAAAATCGAAAAACAAGCTTTTTTCAAAATTTCAAGCAAAAATATGAAATCTTTTACTTTTTTATTTTTTATCATTGCAGAAAATATTTTTGATTTATTTTACAATAATGGTTTTAATTCTAAAATAGCGATTTTATTGCTTTTCAAAAAATATTTTTCTGAGTAGGCAAATGGCATACTTGTAATTTCGGCATAACTGTCAATATTTTTATGATGTTTGAAAATGTTTTTTTTCTTTTTTTTTTTTAGGTAAGTCCATCACAATGACAACGAAGGCCTGAGGTATACAAGTCTTTCTATAACTTTCTCTATTGCCCTAGTTACTTTTTTATAGAGTTGTCACTACAGCGTAAGCGATGGAAGAAAAATGCAGTTGCTCACGCTGTAGTGTATGGTTACCATGGCTACTATGGCTACTATGGCTGTCGTAACTATTCTGCTGCAAGAGTGAACCTAGCCAAAAAATTGATGATCAAGAGCATTCAATAAGGATATTGAATTACAGCAGTTGTCATTTGGGAAGAGAAGACGCTGTCAACGGCTAGTAGTTGCTTTTTAGAAATGATTTTCAACTGCCGCTTGCTTGATTCGAGTTTGCTAAAATTTATGCAAAGGAAGGGTGTAGTTGACTTTTGAGCCTGGTTTAAAATAGAACAAAGCAGCTGTTATGAGATCAAGAGAGAGTAGATATAGAATAAGAGAGAAGGTAAGAACACAGAGAAAGTCCGTTAGAACTTGTATAGGTTTTTATTTCTCCAAGAAATGTTATCTTTCAATTGCTATAAAATGTCGAGGTATTTATACTTTTTCTTCTCGGTCAAAATATTGTTTTGGGGTTAGCTTCTTGACTACGGATTGATTTGTTAGATCAGGAGCAATTAAGAGAAATGCCTTTAGAGAAAGTTGTCAGCTCAGCCAATAGTGCATGATCTGACCTGAACTTGAATAAACTATTACATATTTGTCAAATGCCAATGCCAATGTATTTGTCAGCTCTAACTGTCACTTTATGAGGGCCATTAATAATAACAGAGTCACTAGGTTCATAATCTCTGTCTATGAGGATGATGTAGTACTTCTAGTAGAATGAGTGAATGTCAGTGACTATAGATCCATTGCAATTGCCATAGATGTGATCTGGTTTTTTGCCATGATCATCATTTATTGATCTATGCATATGAATTCATATATGTTCACAACAGAGTTTCATCTATAGTCTAGTGAGTGAGTATAATCAGCGCATTGATTTCGTTTTGGTCAAGCAGAGACTGCAAAAATCTACAAAAAAAAAAAAAAAAAAAAAAAAAAAATATCGCAAAGCTCGCAAACGTCAGAAGTCTTCTATGGGCATAAGTAATTTTCCAAAAAAAAAAGTTATATTTTTTCTATAAAATGCTAACATTTATGCCGACATGGCAAGTATGCCATTTATGTACCTGAAAAAAATATTTTCTGTAACCAAAGAATTCCTAATTTTTTTTTTTTAGAAAAACCTGTTTTTTTATTTTTCTTTTCAAATAAATAAATGAGTCTACCGGATAATGATTTTACTATTTTGGTTTAAAAAGGATATTACTGCCTGGTAGATTCGTTTTTTAATTTAAAATTGAAAAACTGAAAAGCAAGCTTTTTTTCTTTCTAATTTTAAGCAGAAAAATTAGAAAACTTCTTTTTATTTTTTTTGTATTGCAAAAAAATACTTTTGATTTATTCTAAGACAGTGGTTTTTACTTTAAAATAGTGGTTTTTACTATTTTTCAAAATATGTTTTTTTGAGTACGCAAATGGCATTGTGGTGTTTAGGTTGTATTACACTTCGAGCCTTGTGATCTTTGTTGTTATCTTTCTTTTATTGGTTAAATTCGAACTTGCACTACTTAAAATATATATAAAATAAAATAAAACTAAACTATGTATCTTTATCTTCTTTGGTGAGAAATATTTAATTGAAGAAAGACACGGGAAGAGGGGGCGTGAACAACAAAGATCACTTCGCTCTCGTGTAATAATTTCAATACTTCATGTATTCGTATTTACATAATATTAACTTGAGGTTCGCTAACATTTATGCCGATGTGCAAGTATACCAATTGTGTACTCAAAAAAATATTTTTGAGAAAAAAATAGAAACCATTACTTTAAAATAAATCAAAATTATTTTTTGTAATGACAAAAAAAAAAAAAATATTAAAATAAATCAAAATTATTTAATTTTCTGTTTAAATTAATAAAAAAAAGCTTGTTTTTCAATTTTTCTGTTCTAAATTAATGAACGAGTCTACCAGATGTTAATTTGCTTTTTTAGTTTAAACAGATATTACTACTTGGTAGACTCGTTCATTAATTTAGAACAGAAAAATTGAAAAACAAGCTTTTTTTTATTAATTTAAACAGAAAATTAAATAATTTTGATTTATTTTAATATTTTTTTTTTTTTTGTCATTACAAAAAATAATTTTGATTTATTTTAAAGTAATGGTTTCTATTTTTTTCTCAAAAATATTTTTTTGAGTACACAATTGGTATACTTGCACATCGGCATAAATGTTAGCGAACCTCAAGTTAATATTATGTAAATACGAATACATGAAGTATTGAAATTATTACACGAGAGCGAAGTGATCTTTGTTGTTCACGCCCCCCTCTTCCCGTGTCTTTCTTCAATTAAATATTTCTCACCAAAGAAGATAAAGATACATAGTTTAGTTTTATTTTATTTTATATATATTTTAAGTAGTGCAAGTTCGAATTTAACCAATAAAAGAAAGATAACAACAAAGATCACAAGGCTCGAAGTGTAATACAACCTAAACACCACAATGCCATTTGCGTACTCAAAAAAACATATTTTGAAAAATAGTAAAAACCACTATTTTAAAGTAAAAACCACTGTCTTAGAATAAATCAAAAGTATTTTTTTGCAATACAAAAAAATAAAAAGAAGTTTTCTAATTTTTCTGCTTAAAATTAGAAAGAAAAAAAGCTTGCTTTTCAGTTTTTCAATTTTAAATTAAAAAACGAATCTACCAGGCAGTAATATCCTTTTTAAACCAAAATAGTAAAATCATTATCCGGTAGACTCATTTATTTATTTGAAAAGAAAAATAAAAAAACAGGTTTTTCTAAAAAAAAAAAATTAGGAATTCTTTGGTTACAGAAAATATTTTTTTCAGGTACATAAATGGCATACTTGCCATGTCGGCATAAATGTTAGCATTTTATAGAAAAAATATAACTTTTTTTTTGGAAAATTACTTATGCCCATAGAAGACTTCTGACGTTTGCGAGCTTTGCGATATTTTTTTTTTTTTTTTTTTTTTTTTTTGTAGATTTTTGCAGTCTCTGCTTGACCAAAACGAAATCAATGCGCTGATTATACTCACTCACTAGACTATAGATGAAACTCTGTTGTGAACATATATGAATTCATATGCATAGATCAATAAATGATGATCATGGCAAAAAACCAGATCACATCTATGGCAATTGCAATGGATCTATAGTCACTGACATTCACTCATTCTACTAGAAGTACTACATCATCCTCATAGACAGAGATTATGAACCTAGTGACTCTGTTATTATTAATGGCCCTCATAAAGTGACAGTTAGAGCTGACAAATACATTGGCATTGGCATTTGACAAATATGTAATAGTTTATTCAAGTTCAGGTCAGATCATGCACTATTGGCTGAGCTGACAACTTTCTCTAAAGGCATTTCTCTTAATTGCTCCTGATCTAACAAATCAATCCGTAGTCAAGAAGCTAACCCCAAAACAATATTTTGACCGAGAAGAAAAAGTATAAATACCTCGACATTTTATAGCAATTGAAAGATAACATTTCTTGGAGAAATAAAAACCTATACAAGTTCTAACGGACTTTCTCTGTGTTCTTACCTTCTCTCTTATTCTATATCTACTCTCTCTTCATCTCACAACAACAGGGAAAAAATATATAAAAAAGAAAAAACAAAAAAAATAATTAAACCCCTCTTAAACATCTTCACACTCCTTTACAACAGTCATTTAATTCATGCAGACAATCAGCAACTTTAATCAACATTTTCAAGACGAGTTTCCCAAAGCATAGCATTGTGTGTCCCCTCCTTGTAGCCATGTTCATTCAAAGCCGGACGTATAGCTGAAAGCCCTGCTGTCTTTCCCCTATACTTCCACCCTTCTTCCGCCCTTTTTTTACTGTCTATTTCTCCTCACATAATTTTTCATCTTTTATGATGTTTTTTAAATCTCTTTGCTTCCAAATCCTGATATCTGTATTTTATTTTGCCCGCTCAATGGGATCGTTATACAGTATCATTAATATGCGAATATTAGTAAAATTTATTCTTAGCATACATGATACAGCTTTTACAAAATTTAAAAGTCACGTGATCCTTGGCCATGGCTTGCTGTATTTACGTCTTTTGATTGGCTTGTTTTTGTCTGAATTCAAGAAATGTGCATTTTTTTAATTTGTTTTCTTTGCTTGCATTTATGAGTACCTGTGTTGAATGTGGACAGTCCGTGGCTAACTTGTACACCCAGTACAGTATAGACAATATAAGACTAACTACTTGTGTATGGATAAAGAAAAAATAACTCGAACCTCTGTTTCTAAAGACATAAAGCTTAGGAGCGTTGCAATCAGTTTGCCGATAAATACGTTGAACACGACTTCATAATCATCTTTATTGATATGTTATTACATAAACCTCAGGTGTACCGGCACTTACTCTTTAACCGTATTACGAAACAAGATGGTGTTGAAGTAAAACTCGTCCTTTATTGTATATCAACTGCTTATTATACTTTAAATTAGCCTCATGTATTTCGATTTGCCATTTTGCTGATACTTTTTGAAGTTTGTAAGTATGACAATTGACTGAGAGTAATAATAATACAAGCATGCAGATATCAAATGGTTTCGACTTGAAAGATATTACACTGAATATGATTCACAATTCATACATCAACCATTGTATTATCAGTATTTATACATTTTGACATTATGCGTTATTGGTATAAACATTTATCAAAGAAAAAGACTTGATTTACTTACCAGATAAAATAGAGTTTATTGTCTTTCATTGCTGCATTAATTTAGTGATTCGATTGTACTTGAAAAAAAGAGACAATATTAGGTAAAAAACAAAACAAAACAAAAAACATGGTTCATTGAGACAAATATATTAACCAAGAGGAACAGACACAATTACGTATCAATGGCATTGATCATATCGAGCTTTGGTAAAATGTTATTAATACTGATGGTGATTTGGGACTACAAACAGCTGGAATATTCATGGCTTGTCAATATCATTGTCTTGGCCTCAAATACTGAAGCTATGTCAGGTAGTGTGTAATGTATTTTCTTAAGCAGTTATTCATTCTTATCATAGTCTATTTGAATACTCCTTATTTCCAAACACTACTCATTATCTCGTTTGGCATTGTTGGTCGAATCTTTGCTCAGTTTCTGTTTTTATACTTTACTTATTTCAATGACCATCCAAGTGGTCTTGATTTATTTTTTACAAAATCAAGATGGATTAGCCTGTAATAGCTAGTTGATATTAATTGATTCAAATTCATGATTCACATAGGATCCATGAAAAGTGACAGCAGTAAATTGTCCAATCTTGATACGTGCTAATTCTTTCATGCTAGAAGCATCCAAAACAATAAAATAACAGCAATCGAAATTATTTACCAATGTCAAAAGAACACCATCATCTTGAGCAGAGCCTTTTGGGTCTGGAACAAAGATAGGCTCAGAACAAGAAAAACCCTCAACAGCATATGTTTGTGTCTTGCGTTCGTTGAGATCGACTTTGATTAAGCCAATCGTTTCATCTCTTATCTCGGTAAATGGCTGTAACTGACAGCCATAGACATACTGATTATCAGCCTTGGTTGTATAATCTTGATTATAACGAGGAAATTCAACATTCTTAGCCAATGTATCAATGGATTCCACGCTTGATTGATTAAGGTTCAGCTGATATCTAATGAGATCGCCAAAAGAGGTTTGGTGGCGAGGAGGATGCAATATGCCATTTATGAATGTTGTTCCTTGAGGAGTAGGGGCAGAAGGCCCCTTGTGGCGAGGTACGCCAAAAGTATGGAGTTGATGCATAATGTCACCATTTGAGAAAGAAGAGCAGTCCAAATTGAGCAAAGTATCACCTGTTTTGGGGCATTGGCTTTCAAAAGCATTAGCTACATGAAAAGTAAAGAAGCTGGGAACAGGAATTGATGCTACTAAACCACCTTGTCTGTGAAACACATGACAGTAGGTAGGCATGTCTTTATCCCAGCCCATACTTGTCAAAGCAGAACCATAGAGGAGCATGTTTTTTCCACCATCTTGGTAAGTCAAAGGCGCTTCAGGAATAATCACATAATTCTCAGTAAGCCAAAGTGAGTGAATATAAGGTGCTCGAATGGGTGTGTTATTATGGCGTCGAGTAATATCGGCTAATACAGTTACTTTGCCTTCATTAGTAACACTAAAGACAATCAATCTAGGACGAGGTCCTATTGTCAATGTAAAATTGAAGATTTCTTTTGTTACAGGGTCATGTTGATGATGAGCAGCAGACAAATCACCCTTCAGACGAGAGTCAAAAGTAGTGTAGTCAAAGATACGTTCGGGTTCTGAAATACATGAGTATACACGCCAATATAAAAATAAAGACTTACCCAATGTTTCAGCATGAATCTTTTGTAATATGTTGGCATCCGTCTTAGAGACAAGCACATGTTCATTTTCTTTGGACATAGAAGAAGGAAGTGGATAGTTGGGAGTAGCTGTTACGCCCACGGATTGGCCATCTGGTCTATGTTGATGTCTCGGCTGAGGAAACAAAACAATGTTGCTTAAACGAGCATAAAACTCGGAAATCCACTGCGAAAAGGTAACCTTGGGAATATGTCCAAAAAAGAATAGAAACCTGTATTTTTTTTCTTCTATTTCTTTCTGAATGGATTTAGCCAACAGTCTAGAGTTGTACTTGAGAGACTGAGCTTGACCATCCACTTGAAAACGATGCATAAAGGGTAAGCCATCAAATCCATGCCGGATTGAAAATACAGAACCATCCTTTTGCTTGATGTTGAATATACCAGGACCAATACGATACATGATGCCATTGAGCCAGGATGGGATATGTCCACTTTCCACCTGTAAACGAATAGGTTCTTGAACTTCAGTTGAGTCTGGTAATGGCTCTGGGGATATTATTTCTTGAAATTTGGCATAATTGACTTGGTAATAGCGATGAAGGAAGAAAAGCCCAGCGGCAGGCAAAGAGAGTAAAATCCACATATATAGATAATGAAGAGAAAAAAGAAAAGGCATAGCGCAAAGCGCACTCCTTTTATCTGCATAAATTTACCCTGTCGTTAAATCCTGTATTTTGATTCGCTTATCGAGTTGTTATTCTTATCGAAACACTCTAGACAAAAGATAATTCTCACTAAAATTTCAGGAGAAGACGTACTTGTTTTCTTTGTTCTTTTTATTTTCGCAAGTTCGAGCTATCTCAAAGATTGGTTAAAGAGAAGCAAACCTTTGAACAAAAGATAATACACCAAAACTTTTGTTAAAGGCCCAAAATGATTTTGCTCTATGATAATGTGGTCAATGAAGTGTGATTTATGTAATGCTATAATATTGTAATGACAAATGTAAGTTAATGCTGTTTGTTTCGTCTATCGGCTAATATGAACGCTTCTTTGATCATAGATTGTAAGCTTTGCTTTTGGCTCTCTGTATCTTCTAAGTCGTCAACAACTTCCTCGTCTTCATTAGATGAGACGTTCTTGTCGAGACGTAGCTTCATATTAGCCATTCTCAGAATATGTTCTTCTATAGAGTCTTTTGTGATGAGTTTGTAAATAGTAACATCTTTTGTTTGACCAACGCCTGTCAAAAAATAAATAAGTATAGTGTAGAACATAAAATATTGACTCACGATGAGCACGATCCTCGGCTTGCTTATCATTTTGAGGGTTGAAATCCAAATCATAGAGAATTACAATGCTGCCACAAGAAAGGTTAGATGATTTTCATAGCTGTGATACCTACTTTGCAGATGTCAAATTAATACCAAAACCACCTGCTTTAGTACTCAGCAAAAAGACTTGAATATCTTCATTTTCGTTGAACTCATCAATAAGGTTTTGACGTTCCATGACTTTGGTCTCTCCATCCAAACGAAGGTAGGATACATTCATAGTTTCCATTACGAGTTCAAGAATATCTAACATTCTGGTAAATTGACTAAAAATCAACACCTTGTTGCCTTGCTTTCTAAATCGAGGAAGCAGTACTTTGAGTTGGTCAATCTTTCCGGCATTCATCCATTCCTCATTTGATAGCTGGTACTCTTTGATAGCCTAACAAAATAGTTAAGTCTAATGATTCCTATACTCTATTCACTAATTACCTTTTCTTCTTTACATAGATTGTTCAGCTCAAAATCAGACATAACAGTCATATCTTCATAAATGAGTTCTTCTACAGAGTCCCAATACTTGACATCGCTTCTGAGCTTCTTGGCCATCGCTTTGAGCATATCATCCGTATAAATATTTCTAAACATAAGAGGATGGTCTACTGCTTTTCTGAGATGAACAACAATGTTTCTCATACTTTCATATTGCTCATTCATAGGTGATTTTGACTTGACTGGCTGTTTGTCTTTTTGTTCTAATGATTCTTGATATGTCTTTTTGCTCTTGATGATAATGTCAGAGTAAATTTCTTCTTGTCTTTGAGTCATAACACAGTATTCAATCTTTTGAATCTTTTCTGGTAGATCCTTGAGCACATTTTCTTTTCTACGGCGCAAGACAAAGGGTGTCATCATTTTCTTGGCTCTTAGAATTCGCTCCTTGGACAACATCTGGACAGTAGATACATTGGATTTTCCTTCATTCTTTTTACTGTCATTGTTTGCACCAGTGTTTCGAATCTTGAAAATTGATCGTACTTCTTCTTCAAAATTTGAAAACGTGTTGGGCATAATAAATGTCAAAAGAGACACAAGCTCTTGAAGGTTGTTTTGTAAAGGTGTACCTGTCAGCAAGAGACGGAAGGGTGTTGAAATGCTCATAAGTGCCTTGTATCGAGCACTATAGCAATTTTTGACCATGTGTCCTTCATCCAAAATCATAGAGCGACATCGAAGTTTCTTTAAAAAGACACGATCATCTGCATTACCAGCGGCCAATTGATAAGTAGTGATAATCACCTGGAATCCATGTTCTTTTCTTTCTTCTTTAAGATACATACGTTGCTCGGCTCTTTCATTCACACTACCATGATACAAACGTACAACTAGATTAGGGCAAAAACGTTCAAATTCACGAATCCAATTCTCGATAGTAGAAGAGGGAACTATGACCAAATGAGGACCAGTTTCACCAAGTTCATTGAGTCTTCCAAGAAACGTAATGACTTGAGCTGTCTTACCAAGACCCATTTCATCAGCCAAAATACCAGAGATGCCTTTACGATAGAGCAACAACATCCAATTGACTCCCATGATTTGATAATCCTTTAAAGTCAAATTTTTAGGGACGCAATCAGGTTGCTTGGTAAGATAGCCTTCAAGTGCATCTTGTTCTGCAGAACTTAATTTATGCTTATCCATATTTCTTTCGACTTTTGTCATGTGCAAGCCATCTGCCTTTTCATGCTTACTATGATCTTCCCAAACATCAAGCACTTTACGCAAATTGGATCCAACACTTTCAATTTTCTCAATAATGTAATCAACAGCAGTATATCCATCCATCATTTCTTGACAAGAGTTGATGTATTTAGCACTGGTTCCTTTTGTTCTCTTTAGTTTATCTTCCAAGTCTTCCATGTCGCTAAATGGTCTTAACTCTTCCACCACTTTATCAGCTTGTTCAGGCTTACAGCCAGTGACATCCTGCAAGTCCTTTGAAGTACACGTGTTGAAATATTTGAGCACCAATCGATCTCTTTGTGCTTCCGAGAGTCGCTTACGGTTTCTTTCATCTTCTTCGTCTTCTTCATCTTCATCATCTATTTTGTTGATCTTTACACGCTTGTATTTCTGGTTATCATCACTTTTACTGAGCAAGCTTAAAGCGCCAACAGCAGTACCTGCTCTACGGAGAGCATCACGGATATCTTCATGACTTTTTTTAGGATATATCTTTTGCAAACGTTCAATAGTCTCTCGTTCGGATGAATCATCATAAGTTTTGTTGATCTTTTCGTTTCGATCTACATATCCTTCATCATCTACATCCATATCATCTTCATCTTCTGAGTCACTAAAGACAATACGTCTTTTTCTAGCTTGAGAAATTTCTGTTGTCATAGGTGTGGACTGTACGTCGTCTTCGTCGTCTTCATCGTCGTCGTCGTCGTCTTCATCGTCGTCGTCGTCGTCTTCTTCAGAAGAGAAAATGTATGTCTGAATTTTTTTTGCTGGCCCTTTTTTACGCAAGATACGTTTAAAAGACACACTATCTTCATCATCCCCATTACTTTCGTCTTCTTCTTCCTCTTCTTCCTCTTCCTCTTCTTCAGAACTCATTTCTTGCTTCAGCTCCTTAGCAACTGAAATTGATTCAATTCTAGTCTTGGCCAAGTCCTTTGTCAAGTTCTCTGTACTGCTGTTGTTGCTGTTAATACTACTTCTAGCAAAAGAAGATAAATGTTTCAATTTGGAAGAAAAGGCACTTGGGTTGCTTTTCACAGTAGACAAGTTGCTACTCTTGAGAGCACTGTTGACATTTATTTTAGGGCGCTCTTCAGTTTGCCCTGCCTTTTTCACTGGTGAAAAAAATGAGTTGATAGTACGGTTGGCTTGACTAACAGAATATCCTTGTGGTGGAGACATACTGTAAACAGGAACAAAAGAAGAACAGAAAAAAAAAATTTTTTTTTTTCATTTGATTGTAACTCTGCTTGAAGCTGAGATTCGTTTTTTTAGTCACTTCCCTTTTTTAGACAGCCATTGTAACCAAAGTGCATTAGGGATACACAGGCATTGATCAGTCACAGAAGGACCGAAAAACGTGAAGAAAAAGGACTCCGCTTAATTATCTTGTTTAATCAATTTATCCTTTTCTTTTCTTTTTTCTTTCTAGATGAGTATAGAGAGCACTCTTGTCAAGAATATGTACACTATAAAAGAACATGTAACGTCAAATAACCCAAGAAAAAATTTTACTTACTTTTGTTCATAGTCAAGTCAACCAGAGGGCATATTTTGTAAGATAGCACATCACTCGTCAAGTACTCATAGTGTTTTGTTTTATAGTAGAGAATGAACCTCTTACTGAATCTATTCCAGAAACATTATATGAAAACAAAGGTATGAAGTACGTTTACTAACCACGGCTAATTTATAAAAGAATAGATTTAATAAATATATTTGAGCAGCATACAAAAGAAATTGAGCAAGAGCATGTTACAGAAAGTCTAGATGAGAAATCGGGGTAGACTAAAAATAGATCATGTTGATTTGAATTCTCAATTTTGACTATAGAAAACATAAAAAGAGATTCTTTGAAAGAATGAGGCTACATAAAAACAAAACAACAGAAGGACATGTTACTGAAGAAGAAGAGGACGAGGAAGACGATGACGATGATGAAGAAGTAGACGAGGAAAGCTCTTGCTCGATCACTTCTTTTGAAGAAGCCATTGTACCTCAAATAAGCATCTCAACTCCAAATTTAGTTCCCAACATTCAACTGAATGCAAAGCATATCAAAGTGAGTTTCCTTTTTTTTTAAAAAAAAAAAAAAAAAAAAAGGAAAAATATTGTCTAATGCCATATAGACCAAAAAAAAGCAAAAAAATAGAGATTTTTCTCGATTAGTTTTGGCTCAAACCATTGCTACTTGCTCCAGCACAGAGACAAATCATCGGTCAATGTCATCTGATTCAATGGCTGAGCCAAGTCCAAATCATCCATACGGTGCTATTTGGGCATTAAGATTCAGTAAAGATGGACGCAACTTGGCTTCAGCAGGCCAGAGTTGTGTTATTCATTTATGGAAATTATATGATCAAGTAGATGAAAATCTTGAATGCTCTACCATCAAAGTCTTGGATGAAGCCCATCATATGGAATATGCAGGACACAAGGCAGATATTCTTGAACTTGCATGGTCAAAGGTAAACAACAATAGTCCGATGCATGTTTGTTGATGTCTTTTTTTTTATAGAACAATTTTCTGCTGTCTGGTTCTATGGACCATACTGTAAGGCAAGTAGTTTTGTTCTCTCTAAATTGAATATAATAACGAGTAGTAGATTATGGCATTCGACTCAAAAAGACTGCTTGTGTGTATTTCAACATCCCAACGTTGTTACTTCAGTTGAGTTTCATCCCAAGGTAAAGAGACACTAAAATGTCAAATGTTAATCCTCTCCATAGGATGATCGATTTTTTGTGTCGGGTTGCATGGATAGCCGTATCAGAATATGGAGTATACCTGAAAAGAGAGTAGCATTTTGGAATGAAGTACCCGGAAACAAATGCATTACAGCTGTAGCATTTACACTAGATGGCAAGACAGTGATTGCTGGTACAAGCGATGGTCATTGCTACTTTTACGATACGCAAAGTCTAAAATACATTACTCAAATCTCCATCGCTTCCAAGAAGGGCCCCAAAATTACAGGTATAGAAATCATGCCTGCTATGTCTTCTGGAGAAGAAAAAATTCTGGTGACAAGTAATGATTCAAAAGTACGATTGTACAACATGAAAGACAAGAGTTTGATGCTCAAGTACAAGGGAGCAGAGAATAATTCATTGCAAATCAAAGCAACATTTAGGTATCTATGTTTTTTTTTGTTTGTATAAATGTTATACTAATCGTGATACAAAGTGACGATGGACGGTATATTATTAGTGGCTCAGAGAATTGCCATGCATATATTTGGCGTACAGAACAATCAGAGGGATCATCACCACTACACCAGCTTCAAGACGCAAGAAATAAAGCTATTTCTGCACTAGGCCATGTAGACGAGGCTACATTAAGCTTTCGTGGTTTTGAAAGTCATTCACCCACTCACCAACAAAAGAATGGCATTTCAAAATGGCTAAAAAGAAAAGAAAACACCACGAATGATAAAACACGTAGTCAGCCTGAATTCTTTGAAGCACATGATTATATTGTAACAACTGCTATCTTTGCTCCTACAAAAACCAGACAATATATTGCTAAATCAAAGCAAGACATCATATACAATCAATTAAGCCTTCGAAGACTCTCAACAACAAGCAGTAGCAGCCAAACGTCTAATACTGAAGAAAATGCTGAAGGTCATATTCTTGTTACTGCTGATTTTAGAGGCTTGATAAAAGTTTGGCGTATAGACCCAAGCTATTCAACCGATACCCAACCTTTGGACAACACAAGCCCTTCTTCAACTCGGTCTGCCGTGACTACACCTTCACCTAGAAGAAGAAATTTAGGATTGTTCACTCATTCACGTTACCCAAAACAATAAAGATTCCATTTCATAGCAAAACAAAACCGCATGTTTTAGTTTTATAACGAGGTAGATATTGTCTTGATTGTCTCAAGTATTTGTGTCATTATAAATTATTTGAACGACACAATATGGCTCTCTCTCCCTCCTTTACAATGTTGTGGCAATATTATTTTTTTTTTAAAAAAAAAAGACTTTGCATAACAGTGAGATTATAATTTCAGATTCAATAAAGTGTACAAGTAATTATACAAAGAGAAAACAGCGATAGGGATATATATATATAAACACGATACATGATGTTACTTGCACAGCATAGCAATCAATGCGCCACCAACGCTACCACCTTCAGACGCTACTTCCAGAGTGATTCTGCTACTTGTTTCCTTGCCATACCATTCATCGAGGGCTCTTCTGACACGCATATCCATATGAGGATAGAATTCAAAAGTGGAGCCGTTGATACCAACAACAATATCATCTCGGTCAACATCAAGAAGTCTTTGTTGATCAACTAATGCAATGATGGAGACGGCAGCTAGAGAAGCAGCACGAGTAGACACAATACGACAGATACGTGTCAAGATGGCTAAATCATCTGAAGTAGGAGTATTGACAAAGTTAAACGCACTCAAGATTTCAAGACTATCTTGTCGATCTGTCTTGTTATCTTTTTCCAAAGTACTCATGTACATGGTAGGAAAAGACCATTCTTCATCAAAACCTTCAGGAACATGACCTTCAAAAAGAACACCAGCCTCAATAAAGTCCATAGCAATAAGACGGGTTAATTCACCGAGATAAGCACCCGATAACATCTTTTCATACAGTTGGAACTTGGGTTGGTTGTGAGATAAATCAAGCGCAAGATCGTATTTTGTAAGAGGCAAATAAGCTTCGGTACCAAAGATGTCAATTTCGGTATTAATCAACATTTCGGTATCATTAGGATATGTTTCACGAATGCTTGAGTCCAATTTGATAATTTGAGGCACTTTTTCGGGGTAAGCAGCATTAATGCCTGTTGCAAAAATGAGACCAATACGACAAGTAGGATTAGTGTATCCATGAGCAACAAGTGTGCCAACAGTGTCATTGAGAATAGCAGTCACTCTTACATTCAAATTCTACAGACTGTTTAGCCAATGTTATAAGCATGATTGTTTTGATCATTACCTTGCGCTTAAAAGCTTCGTGAAACATATCTGCAAGGTCATGTCCTTCAGTATTTTGAAGAGTAAAGCCCTTTCCCATTCTGAGAATAACGCCGCGATCAACAGCAGTTTGACTATGAGATGTTAGTTTCTCTTCATCAACACAAGATGACTTACTCAACAGGAAAACTCCAACAAACACCTAAAGCAAGCGTGTCTTGACCAGAGACTTGGGCTTCAGTAAAAAGATGCTTTGCTTCAACTGTAACAAGGTCGCGAATAGCATCAGCAATCCAGTCAAAAAAAACAGAGCCTTCACCAGTCTTAAGTTCTACCGTGGGACGACGCTTGAGTTCATGAACAACAGATTTTCCAGCGCCCTTGAGCTCAACAGCAGCAATGCGTAGATTTGTACCGCCTAAATCAAGCGAGAGAAAAGTTCCGGTCTCATCACCAGTAGGCATTTTAGTAACAAAGGAAGGGATCATGGTAGCTAGCCCTTTAGAAGGTGTTTTCAGGCCTGCCTTGCATTCTAACTTGAAGCCTTCAATGATAGGTTTGAGTTGTTCCCTTGAAAGACAAAAATCTTTTTCAAGTAGTTGGAATAAATTATCGGTAGTCATGATTGGAATAAAGAGAAGAAAAATAAAAAGGAAAAGAAGAAAGCAAAACTTTTTTCATATATAAATAGGGGCTACCGTCGCCCCTAGAAGCCAATGAATTGTCTTCGGGGAAATATGGGAAAAGTTTTTTTTTACCCTGGATGAACCCTTTCAAGAGCTTGAGTTTGAATAAAGTTATTGACCAGACCCTGAGTTGGATGTTGATTGGTTTTTCGATATTTGTTATGTAATACGGAAACGAAACCCTGATTATTTTATCATAATCAATATCACCATGTGTATGAAACGGGTATCCCTAACAAGAAAAAAAGGGTCCTAGTGTTTGCACTCTTCTTATAAACATTTGTAGAGAAATTAGATCTTTTTACATTTATTCAAATACTGAACAAGATAATAGTGATACAATTAAAAAAATAATACGTTTACAAACAAGAGGTGGGGAGGAAATTATGAAACATAAAGATAAAAACTCTAGATAGGAGGTACATTACAAATAATTAAAAGTAAAATAGAATAATTTTGTGTGTTTGTGTGTTTGTGTGTTTGTGTGTTTGTGTTTGTGTTTGTGTGTGTGGGTGTGTGGGTGTGTGGGTGTGTGGGTGTGTGAGTGTGAATTTACATCTTACCAGCCTTGGCAGCAGCAATAGCCTTGGCTTCCTTATGAGGATCAACACGAGAGTAAAAGACGATAGCAATCATACCAAGCAAGGCAGCTAAACAACAGCCAGCCATAGCACCTTTACCCTTGGCAGTGAAGCCATCATAGAGCAAGTAAATACCATTAGGTGCACCATCAAGGTCAAGGCCTTCCTTAGCAGCAGCATTACCAGTAGCAGAGAAACCGCCGTCAGTACAGACATCCTTAAAAGCTTGAGGCAAAGTCATACGTTGTTGAGCAACATCAGGAGCTTCAACAAAAACAGCAGCAAGACCAGATTCCAAGTGCCATTCGATGTGACAATGGAAGAACCAAACACCAGGGTTATCAGCTCTGAAACGAACCAAGACAAAACTTTCAGCGGGAACAAGAACGGTATCACGACGAGCTGGGTTACTCAAGTGCCACTCAACAACACTATCGTTACCAGTGTAGACACCTTCACCACTACCGACCAATTGGAAGACGTGACCGTGAAGATGGAAGGGGTGAGCACCAGAATCAAGATTGTTCAAAATAATTTCAACGTTTTCTAAATGGTTGAGAACAATAGCTTGGGTTTGAGGGCCATAGACTTCAGAGCTGAGAGAGTAGTTACCCTCAGAGAAGAGTGTGTTAAGAGTAGGAACCTTGGGACTAAGATAGGGAACCTCATTGAACATACCACGGTTGACACCGTCAGTAGTCACATCAAAGTCAAAAGTCAAGTTAACTTGATGGTCATGAGGAAGAACATCTTGCTTTTCAAGAGGAACAAGGTCGAAATCAGACCAGGTACTAGCCATACCGATATCTTCACTTTGATAAAAGTCAGAAGAGGCATTGTTGTAATAAATAGGAGCAGTCAAGTTATAAACAAGAGCATCGGGAAGTGTATCGAACATATCAGTGTTCATATCAGCATGCATGTAGTAGTTTATATCAGTAGAGTTCTTGGCAGTAACAAGGACAGAGACACGTTGTGCAGCAGTAAGGTAGACGCTTTGAACAGATTGACGTTCAGTTTCAATACCATCAATTTCAATAACATCAAGTGTATGGCCATCAATACTAAAATAGAACATGGAGAAGCCAGATGTGTTAATAAGACGAAGACGATAAGTCTTTCCGGGGACAAAGTTGAGACTGAAATCAGCACCATTACCGAGGAAACCGGAGTCAGGAACAGGTTCAGCACCAGTAGGATTATCTTCGCTCAAGAAAATACCAATGTTTTCCGTACTTTGAGCATGATACCAATCTATGTAAATGAAATGTTAACTTTCTTTTTTTCTCAAAGAAAAATAAGTCTCATCTCGATTTTACCTTGAAGAGGAACAGTAACATCGTAGTCATATGTGTAAGTCTCATTAATGTTATGGATAATAAAAGGGGTACGAAGACCATCCATGTATTGACCCTAATGATAACAATTAGGGAAAGACAAGTTGTGTTTTTACTGATCATTACCATGTAGTGAGAGTGAATCCAGTAAGAACCATGTTGAGTAAGGTTAAATTCGTATGTAAGACTAAGGCCTGGAGCAATAGCGCTATTGAAAAGTCAGTAATCAGTTAATAAAAAAAATCTTTACCATTGAGTCACACCAACAGGACCATCCATCCAAGGGGTGTTGTTTTGGAACATACCGTGGCTATGAAGGGCAGTGTATGTGTCCAATTGGTTATTGACATTAATAACCAAAGTATCATTGATGGTAGCCTCAACTACTGGTGGACTACAAAATAAAAAGATTAAGACAATAAACCTCAGAGATTGTTACTTACGGCCAAGCACCATTAACACCTACAACCTTACGTTCATAAAGACCATCAGGGTTAGCAGTTGCATAAGTGATGTTCCAGTCATAGACAACACGAGCAGCTTGAGCAAGCCCGGTTGAACCAGCAACTAAAAGACAAGTAGTCAAAAGACGCATCTTAGAGATGAAAAATGTATGAAGAAAAGAGAAGAGATAAAATGATAATAATTTATAGATCAAGATCTTTTTAAAAAGAATTGAACTTAAGAGTGTCCCCCCTTGTTGAACATGAGAAAATTTTTATCTGATTTTAGTGATCGGAGAGTACTATTTTTTTTTATTCGTCTCCATCAGATAACAAAATATTTCAAGATCATCACTAAAACTGTATCACTTTGGGGGACCCGGAGAGACGCGGGCAACAGTGTTACAAATGTGTACAACATTTATTTCCATCTGATAAGTTCATTTTTTTTAGTGGTTTTAATATGACAAGTAGGACAAAAAAGCTCAAGTCCACAGATCTAGATGATAATTTTTTTATCATTCTAATTCAGTCTTCTTAAAAAGGATTCGTTTTTGTATTTGGAATATCTGATCTTTTTTCTTTCCATTACTGAATTTTCTAAACGAAAAAGATGTCTCAGGATCTCTTTAACGTACCAATTTTCTTTATTCTGTTCCGTGAAACGACAGAAGCAGCCATTATTGTGTCTGTCTTGTTGTCTTTCTTGCGAAAGATGTTCAACATAGAATCCCCTGTATACAAGCGTCTTCGTAATCAGATCTGGTTTGGATCAGCTGCAGGTCTATTTATTTGTATATGTATCGGTGCTGCTTTTATCGCTGTTTACTATACTGTCCTCAACGATCTTTGGGGAAACTCTGAAGATATCTGGGAAGGTGTCTTCTCTCTTGTAGCCACTATCATGATTACTGTCATGGGTCTCGCTATGCTCAAGACTGAACGTATGCAAGAAAAATGGAAAGTAAAATTAGCCAAGGCTATTCAAAAAGACTCGCAAGAACGTTCTTCTTTCAAGGAAAAGCTTCAGAGATATGCCTTCTTTGTTTTGCCATTTGTTACCGTTCTTAGAGAAGGTCTTGAAGCTGTTGTCTTTATTGGTGGTGTCTCTTTGGGTATTTCTGGCAAGTCCATTCCTATTGCCGCCATCATGGGTATTGTTTGCGGTTGTTTGGTTGGTTTCCTTATTTATCGTGGTGGTAAATTGATTCAACTTCGTTGGTTCTTTGTCTTCTCTACTGTTATTCTTTATCTTGTTGCTGCTGGTTTGATGTCTAAGGGTGTTGGTTATCTTGAGCAAAATGCTTGGAACCAAGTTGTTGGTGGTGAACCTGCTGGTGTTATTACTTACAGAGTCAGTACTTCTGTCTGGCATGTTTCTTGGGGAGACCCAGAACTCAATGTTGATACTAACGGTGGTTGGCAAATTTTCAACGCCATTCTTGGTTGGAACAACACTGCTACATATGGTACCATTATCAGTTACTGTCTCTATTGGTTGTTTGTTATCTGCTATCTTGCTTTCAGTTTCTATAAGGAAAAACGTCAAGCTATTCGCAAGGCTGAAGCTGGTGAATGGGATGATGGTGACCAAGCTTTGGAAGAAGCTAGACAATACATCGACGAAACCGGTGAAATACGTCACGCTGCTAAATTGAACGAAGAAAGCAAGGCAGAACTTCCTGAAAGAATTGATAGTCCTGCTATCAAGGTCTAAGGAAAACAAAAAAAAAGCTCTCTTGTAATCATATATGTATTTCATAACACCTCAAAATTATTTTTTAGACATTTCCCTTTTTTTTTTTTTTTTACTCTTGTGTGTTTCTGTATGCACTTGAATATATTAATTCTTTTCCCCACTCGTATCTGTAATCTTATTAATATTATCGATTTATTACTATTTGTATTGTATTGTAGTTCATTAATTCTTTTGAAAAAAAATCTTGCTAATAAAAAAAATATTAACTCCTTTAATTTCTTTTACTTTTTGTCCTAAAGGATTTTGTTTACTGCGTCACATAGACTATTGAGTCTTGTTTGACATAATGTTTTTCATCTCTATATTTCGTCAAAAAAATCTGATAAATAATTCTTTGTGAAACAAGCACATTTTAATCGCCCTGTAAATCGCAAAGTTTGCTTTTTTTTATAAAAGTTTGGGGAGGGCGGGGAGGAAGGAAAGTCTGCATGGTGTAACTATTGAACTTTAATAATGGAACAGACTTTGATCAAGTAAAAAAAAAAAAAAAAAAAGATAAGCAGGATCAATAGGTTTTGTTTATCAGATGGGAGTCAAAAAATTTTTTTTTATTTATCAGATGATATTTAACGATCTTATTTCAAATGGTGAGGCCTAAATGGTGCAGTTTTATGTAATCGGTGGCCTTGTTGTTACAAAAAAAACTTAGCATCCTCATTTTTTTTTGGGATGCCCATATGGTATTGATTTCTATTTTAGAATAAACTTTGTTTTCTCTGTTGTGTACAAGGAAACACGCTAAACTTCCCTTGGAGAATTTATCCATAATCCTATAAAATTAATAACATGGCCTTGAAATATGAAATCGTTTTTGGCAATTTGTGTCATAAAGACATTCCATCTCGAACAGGTACTTACTATCGCAGTTTGCCTATTAAATAAGTAAATCCGTTAAAGTGAATTATAAATTCACATTAATTTTTTATGGTTAGAAGCCAAGGGAACCTGATCCAATGTTCGGAGAGTGCAAATGAGGAGGCGATCCATTCAATTGAATACTCAGATTATCAAGATCAGATAAAGACCAGGGTCTATATCATTCTGACTATTAATCTCGTACAACTAGCATTTCTTTTACCGTTGTTTCTACTAACCCAAAAAAACATAGATCCCATTTCGTAGAACAAGAAAACACAAGAAGGACTGGGACTGAGTAATCAAAAAAAAAATATATATTGCCTTGTGGCTAAAATTCCATGGCTCGGGGTTACTATACTTTTGAGCTAATGACTGGATCTAAAATATATTTTGTTCTCTTGAAAAAGAAATCAAAGAAAATTCAGAACAGAGCCTCTTTTAATTGGCAAATGTATTCATGATGAAATACGACAGAGGCAAATGAAATTTTTATTCATACATATAGAGCTGACTAATACATCTTTTTGTTTAATATGATTCATGCTCATTAAACACATGTATGATTTTAAACAATCTATGTATGGCACACATACCTTGATCCGAGAATTCCCTTTTTTAAAGGCAACAATCGAAGTTTTCTACAAATTCTATACATGCAGAAAATTTTTTTTCTGTTACTTAAAACCTTACGGATCTAAACTGCCTACTCAATTGAATGATCAATGTCGGTTAAAAGATTTGGTGTATATTCATGCCCCGTATATTTGCGGCGATACGAAATTATCAGATGTTGTTTCTAATGTTTTAGTCTATTAACGAATCCTAATTGGTTCTAAAGCCACTTATATAATACAAACTTTTCGATTGCAAACTATGAACGAATTTATGATTTCTACAAGCTTGTATACCAATACCAAATAAATTTACATAGCAAAAGTTAAATAGTTAGAAATGAGCAAAAAACAATGATTTTTACTATAAGTCTGGATAAAGAACAAATAAAAACTGATTCAAGAGCAATTTGCTACTCGTAAATAAGTCATACACTGAACCGGAACAAAAAATTAGCCCAGTTTTTTGTCATTCGAATTCAGCAACAAAGGTATCATGATCCAAAAGCCTTTTAATATGCCAAAATGATACTTGAATGTACCCAGTTTTTTATTTTAAGATAATATAAATAAATGAAAAAACCAGTACTTGAGGATACAGCCTTTGGTATCAACCACAGCTTAGTATTGGTTGGCCATATTGTGTAGTAGTATGAATGTAATGAGAAGATAGTATAACACTAAGGAAAAAAACAAACAAACAAATAATCCACTCTTTAATGATTATATTCTCTGTTATTTCTCAAAACAAGGGTTGATTAAACCTGAGTCTTGATGGATGGTTTTATACAAACACACCGGTAGCATTACGCCTATTGATACAGACACATCAATGTTTCCTAGTCTACCATAATGCATGACTCTGGGGGAGGTATCCAACTACTTACTCGTATTCATGTAAGCATTTTACATATATTGGTTCATTTCTTTTACTAATTTGTTTCTCTTTTATCTCCCTTCTATTCTCTGCTCTTTCTTGTAACCTAATTTAAGTAACAATATAAATATTACTTATGTATCTCATGCTCTGTTTGATTTCTAATTTTTTTTCAATAGACCTATAGTTTTAAGTTGGCTTATTTTGTGTCAATGAATTCGAATAGTGGCTTATCGAGGGATGGTATATAATCCTTTATTATATGCCCTTTCTGAATCATTTAGTCTTTCTTTTAAGACTAGACGTACAGAGTTTTTTTCATTGCTTGATTTAGATATGCACTTTCACAATTGCCACCAACGTATTTGCCATTATTTCTTTAACATTTCATGTCTTGAATAACATTGATCTATCATCAGGCGCACTTGCCAGGTAACTATGGCGCGGGTTTTAAAATGAAAACTCTAATTCTTCATCCCGCCGCCTTTGAAATCAAGCCTTTGCTGAGAACTGCATAAAGACGCAGTTATTGGACTTTGGTTTAGTGACAAAAGCTGTAGATCTTTGCTTTCTAAGCCCATCAATCCTAATAAAATGACTGATTTGATGCTAAAATATTGAGCAAATATGCGAAAATTTTTTAAGGTTTTTTGCTCTTGTCATACCATTTTTATAGTATAGTTGGCAGGTAAACACTTTGATCAAAGACTAGAGCTTTTTGCGCTCATTTTGAGTATTAAAGTTTGTTGATAGCTTTATTTTTCGTCTTGTAGTATCAAAAAGCAAATCAAGTGTTGTCAAGTCGGGCTTTTTTCATGAGTAGTACCCTTTGGTCATAAGGTCATTTTGGCCATTTCCTCTCCAAAACTATAACCAAGACGGTTTCCCACTTAGCAAATGAGCTGCATGATCAATCCCGTCTTGATTATGAACTGTAAATTCTCTCCTCCGCTTTCCTTTCCAGTTCCTCTCTCACTACTCATGATGTTCTCTCCATTTCAAGTATCTATCAAGCTCTCTTAAACTCTTATTCTTTTCTCAATTTCTTCTACCACAGGCTCATTTCCCATTCCTTAGTCTAGTTCTTATAATACCACAGTCTTTTCTTCCACTCTTTTGACGTCTAAAGGACTTTAAATAAAATTGGAGCAAGTCTCCCTTGAGTGTTATTAAATATTGTTTGCAGGTATCTAAAGTGCTTATGCGTGTATAAACAAACTTTATGCTACCTTTATTTGGCTGTGCATTACGACGCATTAGTCTATTCTTTAAGGGGCACACTCTTATCTTGATTCAAAAGATATGTTCCCTTTTAGCTACTGCATGTATTTTTGACTATTTGTTCTTGACTAACATTATGCATTATGATTTATATATTTCATTGTGCCTTCATGTTCTTTCTTACATTCCCCATTTTTCTTTTCATTTTTACTTGGAAGAACAAAAAGGACTATTTTTATCATAAAAAAACTTGCTTTCCAATGTTTGCAAGAATAAACTGTGCTTGACAAAACTCTACAAGACTAAAAAAAAAAAAGTGCCAAGCACGTCACTGGAGGACACGTGGCGGACATTCTATTGATGTGTTCAAGCATGACGGGACACAATTTCCCTTTTTCCTCCCCACTTTCATTTTCTTTCTTCTTACTGTTAATATGAGACTGGCCGTCTATGGCTGTGTATCCTCCATGCTAGCTATTGGAGTAGTCCTTTCTGCTATGCACCAACGTTCCAACTTTTATGCTGCCTGCATTCACCTTTCCAAGTCAAGTGCCTGTATGATGGTAAATGTATACATGGTGTTGTAGACCTTTATTGACATCATGTTTAGATATTACTCAATATGGGTTTTATATTATCAGTCTTGTTTGGAAAGGCTCTACAGACTATCTTTTTTGGTAGACTAAGAGCTATTGAAGTCGAGGCAAGTATCCTACTTGCTTTGAACTAACATTGGATTAACAGACATGAATAGCATTTGTATGAAAGATCATGGTATGCAGTGACAGAGACTTGTTTAGCCATGACTATATTTCGAGAAGAATTTGATCTGCAGTTTATTGTGGTCTTTACTACACTTTTGTTCCTCAAGATTTTCCATTGGTTATGTCAAGATCGTGTTGAGTTTGTAAGTACTGAAAAAGACATCAATGCAAACAAGAAAAAGACTTATGTGTGTACAGATGGAACAATCCCCTACCAATCGATTGGCGTTTCATGCCCGAATTGTCAATTTGCTGGCCTTGTTGCTCATCATTGATGTCTTGTTGGCTCACCATGCTATTAGTGTCACATTTGAAAAGGGACCTACTATGATGATTATGTTTGGATTTGAATATACAATCCTTATTTGTTCTATTGTGTCTACCATTGGAAAATACATCTTAAATGTGGTCGATATGCAATCAGAACAAACATGGGAAGGCAAATCCATGTATGTCTTTTACCTGGATTTAGTGGCAGGTAACCTATAAACAAGACAAGCAGAATGTAGCTTATACTATTTCCACAGATTTTTTCAAGCTGATTACTTATCTCGGCTTCTTTTTGTATATCTGTCTGAACTATCAATTGCCTCTTCATATTATTCGAGATGTGTATGTTACCTTCAGGTCCTTTGTACAGAAATGTAGAGATCTTTATCGATACCGTCGTGCTACTCGTAATATGAATGAGCTTTATCCTGATGCTACTGCAGAAGATTTAAGTCGGTCAAGCGATAGTACATGTATTATTTGCAGAGAAGAAATGCAAGTGACTGAAGTGACTGAAGTGACTGAAGAGGAGAATCCTGAAGCTGCTGCTCATCGAGAACAGAATTTGGATCAACCCAAGAAGTTGCCTTGTGGACATATATTCCATTTCCACTGCTTAAGAAGTTGGCTAGAAAGGCAACAGACATGTCCTACATGGTAAGTGTTTTTTTATACAGATAACAACCTGTAACACTCTCTCTAGTCGTCGCTCTGTATTAGCAGAAAACACTACAGCTGATCCAGCTCAACCTCAGCAGCCTCAGCAACAGCAACAGCAACAGCAACAGCAACAGCAGCCTCAGCAACAGCAGCCTCAACAACAGCAACAGCAACACCCTCAATCTCAACAAGCAAATACCAGTGTCTCTTTCCCTTCCATTACATCAAACCAACAACCTTCTTTTAGTGTACTTACACCTTCCAACCAACCTTCTTCCATACCTGGATTAATTCCTTTAGTCCCAATGCATCAAGCTCAGACTACAATACCTGCCAATTTATCTGAGGAAGAATTGCGTATCTTATCAACAACCACAAGAGAAGCAATAGAACAACGCTTCCGTATTTTGGAAACTGTACAAAACCAAATATTCCAGTCTATGCAGACACTTGCTCAAGTCATGAGTATCATGCCACAAAATGAAACTACAGAGAGTTCTGCACCACCACCACCAGCAGACGAAGCAAGTGAAAAGAAAAAAGGAAAAATGCCTGATCATGGTCCAAGTAGTAGTAGTCAACCTTTATTTGAAGAACAATAAACTTTTTTTTTTTATTTTTTTTCTACCATGCCTTCTCCTCATACTGCAGATGAGACAAACAATGTCCCTTTGTCTTGTTCTTCAAACTCGTCTTCTTCTTTGTCTGCAAGTATAGAAAACAATGCTTCACCTAATCCAACACGCTCATTATCTGCTACTACCTTGACGATCCGTTCTCCACCCAGTGGCGGTGGTAGTCAAACAAAACGCCACAGTGAACGATCGAATTCGACATCACAATACACCACTCGACAAACAAGTACCGAGAAACTACCACAGCGGCCTTCTTCTCCCATCACTTCACCATCTATTCATAAATCATTAACAGCTTTGGATGCCAAAGCCATCACGCGAGATATGGAAAAGTCAACTATGCACTTGCGAGAAGACATGATGTCGCCTTCTTCTCCTACGACTGCACAGAGCGCTAACAATGGTAACTTTTACTTTGGCTCCAATAATCCTTCCACAAACAACAGTACATTTCAATCCATGGCAGCACCTTCAAATACACCTTCGCATTATCCATACCATCGACAGAACAGTGTGAGTAGTGTCATCACATTGCCTCCTACTGTTCACCAAAATAGTACGCAGGCAGATGCATGGCAAACACTCTGTGTACGCGTCCTGCCTCTGTTTAATGGTGAAGGTGTTCAAGGAGCTATTGAAGACTTGAATGATCTCCTAAGACGATGTATATCAGATCCCATTTCACCACAATTCTATCGAGATATCGAAGCTCTATTGAGAGATGGCATGTTTACACTCAATGCTAAAATGTTTGGTGTCACAGATGAGAAGCTGTTGGATAGATTAGTCGAACAATGGTCTTTCTTCTTTACTTATGCCCTTCCTTATTTTGAAGCTGTCTTTTTACCTTTGAGAACAGATGTTCGATACCGTTCACAGGATGAAGCAGAAATGTGGAATGTTCGTAGTATGGCATTAAGAAGTTTTCGAGATAACGTCATCTTGTTACAGACAAAACGATTAGAAGGTAAGCTGTAAGGTGTATGGATCTCACTCTCTGTCTCACTCACACATGTATAGATGTGTTCAATAAGCTGTTTACTGATTTTGGCAGCTCACAAAACCCAGCAGCCACTGCAGCCAAAATGCTTCAAATGACCTCTTTATTGGCTTCTTCTCCAGATCATAATGAAGAGATAGAGCGTGTATTATCCAACTTGAAGGCAAATTGGAAGATCATGATGACAAAGGGGGATCGAAGAGGGTTTGCAGGAGTAAGAAAAGTTCGACCATTGAATATTTAAACCGTCGTTTTTTTTTTTTTTTTTTTTTTTTTTTTTTTTTTTTTTTTATCTGTTAATGAAGCCTAAAATTACGCCTTGTGCTGGTAAAATAAATAAAACTGTCTTTGAGAAAAACTGATCTGTTTTAGAGTGTCGAGAACAACGTCGAAAATGTATTCGAACTTCGATAGAAACAGATTGTGAACGATGTCGACGATTAGGAAAGCTTTGTCGATCCAGTCGTGATTTAGAAATAGCTCAACTTATACTGACTAATCTAAGATCTCAGATCCAACAACTTGAAAGAAGCATAGAGCATGTTGAAAAAGAGATGTATAGCAAACATCTTGTTCCTTCCACAATGACATCTGCAGTCATGGCCCACAGTCTATCAAATCAATGGAAGTTTCATATTCACAATGGTCATATTTCTATTGAAACAGGAATCCAATCCATTAGCGACTTGTTGCCTCTTCAGACGTCTATTTCATACCTTTCACCTTTCAGCGCAGACTGGGGATTCAACAGTGATTGCAGCAGTCAAAGCAGTGCCAGTAGTAGTAGTAGTGATAGCAGTATTTATCTCGGTGGAGACTCTGGCCTTTTACTCAAATTTCGAGCAGACGATACCTCCAATTGGATTCCTTTCAACGTTGAACTCTTGACACGCTTAATCGAATTTGATCAAAATGATATTTTAATACCGAGAAAGCTTGTATTTGATCCTAGACCCATGGTATGCGAGTTGGTAGATATCTTTTTTCAATGCCATAGCATTTATCGCACTTTGGTTCATGAAAGTTCCTATCGTTCTCGACTATTGTTCATTCAAGACCCTTTATCCGATCCAATTACATTGGGTATCTGTTGCTTCGTTTGTACTACTCCTTGTCTACATGTACGCTATTCTTTACAAGACCAACGTAAAATGGCAGATTTTTTCTTTACGAGATCAAAATCTATCATCATGAATCAGTTTGATTTATATGAAAAACGGCTCGAAAATGTAATCTCCATTGGGCTTTTGGTGCAATATATGCATACAACACTTCGGTTTTCAGATTGTCGAAACTTGCTTGATTTGGCTTTTGATATCTGTCTTGATCTACAAAAGGATTATACGGATGAATCTTCTATTTTCCAAAAACAATTGACTTCGCCTGTGTCCTTACAGCCACTTACAGAAAGCGTCAATACGGCAATGTTCACTAGACACATTTTCTATATTGTCTACTTTCGTAGAATGATCAATTTTATTGAAAAAGATCGGTTCTTTGAGGTCTGCTTCCATCTTCCTCCATTGGTATATACAGCAGACGAGTCTGAAGAAACCAAACGATTTGTGAAGTCTCAAAATTGGATTTTGATGATGCTGAATCATCCTTTTATGACAAGCTTAATGGTAAGATTGTATTCTTGTATGTTTCTTTATCTCATATCCCTTTGTAGAAACAAATTCACCTTGTCCATTTTGGTCAAATATGCACACTTAGTTTTGACTCTATTGTCAAATTAGATAAAGTCATAGACGAATGGGTTGCTGCCATTCCTGACGAGTTCCGTCTTTGCAGTGATTACAACAATATAGATATGTGCAAAGCAGCCATTGATATGACAACAGATGCTTTTGTGTTGTGCAGTTTTGGTGATTTCTGTATGCTCCAACTCTCTATCTATACGACACTCTTAAAGCCTATACCAGTGAATGCAGAAGGCGAGCAAGTCTTTACTTTTGTTATGCAACACTCATTTCAAAAATCCATACAAGCTTGTGCATTATTAGTCCATACTGTCAAACGACTTTTTACTATTTCCATCGCAGATGCATTATGTAAGTTGCTCAACAAAACTCAGTTATACTAAACTTATGTTATATTAGGTAATCATACCACCCTTGCCTATGATATCCTTTTCAATGCTATCTATTTACTTATTGAGTTATTGCTTTGCTCTAATAAGCACGTTGCTAAAGAAGCCAAAGCCATGATAAATATATGTCACGAAGAACTCGGTAAACTTCCTTTTATGCCTAATATCAACATACTGGCTGAATCTTCACCTTTGGTCTATATCTTTTCTAAAGATCCAAAAGACAGGCGATTCAATATTGAATACTATGATCAATTTTCTCATCCTTCATTTGCTATGGTATATGATTTGACAAGTGTTGTTAATAAGCTTTGAGCTTTTATATTATAATGTAGAATTAGTTCAATAAATGTATATATTGTGAGCAATTGTTCTTTTGATGAAGAACAATTGCTAAGAGTATCTTTAACGCATCGGAAACCAATGGTAGCGGAACGATCAACAGAAGCAGACATCAAGAGGTATTTGCCATGGGTATCATTACGATAAGCTTGAGGGAAATAGTGTGTACTGTCCTTGGGCTTATAGTAAGAGCCACCATAAATAATATCAATAGGAAAAATCAAAGAAAGCAGGACTAAACCACAAACAGAATGGACAGCTATCTAGTAATGTTCGCATCCAAGACCATCATCTTAAGTACTACCTGCATTTAATACTTTTTCAGCGAGAATGCTTTCAACATTACTGTAACCCTCAAGTCTAGTTCTTCGCCTAATGACTGATAAAAAAAAAGATAAATTACTGGTTTCTTTGCGTAATAAACAATAAAAAAAAAACTTGCTTATTGTTATAATTTTGATAAATGATTCTTTCTCTTTTCCTTTTTACATGATTAATTTTTCAAATGTATATTCACACAAAAGTTGTCACTTTTTGAAGTGGACATTGGAATGGAAGGAATGTTTGCTAACGCGCTTGATTCAAATGCCTTTGAATACAAATAAACTTATTGAAAAACTGACAGAAACTGAGACTTCTAAAACAATTCTAGATGCGTTAATAAAGAAAAGAACATACGATTAAGCAGTCAGTGTAATACAGAATAAAATAGTATAACGCAAACTCTAACTGCATTATTCATATTGATGATATAGACGCTTGCAAAAAGCACTGAAGCATCAAGCACTGAAGTGCCAACGGCTATCTTGAGTAGCCAAAAGAAAAAGAGTCAAGGTAAGAAATTTGTACCTGTAGCTTTATAGTCATTTATGGATATGATTATAGCTCTCTGCCAAAGACAATATGCATATTGGCAATTCAGCAGTAATTTTAGAAGAGCTACTGCTTGAATACAATGAGAACTTGTTGATTGAATTACCCAAAGATGAATAGTCTTCATAATAAGTATCATGCAAGGCTTGAATTCATGATATTACAATAGCATATTTATTTTCTTTTAGATTATCTCAAAACTTCACCATTGATATTTCAAAAAAGTCTCAGGCATCGCAATTGAGCTATTTTGGCATTGAAATGGCAAAAATATGCCTACAAAATTAGTCCACCTGATGAGCAGAACTGGTCTCTTCCATCGGTTAAGTGTTTATATCCTTTTATTTTATTATAAACAAGAATTGTAATTCAGTTCTTGCATTAAGTATTGATATCAATTATTTAAAAAAAAATTGCCATTCTTATCCAGGCCACTATAGATTGCATATTATAAGCATTGCTCTTCATCAAAGGAACAATTGCCAAGAGCAGCAGCACTCTCTTCAGTATCTTTAACGCATCGGAAACCAATGGTAGCGGAACGATCAACAGAAGCAGACATCAAGAGGTATTTGCCATGGGTATCATTACGATAAGCTTGAGGGAAATAGTGTGTACTGTCCTTGGGCTTATAGTAAGAGCCACCACGAATGATAGCTATAAAGGAATGAGTTTGGATTGCTAAAATTGATAGGTCCTCTTACCTGCTCTGGTGTGTTCATCTTGATATACATCAGTCCATTGCCAGACGTTACCAACCATATCATATACACCCATACAAGAACGACCAGCAGGGTGGGTGTCTACATCAGCAGGTGGGTGTTCGGGGTAAAGTCTATCACGACCACTATAGACCTCGGGTACCTTGGATTCATCCCATGTGTTGCCCCAAGGATAAGTGCGATATTCATGGCCACCTTGAGCGACATATTGCCATTCCCATTCATGAGGAAGACTAAAACAAAAACATGAGCACACATAAAGAGCATGGATAAACTTACCGCTTGCCTGCCCATTTAGCATAGGCTCTTGCATCTTCAATAGAGACATGAGTGACTGGCTTATTAGCGCGATCGCATGGATAGCAACCACCAATCCAATGCTTCAAAAAGTTAGTAGGATCCGCAGGCTTATAATCAGTCTCATCAAGAAATTTTTTGAATTGGGCTTCAGTGACAGGATAAGCATCCATGTAGAAAGTATGAATTTTCATACGATAAGTAGCATGGACGCGGGAAGCTTGAAATTCCCAAGGGTACTTGATATCTACACCAGGATATTCTGCGGTACCGCAAGGATGTTCACTTAATCCTTTGACTTGGAAATCAAAGACGTCACCTTCAATACGCACCATGCCACATATATTTTCAGAGCTTGTTTTACTCACAACAACTTCATCCAGTTCTTGCCATAGCATAGGAGAAGACATAGGATAGCAGTGAAGAGGCTTGTGGGAACGACACTTGAGTTTCTTCAAGAGTTCATCAAAACCGGTGGGTAAAACGGATACATCAGAAGTAGCAAAGATACAGCCATAGCCATGAGGCTCAATATCAAAGCTAAGAGTGGCAAGTCCATCACAGATGTTGGTAGGCTCAAGTTCAATACCATGCCAGACATCATAGTATTGAATACCAATATGATAATTCACGACAATTTGATGACCAGTGACAGCAGCAGGACCACGGTTGACAAAGGTCCAGACAACTTGGTCCTTAACAACACGATTAGGAAACTTGCTTGAGAAGACAGTTTCCCAACGAACGCAGGGGCAATGAGGCTCCCATTCAGGTGAAGCAAAAAAGTCAGGGCCAAAGCATCTGAGAATACTAGCTGTGCGGTAGAGTGCTTCAGCATCTCTTGGTGACATTTGATTACAAGTACCAAATATGTTTTCCCATAATTCAATACCCAAACCTAGTCCAAGTTAGCAAACACTCCTTCTTTATGCATAAAATTTCATACCATTAAAGAAAGCATGTTGAATCATGGTAGTCTTGTTTCTAGACCATTTATCAGAAGTATGCGTCATACGTCTAGGCTCAAGGAGCTTTCGAGTAGAGACAGTAGGGATATGACTAGATGATATTCAATATGCTGCAAACAAATGCAACTTGCTGTAACTTACTTTTTAAAATCAAATTTAGCTAAAAGAGTTCTTTTTAGTTTCAAGGTCTCTATGAATGTATTTGTTTATTTACCTGTGTCAACGATGTTCCATTGCATAGTCTGAATCATGAAGTTAGTATAAGTCAAATCAAGTTTTGTGTTTTACCTTGCAAGAAGCTTCATTGGTAGCATGTGACTTGAAGGCCAAGGGATGACCAATAGCGAGTGCATTTAACCAATAATCTTGAGTGAAGTGAGCATCATCACTTGTCATACCGTCGATGTTGTATTCCTCTAGAATAAAATCGGAATTAGGCATTGCAGATAGAGTAATGCACTTACTAAACAAGCGAGGGAGGATATAACTCCAGGAGGCTTGAGGATCACGCTAAAGGAGGTTTGAATAAAATTAATCATGAGTATCATTAACTTACTGTGCCATTGTCCCAACCAAGGACGGGGAATAAAACCTTGACTTTCTTACTATGGAATTCTTGTACTAAGGAACGAATTCCGAGTGTTCCTGAACACAAACAGTCAGTAAGTACCTAAACGTGTTTTCTTATCAATTCTACCTCCGGGAAGACATCTAAAATAGTCTTCAGAATTACGACTATCACAACCAAGGTTGGGAAAAGTAGGCCAAATCTAGTAAACATAAACAAATAAACAATGAATGATTGTCTTCTGGCGAATGTTGATACTTACAACAATGGAATCAACGGCACCGTAACGTTTTTCGGCATCTAATGAAAGAAATAGGAGTCAGAATTAAATGTTTCTATTTTTATACCAACCTTTGAGATATCTATCCACAGTGTATTTGTTGGTGACAGGATCATAGAGATACAAGTCATTCACCATAACATGAGGTTGAACATAGCTTGTTTGAACCCACTGTATCAGATTAATAAGCAACTATATTCGGCTATATGGAAAAAAAGAACTTACATGAAGTTCAGGAACATCCAAGGCAGAAGTAACATGACTTTCCTCCTTTTTGTATTGTTCAAGACGCCATTTTCTTAAGCTATTAAGCCAATCTAAATAGTCCCGAGGAGAAGCAGGGCCTTCAACTTGATGAGGTTTGAATTTGAGTTGGTAATCTTCAGAGAAAGCCTTAACAAGCATAGGAATAATGAATTAAAGAAGAAAGAAAGAAAAAAAAGAATAGGATAGAATTCACTTTATATATCCAATTAGCGTTCTAGGATCAACAATCCTTCTTACTGGTTACTTTGTTGTTTATAATGCATGTACATAACAAGAAACAAAGCATCTTTGTGGTTTAATTACTAAAATAGTCCATATTTTCGCGGATTGAATGGTACATATTACCTAATGTAGATGCTACTCCATTCAAGGTGTTGTATAAACGTGTGTTTATTGCTTTTTTATCTTAACTAGCCGATATACGGAATGGCTTTGACCAAAAGGAACCATTCATTCAATTGTACTACATCGTAGCACTGTTTGAAGTCTGTCGATGAATTATAAATAAAAAGTCACGATAAACACAAGATGTCTAAATTTGGACACTTTTTTTTTGGTTATTCTTCGCCATCATGTCACATACATTCATTATCTTAGATGGTCACCCAAACGTATTTGCGCCGACAACAAGAAATACTAAAGAAAAAACTGATCCAACACGTAAGAAACAACCAGTAAATAAATTGAGCTTATTGTTATTTAGAGCAACTGCCACTGCTCCCTCTTTGGGCAAATATGGTGCAAGCTTCGATCGAGTTTTGTCGCGTTACTTGGGATCTTCAACACTTGAAAAGATACCTTGTAAAGCTATTGATTTTATCTGATTATAGATACTCATAGTTCTCACTTTTAGATCAATGTGCTTATAGCAGGAGAAACACCTATCTTATTAAACGATTTACATCAACAAAGCATACAACAGTTAGAAAGTCAGTTTCCTCACGCCCAACCTCGACAAGCTTTCACACACGACCGACTACAAGCTGCGATTGAATATGCTTTTCGCATTTATTCAGGCACCAATAACAATGAAGCATTAAGGCGTTGTCGTATTGTTATTTTAGCTGTTGCAAAACAATCCACAGAGAAATCATTTGAGTAATAGTATTTTACCGTATTTCCCACTCTTGTTAATCCATGATGATAGATTTCGAAATAATCCTGATGACCCTGCCCGAGATCTTCGTACCATGGTTTATAAAGCAATTGAGAATACAAATACTCTCAAGTAAAAAGAAAAAAAAAACGATAAAATGTACTGATTGTCTTGTAGAATAGACCATGTTCAAGTAGACATTTTGCGTTTATTACCGTATGTTGAGACGCCAGAGACTCCTTTGCCTCATAAGATTACTTCAAAACGAATTTCTTCACAACTTACCATGTCAGTCTATAATATTCCAAATGGCCAAGATGATTTGAAATATGCTATGCGCCACTTGGCACAACTTTACTATAATGTCCATGTGCTACATATATCCAATATTCCAATGAAGGCAAGTAATACAGTTTATACATACTATATACAAACATACTATAGTCTGCAGAACAAGCTCAAATTACACGTACAATAACTTTGTATTATCAAGCAAATGGTCATCATTTGATAAATCAACAAGAACCAATACGAAACTTTAACATTCATGATCCAGCTTACCTCAAATACCGAGAACTAAAATTGATTTATTCTAAACGTAGCAAACGAGCATTGCCAGGCAAGAGAATCTTGTTTATTCCTTTCGGTAGCTAACACTTTTTTTTCTATAGAACACGAATGGTGCACATGCATGCATAGTATATCACCTCTTAAAGTAAGTGAACTTTTTTTTTATAGTCATTTGTTTATTGTTCTTTAGCTTCATGACCTGGCCACACAAGTATTTCTAGACATGACATTCCAAGGTGAATAAAAGAAAAAAAAAAGAAGGTGATACTAATGAGGCATGTTAGGTAGCATTTCCTATCTCGTAACAAATGAAACAAAGGCTTGGACGCATATCTTAATGGCACAGAACGGTGCTATCTTTTTGCATTGTCTCAACAGTCAACTTCAGCAACAATTCTCAGAAGCAGAAAAAGACTTGATCTCATTATCCAATGTCAAAATTGAAGGCATGTTGGACCAAGGTGTACAGACAACGGTTTCCAAAACGTCGGAATTAGCGGACACCATTCTTCGGCCAAACTCTTTTGAGACTGTGAAACAATACTTGGAAACTGTTGCCAACAATCCGTTGTGCAAGACAGTACCACTGAATCCTTCACGTTTCTCACATCACCTGCCAATCACACATAAATTAAGCGAAAAGAACACTTTGTATACATCACGTTCGATTGAAAAAGCAACTCGGTGGCGCACTTGCTTCCGAGATTGTGAAGGGACAGACAGATTTCCTATTACATTAGACGATGCAAGCTCTATTGAAGACGTATCGATGGATGTATTGAATGGTATTCCTAACAGTTCTGGATTTGGTGTGGCTATAGGTCTTGTGCGCGACTTGCTTGAACAACTCCAAGATATTTTATTAAAAGATAAAATCTTGGACAAGGAAATCAAGCCTACAAAGGAATTGGTTTCAATGATCGTTGTTGAGTTGGTCAATGGCATGGAAGGCTTAGGTCAAAAATTGTTTATCAAGGGCTTGCCTAAACAAGAAGCCAAGCTTGTTTCAAAAAAACTATTGGTGGCATTGTATTTAGTAGGCAAAAGATTTGCTAATGACTCCAATCAACATCGTGAGGTAAATCATATCCATAGGCTTACAGAAATGTTAAGAGTTCTTTATAGCTTTGTGCACACATTATCTCGACTATCAAAGAAAGAACTGAGTATCAATTAGAAACCAATAAAGCAACGCAAATCAAGAAAGAAGAAGCAGGGCTAGACGATGTATGGAACCAAGTGACACGTTATGAAAACATGTCCTTGAGAGAGCGAGAAGAAGCTGCCCAAGGTATTTTACCAGATATCAAACAAGAAAAACAGGCTGCCGAACCTATACTGTTTGCTGGACAGTTACCTCCGCAATTACTTCAGTCTACACCGTCATCAAATACCAAATTCAATCCTAGTTTTCGATCTCGTCGAGGGGGACAAAATACAACAACAGCCCCATCCGATCCAAGACAACACCCTTTGCCATCTACCGGCTCAAAGAAGCCGACCTATCCAGATCCTTCTGCAGCCGTTCCTTATTTAACATACATCAGTCCTACTTTGGAAGAAAAAGCAGATGAAGAGCGACAAGAAGAAAATAGCTTAGGAAATCCTGGTAATTTGTTATGGCTCTATTGGATGCATCAAAAAGCAGGGAAACGAGGCAACCAAGAAGAAGGCGACCTCAATAGTGGTACTGAACTAGTTCACAAAAATAATGTATGGAAGCGTGTCAAGAAGGAATTTCAGGGACGACTGGCTCAGGCAGGAGAGAAAGGAGAGATGTTATAAGATTTATACTGAGATATCAACTTTTCTTTTTTATTAATTAACAACCTGATTAAAACCGTTTGACATGGCTTGAATACCCCATTGGACATTCTCATAACCTTCACCTTGGTTATTCTGCATATCTTGTGCTTGTTCTTTTACATGTCTTTTCATTAATTTAGTAAACAACCAAGAAACGACAATCATGCCTACAGTGGCTAAAGTGAAAAAGATGTAGCCAAAGTTTTGCGCTTTACTGATATCTGTGTTTGTGGAAGCAATGATGGCTTTGACAATGAATCCAATAATGAGTATAATTCCCCAACAAGCTGTCAATATCCGCAAATCGTTTCTGAATTTTGCCATGTGTGTATAAATCCAATTAAGCGTCGTTTGTTTGTCCCCTTTGTTTGTTTGTTGATTTAGCCTTTGTTGATCACTTTGACTTAACTCCTGATCTACTTCAGTTCGAGGCATAAGTTGATTTGTGATTTGAAATACCAAAGGTCGAAGTTCAAATGATCCAATTTTGATAGGTATTAAGGACAGTAAACAAAATACACCCACAAGTAAAGGTACAATGGATTCACAAATAGAAGACACTGCTTCTGAAGGTTGAGCTATAGACTATTGTGTATTAGTTTTGCTCATTCTAGGCATATACTTACAATGATGCCACTAATAAGAAAACTAATGCCAGCTACTAATCCCAATACATCTAATGTTCTTGTCTTTATCATTCGCCTATTTTTTTTTAATCAAGTTAACAGATTGTTCACACAGTTTTTCTTATTTACGTTATCACGATAAACAAAGGAGGACAAGAAGCAATTATCATAGCTACTACTTGACCCAACCGAGGCTTCAATAGCTGATAGAGTAAAATAGGCAGCCCTATACTCCAAAGAATAGCCAAGAATATGTTTGTAATAGGTCTACCCTCAAAAAATCGAAACGAAAAAATGTCTTGAAGACTGCCTAAATCCATAGGCAAATCTTCATCTTGTTTTGATAGTCTATAAGGCTGTTGTTGAGTAGGTTGAACCCTAGAGTCGTTCATTGAAATAGAAAGAGAGAAAGAAACAGTAAAAATAGCAAAGAAGTAATATGACGTCAATTAAAAGTAACACAAATACTAGCATGAATCATGAGTTTTATTATAGTGTGTATAAATGTGTGGATTATGAAAACTTGTAGGAATCTGAGTCATCAATAAACTTGGCTCGATGCTTTGCTTTAAGTTCAGCAAGAAGATTATTGTTCATGGCTGGTATATTATTTCTCTTTCGTATTTCTTCATCACGCTTTTTGGCAGATTCAAGTTCGTCTAATAAGCTAGTTGTCTGTTGTTGAGCTGCTTTAAACAAAGGATTTTTATAAAGGCTATGTACAGTAGCATCATCTGAAGGAGAAGAAGCTGATTCCATAGTGAGTTGATTTTGATCTTCAAAAAGGTTATTTTTGACTGCATTTCTTATTGGTGAAGGTGAATGACTCTTTTCTTGTTCAGCTACTTCTAACAATTTGCTATTGAGTGCACTTGGGGCAGGTGCATTATTACTTTCTGCAGACCAAAACCCATCATCATTTGCCCATGTTTGAGACACTGACGTTTCTTTTCTTTTATCGCCCTCTTGGAATGTAGAAATACGCTTTGGTGTTGGTTTGCTGATTCTGCCATTTGCAATACCTGGTGAATGGATTTCTCTTCTTGCATTCAAACCATGGATTTCTCTCCAAAAACGGTTACTGACACGGCTTCCTCCAGGTGTGCTGTTATTATTCATAAGTTATAGTTTGCAATTTTAGAATCATTCTCACCTAATGGTTTCTGTAGATCTCAACTTTGCGGTGCTGATTTCATCAATTACATTGCGTTTTGGGGACACATGAAGACGAGATGCAGAAGCTTTTCTAGACAGAGAGGAAGGGGTGTTTTTCTAGTATAGGATATTAATACCTTTGAATGCTTATAATGATGATGATTTACATGATAATAATCAATAGATTGAGGTGGGGTGGCTAATTGTTGGTTTGTATTAGATTTGACTGATACAGAGTGTGGGTGGCGACTGGTGGATGGTTGAGCTTCTTTTTGACTGAATAAAGAAATTCGGTGCTCTATGGATGCAGTGTTGGCAAACAAAGGTCGCTCATCAAGGGATTTGCTTTGTGACATACTAAAAGAATTGGAAAAGACTTCTTCTTCTTCTTCGTCCTCTTTCTTTCTTTTTAAAGGTGACCTTATAGAGACATCTTCATCGATGCCTTGATAGCTGTCATCAATTGACATGGTCGAAGAAATTTCATCAGCCAAGAATGAAGACTAGACAACAAAGTTAGCTTAGAGCAGATCAATTAAGTTGAGATTTACTTGTCTTTTGATTCTTGCTAGGTTCTTTTGTAATCGATCCATACGATGTCTCTCTTCAAGCAATTGTCTCTGTAGTCTATGAGAACTCATACGCCTGTTGGGCAATGAATCCTTAGTTGGCTGATAAATATGTGTATTTGGTGAATCTTCAATATCGTATTCGACCAAAGAGGGTGTTTCAGCAATGTCTGATTCATTATCTTGATAAAAAGGATTACGACTAGGATAATCATATTTTGCTCGTGCATCTAGTAGCCATTTAGTCAACGAATAGGCAGAATTACTATAAATACCCTCACGCAAAGAATGTCGTTCAATAAGAGGAGTTAAAGAAGTTCGAGTGCGGTCATGATTATCACTTTTTTTTTGTCTTTGAATAGACCTTATTCTATCCTGTGTGTCCAGAGTTCTTTTTCGAATACGAGACTACGTTTATTATGTGAGAGACAAGTACTAGACAGTCTAGTCGCTTACTTCACTTGTTCTAGGAGATAGAGTAGCTTGTAAGTTTCCATAAAAGCGATCAAAGTCTCGTGTTGCTGTGTCTTTATAGTGCTTTACAGCTTCAAACAAAGGTGAAGCAATAGCTCTCAAAGGTGAGGCAATTGTTCTTTCTGGCGTTTTAGGTATTCCCTCATAGTCATCTGCTCTCGTTCTTCTTGGGGAATACATTTTGCACAGAAAAAGAGAAAGGGAAAAAAATATTGCAAATCACGGGGACTCAAAAAGGACTTGCTAGAAAGCGCGCCTCAAAGACGCGTTTAAATTTTTTATATGGTGATCGTGTAATTAAGCCACAACCTGCTCTATGCATAATCCTTTTCGAATTTAGATACCTTCAATACACCAAAAGTTTATTTTCTTACCTCCAACAGAAACTTCTTAACTGGCTTCATCTTCCTTCATCAACGTAGTGTATTTTTTTCTACATACTTTGTCTATATTTCTTTTCACCACAATGACTTTTAGAAAGGTATTTTTTGCTTTTTCTACTTTGTTGATCTGTCTTAAGCCGTTTTTAAGTCGGTATTGTGTACACATTTGGAATTTATTAAATAAACAATGATCGAAATTAAGCCACAGCAGTGAAAGCAGTTCCGAAATGTATCGAACAATGCTTCGAAAGATAAAAATTTATCACAATTAGAAAAAAAATCTGTTCAATGATTAAATGCGTTTAATCAGTGCTATATGCAAACAATGGAACACAACAGAAGGCGATAGTGCTTTTAAAACAAAAATTTCAATCTCAAATATATGTAGGAATGATATATACTCAAATAGGTCTGACTGTATTAGCAAGAGTTTAATTTAACATAGCTTTTTTCTTTTTTATTTCTAAACATAAATCTAAAGACAAAGTGCAGTTTAGTGCTTATAAAATATGTTCTATCGTCCTTCAAAAGGTAAATTAAGCTTTAAAGAGTAACGCACCGTGTAAAAATAATTTCTCCCGAGTTTCAGGAGACGATTCACAAGCCGTTTGTCATTTGAAAAAAAAAAATCTTGTAGTACTCGATTAAAAGAGAAACATGTTGCTAAGATAAATTGGGAAGCTAGTACCATTTGATTGGTCGATGCCCGCCTCTTATCTCGATTTCTGATATTTCTAACACCTCCGCCCCTCAGGGATATTAAATTCTTTTAAACATTAAATCAAGATACAAGTGTCACGAATACTAAAGAAGCTTTTTACCGCAACTAAAAGAAAAAAGAGAAAAAAAAAAAGAAATGACGATGTAAATAGTTAGTATATTTTTCACGTTGACATTGATCTTGTCAAGAAATGATATAAGCGGGAAGATTACGACAAAACTTTGGTAATAACTAAGAATTCTCTGGAAATGAAAAAACTGGTGTTACAATTGACCCAGGAAAAAAAGGCTTAGTGATTATTTGAAATGTTTATTGTGCGAAAATGTAGGTGATGGCTATTATTTTTGATTTCATAATATGTGTGTGTATATACAATCCTCAATTTTATCAATATTCATTTAGGGATATAGTGTAGAATTGAAGGCAACTCTTTAGTCTTTATAGGGTTACCTATTCATTGGGTTAAAAAACCGATAATAGACATAGTGTTGAAATTACCTCGGTAAGGGGTTGTATTGGTATCAAAAGCATTTTTTTCGTGAATGATAATAGGGGCTAGTTTACACACTTCATTTTTTTCTGTTGTTGACTGGTCATTTTGGTCTAGAAGATAAGAAAGACTGAGTCTACGCTTATTTGGCACTGTATCTAATTTGAGTAATTTAATATGGAGAAGAGTATGTGAGTGTGTGCTTACCAATAGAATGGACTCTCTTAAATGCTGATGTTGTTCTATTACAATGAGTTTGTTGTTGTTGTTGTTGTTGTTGTGTTATTTCTTCTTCGTCTTCTTCCATATCTGAGGGTGATGGCTTTTGATGAGGTGCTTCAATTGCTTTTCTAATATCTTTTCTTTTTGAATGAACATATCTGGATGGTCTGGGACCAGACTCCTTTCTAATTCTAATCTTCAGTCCCTGTTTTGCAAAGTTTTGAACCAAAGGGCATGATCGATACATGCCAGGAAACTTTATTTCATTAGTGAATGGATGTAAATTTATCGTAACGTTTTTGCTTACCGCTTTTGCTGAATAAACAGTAAAGGGCTCTGTAAGTACTGAGGAATTGTAGCGGACAGTTTGGCTATAGAGAAATAAAGTCAGTGAAGAGAGTTAAAAAAATAGAAGATGTTGTTTACTCCCGAATATCGAACAAGCACATTCGTAATCGATAATTGCCTTCTGCTCTCACAGATATATCTGAAAAGACAAAAAAGGCACCTTCCGTCCCGTCTAAATCTCTTAGCGTATAAAGAGACGAAACAGTCCGCCCAACGGTAAGTTTGCTGTGTAGTAAAATATTGAGTTGCTTTTCAGGATCATCATTAGCGGGAACAAGTACAGCAATTAAAAACAAGTAGGAGCATAAGGCTGAAATTCTATACGGGGTTTTGTCGTTTGAATCGTCAATGTCTACGTCTATTTGTTGGTTTTTTAAGCGTATACCTCTCTATGCTTTCTTCTTCGTTCATATTTTTGATTTTGATCTGAACAACAGGTGGTGGATCAATAGGTCTTCGGTCGACTACGAAATATAAGTCAGCATCACACTTGTCATTTACTCTTTTTGCTTAACCTCTTTCACCAATACCGCACATTCTAGAATGCACAGGTTGCTGCCTAATAATCAACTCAAAAGAACTAAGAATGAAAGGTTAAGTAAATCAAGAAAAAAAAGAAAAGAGAAGTGAAATAGAAAGATTTACTTGTTTGAAGTATCAGGTCGAGTACCTTTAAATTAAATGTTTCCTACCCATTTTAGTTTATTTGAATGAAAGTTGACATGTTTTTTAAGAATTAAAACAAACCTTGCATTTTGCTTGAATAAAGAAAGACAAAAAGTCTATTTAAAGCTTATTTGAAAAGAGAAAAAAAAAAGAAAGAAAGGGAAGAAAATAGGTCCTGCGTGCCGTACATTTGGATTTCTTTTTTTTTTGTTTGTCCTGTTGCCCGATCGATAAGTCTCCCGGGCCAGAAAAATAAAATAAATAAATAAAGTATCCCCGCACATAGAGCTACTTTAATCCAAAAGCTTTTTGTTTATGTTTGCCAGCCTATTGGAGTGAATTTTCGACCAATTTGGGATTTGCACTACATAAAAAAGCTTTTGTACAGCATGGATACATGTGTTTTATGACTTACTGAATGGTCTTATGTGCGCATTCTGCCCCGGCCAAACTCGGGAACAAGAAGTATAATATTTTTACCATATTCCCAACCCAATTAATTCGGGTTTTGATGACAGCTCCTCATTTTTGTTTGAGATCGAGCTCAAGTATTGTTATGTTACGAGTAATCCTGCACGAGCAATCGTTGTACTATAACGCATTGAATTACTGCTATGAAATGGAGAAGTATATATTCTCATTTACTTTCTAGAACACACTTGCATTTGTACGCATTATCAACATACTAAGTGTGTTACACAAGAACCAGGAAAAAAATTAGACATACATCATTCATATTCATTTTGCCAAATGATGTCGCCAAAAAAAAGTTAAATTGTCGTGCTTTTAAAAATGTATATGGTGCACTCAACGCTTTTCGATGTAAGAATGTGAGGAGGTAAAGGTCAATATTTTTAAAGCCTTTCGTTACATCTCTCATTCTTAAAAATTTGAATATGTTGACCTTTAACTATTCATACCCTTACGTCGGAAATGATATGATTTAACAAAATAAGTTTGTAGCGAGTTTTTTGATTCGCTAAAGAACAAGATTTCTGGTTTAAAGGATACCGCATGATATTTAGACCCAAATAATGATAAGAAGGTGCTAAACATTCTAATATTTACTTTGTTCTATCACAAGGGGCCCCGTTCTTACTACAAGCAGAGTATAAATTTGTCTATTGTCTTCAACTTACAAACATATGTACTTGTCCATTGTAGCTCACTTTGTAAAATAGGTAACAATGAAAAAATTTTGTTATTCATTTTTTATAATCGAAATCTATATATTTATATGAAAAGTAATCTCTTTTATGATTGAGCAGAGTGTTTCTTAATGCAATAGCATTTTAATACATTCTCCTTTTGAGACATACGCAAGTTTTCTAAGATTTGAGCAGAATGTAAAATAGAATACATATACAGCACTTATTAAACTCGAAATTCTTTTTTTGGTATATGAGGACCAGTTTTCTGGGATCAATCTCTCAACTTGCATTGAAGGAGCTAAAGTTACTAGTCTCTTTCGAAAATCTTATGTTTTTTTTCATTGTGGTCCTTAAAATGAATATTCAAATCCTTTGCTCGCAAGTGCTGTTCATATAGCCTTGCTTTGATGTATCATCGGCCCTCATTGTACAGCATCTCTTTCCTTTTTTTTTTTGAAGCGACGATTATTTCCTGTCTTGTGAAAGGCGTATTATGTAATTTCTTTATTTGTTTTTGTCGATTGCTTTTTTCATAGCTGCGACTTCATGTTCTAATTGCTGCCTTGCTAACTTTTCCTTCTCTCTTTCAGACTGAAGTAGCGCTTCTCTCTCTTCTGCAAACTTCTTTTCTCTTTCTTTATACTGGTCTTCATAAAAGGCCCGAGAATGCTCGTAGTCTTTATGACTTACTACTGCTGGTGATTGACGGTGTTGGCGAGATTCATAAACTATAAGTAACGTAGCATGAGTCTATTTTCTAACAAGACGCGACTTACTCCAATAGCCTGCATAAATGAGACCAGATGCTGCGGCTGCCACACCTGCATTTTTGACGTTACGTCTGTATTTCAGTACTCTTTCATAATGTTCTGAGGAGCCTGGTGGTCCAATAGCTTTAGGCTCGAAACGATCAAGGGCGTACTTAATTCCATACACGGAAGCACCTCCTATCAATGCTAACAAGACGGGCGGTAATCGAGGTATCATAACAGCTGGAAAAATAAAAAAGACAAAAAAAATCTGGGCTTACCTGGTGTTTGTGTGACTCTAAATACAGCTTGAATACGAAACTTTTTTAAGGGGAATAATATTTTATGAACAGCCTTTGGCTAAAGAAACTACATCTTGTGTTGATCCTTCAAGCCTTCTCCTTATTTTTCTATACTTAAAAATGGCCTTCTTGAACAAAGCTCATATTGCTTCGAAAGTCTTCTCTTATCTCTATTAGAATCAAAGTCAACTTCAATCTGATAGCAATAGATGTAAAATCAATTTTAAGAGATAATTGACTTTATGCAGGGTTTACTTTAGGTTGCTTTGATGTTCGTTTTGAATGATTTGATATCATTTACCAATATTATCAATAGTTTTTGTTCGTGCTTTTGCTTGACAGAAACAACCCACCGTGTCTTTGATTCAATAACTTCTCTCTGCTTGTTTGTCTCTTTATTTGCTCTGTCTTTTATTTTTTAATGAAAGATTACATCATTATTATCGTTATTAGATCTTTATGAATCAGGAAGAGGAAAGGTTCTTTTTGAGAAAACAAGTGAGATGCATTGCATGTCATTTTTTTCCACGAAACTTAATGAAAGCAAGGATGTGTATTTTCAATGTATCAAATAAAATAAGAGAATAGAGTATATAGAGTTGCGTGCTATAACAAGGCTGCCTATTCCACAAACCACTATAACGTTGTTTCTAATGTAAAGGGACTCATTCGACTTTCAATTGAAAGAAAATTGCCTGAAAGCAAGTAGAAGCTATGGTTACAAAGACATTTGTTGCCTGAATCTGTACCTCAATTCAATCAATTAACAAACTGAGTTACAAAAAATCTACCGCTTTTGGTGAAAAAATTCAGGTCATTTGATTTTGTTTTTTCTTTTCTCTTCTTTTCTTCTTGTTACAATATTAGGCAAAAAAAGGATGCGAAAAGTAAGGCAAAATCAAAAGAAAAATTGAAAAACATTAACTTTTATTATATAGCTTAGTCGAAAAAAGTTGGTCGTAGTTGGTGACGGTTTTTGTGGTAAAACGAGTCTACTCCATGTTTTTCAACACAATGAATTTCCAGAGGTACGTGAAGAACAAACAAGAAGCATGAAGTAAACATTCGCCTTAGGATTATGTTCCAACTGTATTTGAAAACTACATTGCAATTATCAATCATGAATCAGGAAAATCAATTGAGTTATCGTTATGGGATACAGCTGGCCAAGAAGAATATGATAGACTTCGACCATTATGTTATCCCGAGACAGATGTCATTCTAGCTTGCTTTGCTATTGACCAGGTTCAATCGTTTGAAAACGTCAAAGACAGAGTATGGTTTGTTATTGCTCATACAAAATATGTATAACCTATTTTGTAGTGGATACCTGAAATGGATCACTTTTTGTTCAACACACCTCGTTTATTAGTTGGAACAAAAAGCGATTTAAGAGTAAATGGAAAGCGTATAGCAGAGTTACGCACAAATGGACAGCAGTTGATTACTGTTGAACAGGTACAGTGACGATAACAAACAAGAAAAAAAGTTGCTTATTGTTTGCATATCCAGGCAGAAGCATTGGCAAAGAAACTCAATACACAATACATTGAATGTAGTGCAAAAACGAACACAAACATTGCTAAAGTAATCCATACAGCCACGGGACTTATTCTTAGTAATCGCAAGGGAGGATTGAAAACCAAGATTTGTACCTTATTGTGATTCATAAAAAAACAACAACAAAAAGTGATCTGCTTTTTTTTAGCTTATTAACGTGCCTTTGAGCTTTAACACACACACACACACACACACACACACACACAAATATACCAACTTTTGAAAAACTTCATGTTTACCTAAGCTCATTCTTTTGAGACTTCTTTACCTAAACATTACACTTATAACCTTTCTTAACTAAGCTTGCATGGCAGAGTTTCTTTCTTTTCATGTAAAAATAGAGTATTGGCGCTTTTCGAAATGAATCGGTATTCCAATGCTTTAAACTGGTGAGCTATAGAGAAATAGGGCAGAGGTAGAGCTATAAACTGAAATAGCTGTCCAATAAAAATAAGCTATTTGTATTTATATGTTCCATTGTGTAACAAGGACATACAATCTTCAGTACTTGAAGAATAATTAGAGCCTTTTTTTCAAATAACTTTAAAAATGCCTTACCCCAGTAAAAGAAATTTGTGCTTTAGGACTAGAAGAAAAGATGAAAAAGGAAGACCTATGAAAGAAATTAGGACAGAAATAGCTGTTATCGAGAACTCGGAAGTCGTGGAAGATTCGCAGACTGTAGAGGATAATATCAACAGTTCTTTCCTAGACTTGCTCAAAGATAATGGGAATACAGGCTAGAAAAGACGTGGCCCTTATTCAAAAGATTCAAGATCAACTAAGTGTAGAAGAAAAGTCAAAGCCGAGAAAGTTGGTTCCAGAGCAACGTTGTTTAATTTTGGTATCACTGTTGTCGACAAAAATGAGATAGAGGAAGAAGTAAACGATCGATTAACTCACCCTCAAAAAGAGCTGTTGATATGATTAAAGAATCGATTGAAAAGTTACAGGAGGGAACTAAATCTGTTATGAACAAGGAGAAAGAGGGTAGCATAATTGAGTCGTACAATTTCTCTCAACTTCTCTGTAGGATTATACTTTAGAAATAGACTAGATGGTTTGCCACTCGCAGGATGATAGTGCAAGGAGCGTTATGAAATGGATAAAGGAATACCTTGAGCATGGTGATCTATCTGATCATTGTCAAAGTGCTCATTCCAAGAGAGGGCGTAGTGAATCATAGAGAAGAATAGTCTCAAGGCAGTTAAAGAAGATATCTGGTGTCAATAACATCAGCAAGACTGTATATAGTTCTTTAAAACAAGTTCCTTTGGCTGTCATCAATAATAATCATCTTTTGATTTTGAAAAAGAAATTAGAAAACTGTCATTAAAGAGATGTTATGTCTATTGTAGAAGCCTTTATTTTATTCAATAAACCGTTTTCTCTACTTTAATGCAAGCAATCGACATGCCAAAAAAAAGCTCAATCCTTATCATTCAAAACTGCATTATTTTAATTTGATTAAGGTTTAGCTTTCCGCTAAATCCATGCGGTTTGACATACTTTTGTAAAAAAAAAGAGGCTTTTCTCATACTATTGCCTTGTGAAACAATATGGCTCAACATTTACTTCTCTTTCTTTTTCTATCTATGTAACAGACTATAACACTCTAGTATAAATATGTATGCATGTATAAATATTTAGGATCGCACATCCATTGCTTGATGTCACACAATAGATAATGTAAAATGTAATGCATTTAATAATAACTATAATATATAAAGAGAAAGAGAAAGAGAATAGGAGATGAATGTGGATGTAGAATAATTTTGTATGTATATATATATATGTGTGTTTACATTTAAGCAGCAAGGGCAAGTTGTTGAGCCTTTGGTGCATGAGTCACTTTTTTATCAGAAGACTCTTCTTTCTTCCATTCAAAGTCTTCAGTTGCAGTGTCGATCAGCATTTCTGCAATAGCCAGGGAAGCAGTGCATGCAGGAGTAGGTGCGTTGCGGACGCAAAGGATTTTTCCATCCATGACCTTGCGCTCCAAAATATAGTCATTTGCAGCAATACCTCCCTTCTCAAATACTTGTGACATAACACCAGCAAAACTTTCTTCAACCATATCTTCAGTTAATCCAGGAACATAAGCTTGAGCAGCACGTAAGAAAGCACGCTTGTTCATGTCCTTATAGAGTTCACCAATAGATAAGGAAGGGTTTTTGAGAGCAAACATCCACAAGTTCATGTTGGTTAAAGAGGCCCAGATATCTTGCCACTTGAAATCAGTAAAAGTGTAGCCTTCACGAGCAAAAGACAAACAGGCACCAGGGCCAACAATCATTTGAATACCTCGACGTGTATTCACAGTAGGTGTAAAGTGAACACCTACTGGGATACCGCCACCACTAGGGACAGGATAGACATTCATGCGACAGATACCACGGTATTCAGGCTTGAGTTGATAGTAAGTGCCTCTAAAAGTAACGACCTTGGCACGGCTAGAATCACCTCCTGCAAGACCTGCAACGCGGTCTGAATAAAATCCTGCACAAGTGATTACATTCTTGGCCGTAACTTTAAGTGTGGGACCTCTTTGGTTGGGTTCGCCACCCCAAATCTATAAGAAGAGTTAGACTGTATTCAACCATTATTTTATTTTCTTACCTCTACTCTACCATCGGATCTACCCTCAAACTTACGAGCCTCAAAAGCAAGTTTGATTTCAGCACGACTAAAAAAATGTATGAGCAAACCGTTTAGTTTTTTCTATTCTTCTTACCCAGTTTGCATAATTTCATTAGCAATACATTGAGCAACAAGGCCAAAGTCAGTGATACCGGTGTTTGGAGAGTAAAGAGCAGAATAAGCAACGACATTGGGTTCCAATTTCTTGATCTACCATTTAATTATATTAATAAACAGATCGACACGGAGAATAGGATCGTACCTCTTCACTGTTAAGAACTTGAAGATCTTTTACACCATTTAAGGTAGCGATCTCCATCAATCTTTCGACTTGTTTGTGTTCCTTTTCATCAACAGCAACAATTAATTTACCACAACGTTCAACAGGCAATTGATTTTGTTTGCAGTACTCATACATCAAATCAGCACCACGAACACAAGTCTTGGCCATACGAGAACCAGGCTTATAATAGATACCAGCATGAATAACACCACTGTTGTGACCTGATTGATGAGCAGCCACTTCACGTTCCTTTTCCAGAACGGCAACAGTCATGTTGGGAAAACGTTTCAATAATTCTCTTGCAGTAGCTAAACCAATGATACCACCACCGACTAAAAATAGGAATGCATGTTGGTATGTTTACTCAAGATAAAACACGACTTACCAATCACAACATCAAAATCAGTCTTGCCATTGTTTTGAGCAAGAGATGTTCTAAATCGTTGCTCAGCAGCCATACCACGCAGCTTAGCAAAACCTGGGTTCTCGGGTGTATTTTCACCAGGCAAACTTTGCCAGAATTTGAGTTGATTTGATTCAGCATGGACTTGCTTTCTATCTGAGCTCATCAACAAGGCACCACCTGTGGTAGCCATAGCACCTAAAGCAATGACATTGCGACGATTTAAGAGTTTAATAGCAGAACGACCAAGCATAATAAAGAGTTATAATTAAAAGAAAAAGAAAGAAAGAAAGAAAATAGCTAGTTTTTATATATGATTGTTAACAGAAAGAAGGAGATAAAATATGTAAGGAAGTTTCTTTTCTATCCATCTTCTCCTATCTATTCATGTATGTTGTCAACAAGATGTATTGATTTGCCACAGTCTCCTAAACTTCCCCCTCCTTTCTCCTTTCTCTTGAACCTCCGATAGAAAATCATTTTGATATGTATATGCAGGAGCCAAACAAATAACTTGCCCCTTTTATGCAAAACAGTCTTTCACTCTTCTTTTCGCCAAGCATTTATAAACAAAAACTTTATTATTTCTTGCGCAAGGAATCATTCAATCCCTTCTTATTTCTAGCAATTTCAATAGCATAAAACTACATAAACGATAAGTCACTTTGTCTCCTGTATGCCGTGTTAGCGTTAATTACCTGCATGCGTACACCTGATGATTTGAAGTGTTAGATTACAAAAAGATGCATTTGATTTACTTACCGAACATAGTGTTTTGTTCTGTATAATCTTCTCTACAATCAATACGGATCAATGATCCAAAGTTATATTCATTCACTCTCTTTTCATATTTGTTAATAAAGTTTCTCCATTTTTCTTTAGCAGCGGGTGTCTTGAAGTGGTTTTCATCCAAATGTTCTACATTGATCTCTGGGAAGTTTTCTTCAAAATCCTTGAGGATTTCATCGTCAATGCTATTGTAGTTGTATTTAGTATTTTGCGTATACATATTTCCCGAATTACTTTGTCAAACGAAACTGACGAGGGTCGATAGTGGAAATCAACTTGAAGTAGGTCTCGGCGTGGTGCATAGCCTATAAGCACGTCAGTAAAAAAAAACACTTATATATCCACCAAACATACCTTGACAGCCCATTGCTTTTCTATAGAAAAAAGGTGTGGTAATAAGTCAGTGTGCTCTGAAACCATGCTAATTTTGTTTTTCTTACCAATATCTTCGAGTTGTTCGAGTTCGTCGGCAGTAGGAAGACGCATAGTTGTGTAGTTGACAGGAAGTTGAAGATGTTTTGAAAAAAAAAATTCTTTTGAATATCCTGCAAAAGCAGTCCTGCTGAGTTCTATCAAATGCATTTACAAAAATAGTATTGTCGAATTGGAGTCTTAGGGTTGTTCCGAAATGTACATTCAATTCTCGGAAAGACATAGTAGCGAGAGAGAAAAGACATTACATCTGCTGGCAAGTATCAATTAAGATTCAGTTAAAAGGAAAAAGAGGCTTTAGGCTACTATCACGTGAAATGATGTCCTTTGTATAGATCAAGATTTGTATTACACTTTGTACAACAGACTTTGCGCTTTTGAAATATATCTTGATTTGACATCTGTTGTTATGACTTACAGTTAGTATAGCTTGAATAAACATAAAGAGCTATTTTGCACTTACTCATGTCCCTAAGAGAGAATCTTTTAGCCTTTTGGCGCGCACCAAACTTTATGTGAGAAAGAACTCTAATCTTCCAAAATAGCAGCATTATGAAGAACAAGGAGAAAGAAAATCAAAGAAGACAAATTGTGTAGATCATTAACACAAATATCAGTTTAATCTATTAGCACTAAGTGTGTATAACAAGACAATTTTTTTTCAAAACAAGTGCTGTAAGTTTTGCAGCTACACTTGAAATAAAACTAAGCAAGCTTTATCTACATAAACAAAACTAATGCTCATAATTGCCTTTGCTTTCAAGGCATCATTCCATGCTTTAGTACAATTTTCTTTAAACTACTCTCAAATCATCATTTATTTTTAAAGTGATATGATCGAAATTAGGTCTTGGACAATTAAAAAAAAAGATTGTGAGCATCTTTTCAAGTACTTTTGAGGATTTATTCAATTATAATGAAAGCTTTACAGGGCACAAAAAGTCTGAGTTCAAACAAAAACCAAAGTGTATGCAACAAGTTTCAACTCCTGTAATCTTTTTTTTTTCTTCTTTTATTGTATTATAGCATGTCTATTAGCTCTAATAAAGAAGACGAAATAGCTCAAGTTTCAGAAGAAGAAGAACAACAAGAAGAGTATGACTCAGATCTCGAAGAATACGATGAGGACGAGGAAGAAACAGAAGACGATGACGATGACGACCTGGATGAGCCCAAGCTTCGATACCGTCGAGTAGGAGCCAACGTAAAAGAAATTTTAGAAAAAGATACTGCCTCCACATTACGTGTGTCTGAGCGATTTTTGGTATGTTTTTTTTTTCTCTCGCGTTATGATCCTTATATATTTTTAGGCGCTTGGTACTCACTGGGGCGCTGTTCATATTCTTGATTTTGAAGGCAATGTTATCAAAAGCTTCAAGAATCATTCTGCCACAGTCAATTCTATATCGATTGATAAATCAGATGAGTTTGTAGCCAGTGCTTCTGATGATGGTAATACTCTCTATAAGAAATATGCCAACTAAAAGAAAAGGGGAAATATAGGCAAAGTCTTTATTTATGCACTTTATACACCCGAAATCCAATCTTTCAATTACAAAAGACCAGTTAAATCAGTTGCACTAGATCCAGAATACGCTCATAAATCAACACGTCAATTCGTAATAGGCGGTATGGCAGAGCAATTGATTATGAGTGAAAAGGGTTGGCTAGGGCACAAAGATATTGTACTTCATGCCAATGAAGGTCCTATTTATGCCATTGAATGGCGCAACAATTTCATTGCATGGGCAAATGATAAAGGCGTCAAGATTTACGATACAACAACCAACATTCGTATTACTTATATTGATCGCCCTGAAGCAAGTCCTCGAGCTGATCTTTATAAATGTCGAATGTGTTGGAAAAACGATAGTACTCTATTAATTGGTTGGGCAGATACAGTCAAAGTAGCAGCTATCAAGCCTGTCACAAATCCAGCACCAGGTCAACCAAGCTATTATGTAGAAATTGTTTCCATGTTTCAAACAGACTATATCATCAGCGGTATTGCACCCTTTAAAGACACCCTAATGCTATTGTCTTATTTATTGGAAGAAGAAGAAGAGAATGATGAAGGAGCTTTTCAACGCAAACGACTTGCATCAAAACCAGAACTTCATATCATCAATTCAGACAATGAAGAGATTTCAGCAGATGTTTTGGCACTTAACGGGTTTGAACATTATCAAGCCAATGACTATGTGCTTCAATTCTTGATGGAAGAAGATATGTTTTATGTTATGGGGCCAAAGGACTTGATTGCAGCACGCTCAAGAGACCAAGACGATCATATTGAATGGCTTTTAGAGCATGAGCGCTTTGGAGAAGCATTAGAAGCCATAAGATCATTCACCAACAGTAAAAAGTTCAATGAAAACGATATTGGCCAAACGTATCTGAATTGGCTTGTCAATGAAAAACGCTTTGATGAAGCAGCAAAAGAATGTGATGGTATTCTCAAGAATGACAAGACATTATGGGAAGATTGGATATTCAAATTTACAGAATTGGGTGAACTGAAAGCCATTACACCTTACATACCTATCAAGGATCCTCAACTGAGTAGCACAGTATATGAAATTGCACTTGCATGGTTTTTGAAGAGCGATCATGCCACCTTACGCAACACAATTCTCAAATGGCCTAGAAATCTATACAATCTGTCCAATGTGATTGTGGCTGTGGAAGATGTCTTGAAGAAGGATAAAAATAACGAAACCTTGCTAGAATGTCTTGCTGATCTGTAAGTGATGAACCAATACTTGCTGTCATAGACTGATTCATTTTAGATACACTTATAACAATCAACCTGACAAAGCCATTGAATACAATCTTCGCCTAAGAAGACCTAATGCATTTGAGCTTATTCAAGAATACAACATGTTTGATGCAGTCAAAGACAAGGCAGTTTTGCTAATGGAATTTGATCAACACTTGCTTGAAAAGGAAGAAAATAAGGCTACAAAACCTTCCAACATGCCAGCTGTGCAACTGTTAGTCAAGAACACAGACGCCATTCCTGTAAGCATACAAAAAAATGCACACAATAGAGATATTGATTGTTATTTTTAGCCTGAAAAAGTTGTGAAGCAATTAAGAAGAAATCGTCTTTTCTTGCATATCTATTTAGATGCTCTATTTGACCGTGATCGTCAGTTGGGATATGAATTCCATGATTTACAAGTTGAACTTTATGCTGAATATGATTATTCTAAGCTTATAGACTTTCTGCGTGCAAGTCATTATATCTCTTTAGAAAAGGTATACAACAGAATAAGAGAATCAAGGTTAACATTGATATAGGCATTCAAAATATGTGAACAAAAAGATTTGGTGCCTGAAATGGTGTTTATTCTAGGCCGCATGGGCAACAACAAAAAGGCACTCATGTTAATCATCGAGAGACTAGGCGATGTTCAAAGGGTAAGTATCATACTATGAGGGACTCTTTTCTTGTGCTTATTTGTTTGTATAGGCTATTGATTTTGCAAAGGAGCAAAAAGACGATGATCTATGGGAGGATTTGTTAACCTATTCCATGGATAAACCAAGTAAGTTAACAGTCTCAATATGCACATCAATAACCTTTTTTTATACAGACTTTATTCGTGGATTGTTGGAGAATGTTGGCACTGATATTGAGCCATTAAGGTTGATCAAACGTATTCCAGACAACTTACAGATTCCTGGCTTAAAGGATGCTTTGTTAAAGATCTTACAAGACTACAACCTTCAAATGTCATTGCATGAAGGTTGTGAAAAAATCTTGGTAAGCGACAGTGTTCTCTTGGCAGACAAGATGTACAAGGCTCAGAAGCGTGGTGTTCATTGTACCCGTAAGTATACAAAGAGAATCAAAACGATTGTCTTATAACAAATCTAGAGGAAATGGTCTGTAATATCTGTGAGGAACCAGTTTTTGATGAATACAATGTAGAAGACATACCCAATTCCATCATTTTCTTCTGTCGACATGCTTACCATGAAACTTGCCTAACAAACCAAATCAAGACTGTCAGCTATAATGAGCTTCAACAAGACCATAACCCCGGTACCTTGACAAGCAAGATCAATCAATCTGCATTGCTAAAATCCACTCAAAACATGGGTTGCCCTCTATGTCGAGAACAAGCAGCTGGTGGCAATGCTTTTGTCAATCGAATGAAGACACATAAGCGAGGTGGTAAGACGCCACAATCACCCCGAGATAGCGTTCGAAGCTTTGGCACTGTACATTGAGATATAGTTTAAATTTTTTTACTTTTATTACTTTAGCAAAAAAAAGAATGATAAAATAATGTAATAAAAAAGAGAATAACACACTCTTTCTCTTTCTCCAAGGCGAGTAGTTTATTTGAGCTTCTTCTTGGGACGGAGTTGGTTGGTGTGACCACACTTTCTCTTACGGCAGTTGGTGGCACGAGGAGGAAGACGAGCATAACACTTACGGCAGATCATCTTTTCACAGTTGTACTTGGAAGCCAAAGCCTTGAGAGAGGGTTCAATGATACCACCACGGAGACGGAGGACCAAGTGAAGAGTGGATTCCTTTTGGATGTTGTAGTCGCTCAAAGAACGACCATCTTCCAATTGCTTACCAGCAAAGATAAGACGTTGTTGGTCTGGGGGAATACCTATGTTTAAGATTCTTTTTTAGACAAATGTTTTCTCTCTGTTTGTGATAGATATATGCTTACCTTCCTTGTCTTGAATCTTTTGCTTGACATTGTCAATGGTGTCAGAGCTATGATAATTGAGTTAGTTTGTTTCTTTTCTCTCTCTCTTACAAGTGATGTGTGCTAGTTCATATAGATTTGTATGTTTGACAAGTCTGCTCTCTCAACAAATATATATGTAAACGCACACACCAACATAATGAACGCTACCTCTCGACTTCCAAAGTGATGGTCTTGCCAGTAAGGGTCTTTACGAAAATCTGCATGGTAAGCGATTCTATCGTTGCAAAAAATTGTTTTGGTTAATATACTGCAACTCTGCGAATCCAATCCAATCCATCTCATCATCCATCTGTTTATCAATGGATGCATGTCTTGTCGTGGTTGAATCTTTTAGGTAGTATGGTTATCTCACCTTTTTAGACAAAATGAACAGAGAAGGAGCTTGTTATTTTTGAAGAATTGACTCCTGTATATCTCTGTCCACCCATCGCTTCTGCCTCACGCCTCATCGTAAATCCGGATCGGACAAAACTAGGGCCCGGTATCTTTTTTTTTCCTATTTTGACAGCTTTCCTTAGTCTTTGTATCACCATGCTAAGAGAATTTCTCGACAGGTCAGTGTTTATCATAGATCAAGATATTTTTTATTAAATACGGAAGGGTTTTTGGGTTCGAGGATGAAAGCTCATAACGCATTCATCTTTAGGAAAAGTGGTAGCAAAAAGCCAAATATGATCAGAATCAGGAGTCCGGTAATGCTTGAATTCAAATCGTTGAGTAGCTTGAGCTACTGTAGACATCAAATGAAGAACAGCGTATTCTTTACCAATGCAGTGATGAGGACCATTACCAAATACCATGAAGTTCTTGGGATGTTTCTCAGCAAAGCCTTCAGGGCCCCATCGATCAGGATTGAATCCTTCAGGATCAGGATAAGCAACAGGATCATGAAGTGCAGGATATGTGGTTGGAATGATCATTGAGTTAGCAGGGACTGTGTAGTTTTCAGAGATAGGAAAATCAGTATGTGTTTGATATGGCACCATCAAGACAGGAGGTCGAAGACGAAGTGATTCCTTCACAACTTGTCTAAGATAGGTTGATTTTTCCATAAGTTCAAGTGTGATGGGTTGGTCAGGATCATCAGCACGAAGGCGGTCTTGTTCATCATAGACTTTCTTCAAGGTTTCAGGATGGTCTGCTAATAGTTGGAATGTCCAGGTGAGTGCAGAAGAAGTAGCATCTTGAGAAGCAAAGAGGAAGGTCATTAAGGTCAAAGCAATTTCTCGATCAGTGAATTCATGAGGTGCTGGTTTTCCTTCACGCTGACATTCTTCTTCTGTTTCTCTCATAGCGACAAGCCAGTTGTCCAACATGCAAGTAACAGGTCCATGGTCGTTGATACGAATACGGGCATCTTTAACAGACTCAATAAAAGCATTATAGATATATTCTCGAGACTTGATGGCTTTGTATACTTTAGTGCCAGGCAAAGGAATAGGAAAGTTAACAAGCTCAAGGGCAGCTGTAATGTTAAAATATTCTTCAGAGCATTTCTTGGCAACGTGTTCGGGCATAAAATCACCTAAAAAGACTCGGAGCGAAGAGATCATGTTGAGTTCTCTAAAGTCCCATTGGTATTTACGAACACTTCCATCATGAGAAAGCCATTCATCGAAATGCTTTTGATATGTTCTGTCCATAATAGGGAGGTAGATACCGAGTGCCTTTCTTTGGAAGAGAACATTAAGCCCACGACGATAATTGATGTGTTCTTTACCGTCCATGAAGACCCAATTGTCATCGCAAAGAATATAGCGCATCGAATCAACCACAGCAGGTTGAACAAAATTAGGTGAATTAAGGATTTTGCGGCTAAATTCACAATTGGAGGCAATGACAATAAACCTATTATTCAAGCGGTGAATTAAAAAAATGAAAAAGTGGTTCGATTAAATGTTACCTGTTGAACACACTAACACAAGACAAATCGCCGCTCTTCCATTTGGAATTATATTTATCAAAAGTAGGCTTCATAGAGTCCATCATGGACCCTATAAGTGGGATCTTGTAAGAAGGGCCGGGCAAGTGTTTCTTCTTTCTCAAGTAATCGATTTGCTCCCAAAGAAAAAGACCGACAACAGCAGTGGCAGCTAATGCAAGAGGTGAAGACTTTGCCCTGTCAAGCATAGTAGAGAAGGATTTGAGTTGTTCAGAAGCAATAACGGTCAAGGTACTATGTAGATTTACATTAATACAAGATATTGATAATATGTCCAAGCATTTCTTAATTTTACCTGTCCATGATAAGATTTGTGTGAAACGATTAGGCGAGAGGAAACAAAAAGAAAAAAAAAAGACGGTATTGTATGGTCAATTAATGTATAAAATAAAAGAATGGATGATGAACAATTCCAAAATATATAGCAAAATGTACTTAAACAAGAGGTTAAAGAAAAAAAAAAAGGTACACAACAATGAATCCCATTTTATAAGAAACTAGTCGCTCTTTTAAAGTAATGATAAACTCTTGAGCATTACTGCTCAATGATTTTGCTTGCATAAGCGACTTTGATTTTTGTCAATTACTCTAAAATTAATGTATCTATAAGTACATGTCTACTAATGTAGATTGCTAGCGAGTTACAGAGTATAATTAACACCAAAATGATCCTTTTATTGTTTTGTTTTCCTTTATAAATTCGACTTTAAGATTTAAACAACAAAACTGTCAATCTTTATGCTGCTTGTCTATCCGAATGTTCCCCTTTTTTTTAAGCTCCACACACGACCCTGATTATCAGTGATCATACCACTTTTTTTTTAATTATTGTTACATTATTACAAATAACATTGGCTTACTAACATTATTGCTGTTGTTGTACATAATGATGCCTGGCTCGAAATCTTTGAAGCCAATTTAATTTAGGTAAACAAGTAATCTCAAATGTCATTGGCTCAGGCCATTCTGGGTCTAATGCAAACGCAATACCTTCTTTAAACATGACAGTAACTACAGCTTGACCCCCAAAAATATGCTTATCTTGAATTCTACTACAATCTTCTACTGGAGCCACACGCATTTGATCATATTGATGTGTTAAAAATATTTGGTTCTTTTGTTCAAATGGTGTCCAAATCAAGTCATTTTCTTTCTTAGAAATATCCGTTGCGTTGGATCCTATCGGTCGAAAGCACCATAGGAAATGCCTCCTCTTTCTCCAAAAGCAAGTTAGATAAGGTCTGTTTTGCACAACAGGTTTTGAGTGGCCTTGATTTGGTTTTTTCCGGTAAAAGTAGTTGCCAATGGTAAAAGCAATGCGTCCAAGTTGAGTACGGATTGAATATGCATGGTGCGATGTGTTTTTATTAGTTTGGTGGTTAAGAGAAGACGTTGTTGTAGTAGCAGGTGTAGGAAAAATGATAATTTTATTTCCACAAGACTGCTGCTCTGATAAAATAGGATAGTGATTGTTATGATAGCTACTTTGAGATGAATGAGTATCACAAACATACATGAAAATAATACCTCATCGTGTCATATCCAACAAAAGTATTTGATCTACCAAATCAACATAACAATGCATGCAAAAAAAAAAAAAAAAAAAAAAAAAAAAAAAAAAAAAAAAAAAAGAAATAGCAAGGAAAAAAGTAATGAATTGTTTTTTTTTGTTATTTAGCGACTGTGTAACTTGAGGGCGATTCGTATGGCCACAGCATGACCTTCATGCATTCAAGGTCATTTGATATTATGATTGATTTTGCCTTTGCTTTTTAAGAAGAAAAAAGAAGCTGTACTCGTTCACCACAAACAGAGTTGTTTTAGGTCATCTTTTTTAAGTAATATGGTTAATTCAGGTATACTATAGCAAATGTTGAATTCAATGTTTATACAACAAGCCAATAACGGAAATGAACATTTGTAAACAAATACGCTAAATATGTCAGGAAAGCATTATGTTTTCTTTTTTTAGGTGTATACTAATTAATGTACATTTCTCTTTCTATTTTATGACAACTATCCTAATGGATCAAATGCATGTAAATTAGCCTTGCTCAACTGAGCATGATGGGGCTTTGTTGCAGTTGTTGTGGGTGAAGAAATAGGTTTTAATAGGCCCATACTAGAGGAAAGAGGCATCATGGATTGAGGAGTTGTGTTAGTATTTGACAAGGACTGAAGGGCATTGTAATTAGGTGAACTGTTGCTGTTCAATGTTATATTGTTAAAAGATCCATTTAAAGAGGCCATGTTATTTTGAGAAGGAGGCAATGCGAGTGGTTGAATCGTTGTTTGTGACCATGCAGTATTCATAGGTTTCTGCGACCATGTATTATTATTGTTGTTGTTATTGTTACTGTTACTGTTATTGCTGGTATTTGTCGAAGGTCTTGACCATGTATTGTTCATAGGCGCTGAAGGTGTCATAGTATGGTCAGACTTGATGGGTGATAAAGAACTCCATGTGTTTGCTTGTCGAGGCTGCAAGTTCAATGGGGCAGAAGTCCATGTGGAAGTGGCTGGCTTTTGTTGTGGAGTGATAGCGGACGTCGAATTTATGACATTAGTAGCAAGTGTGCTGTTTTGAACCATAGAACCAAAGACATCATCATCATTCTTGTGCTCTTCTATAGCTTTTCCGCCACTGACAAGGCTCTCAAAAGAGATTTCTGTCTCACCTACTCTAGGAGATGGATTGGAAGCAATTTGAGGTGATGCTGAAGCACTAACACTGCGTGTTTGTTCTTCTAATGATTTTACTTCTCTCAAATGCTTTACATGGGCTTCTTCTACTCTGTTTGTTAAATCACGTATGGTTTTCATAAACTTTTGAAACTAGAACAAACAATGTCAGCCTTTTTTTTACATACATTTACTTGCCTGTTCCAAGTTCAATAAAGGTCCGAAACTCATACGCCATAATTGAGGCAATATTTCAGTAGCAATGATCTCTTTATCAGCAATCTTGCCCACTTCATCATACACAGCCAATGTAGCTAACTATATATATATAAGATGACTACTTTCTTTCTCACATGGAATTACCATAACAGCAGGTTCTTTTGTCTTGATATTCTTTAAGACAGGCACTAGTTTTTCTTGCACTGTGAATTTGTCCAAAACTTTGATCATGGCATGAAAACAAATCAATGTACTGACTTTGACAGAAAGAATAGTTGTCTGTACGAACAATGTTTGAACTCGAGGAAAAAGTGAACTCTTGACAGCTGTGTAATCGAGTGATTCGGCTAAAGATGGTATAATACGAAGTGCTTTTTCTTGCACAACAGCAGTGGGTGCTTCCAAAGCAGCATAAACAAGAGGCATCACATCTAGAGAAAATCAGCTCATACTTTCTTTTTGTTGCTATTACCATCACGAAACACTTCTCGAGGTGTCTTTTGTTGTAATACATCTAGCTTTTCTAACAATACAATCATGTTTTGTGGTGGATCTCTTATATTAAAGACAGGCTTCAATGAAGGTAAGACAAGATCACAAAATTCGTTTTGAGATAATTTCTGAGTGATGATAAACACATTGGGAATCGTAAAAGGTAGCAGTTGATAGTCTTTCAATTCTTCTAAAAGAGATGGTAAAATCTAACAATTGACATAAGTATCCTTGTGTCCTGTTCCCACCTTCACATATACCTTTTTCTTTAACACACGCTCTGGGAATTGACCCAAGACACGCGCTAATCCCTTCATGAATTGTGCTTTTTCTTCTCGAGTCTTTTCAGGGAAGCTCTCTAAGAACTTCATCGTGGACACCAACAAGTTGTCAAAGTATCTTGAATTTTGAAAACTGGTAGGATCCATTCTTTGATTTGGACGGCGTGTTAATAAGGATCGAATGACACTTTGAAGATCCATAGGAATATGTTGAAAAGGATGAGAAGCAAGTGCCTTGATTTGATTTTCATAAGCATGAAAACTATTAAATGTCTTGAGTAAGGACACACCCTTATTATGGACAGCATAAGCTAAACAACCCAATGCAAACATGTCATTTGCTTGACATAAATCATTGTCAAGTACAAATTCAGGGGCTATGGGCATCATGAGACACACATAAGTGATATAGCTAGTTTTACCTGCATAATCTAAATTGATTTGGCATGCTTCTGGTAAATAATCTTGGCTCTGTTCGTAGCTTAATTCATTTGAGTTGCCCGTATTTAGAAATACACTGTGCCCTAATCTAAATTATAATATCAACATCTACATATATATATCTTTCTAAAAAAAGAGAGAGAAAATTACCCGCCAATCTTCCAATCACCCTATAACATAGTTCAATCACCATGCCATCTCTTTCTTTTTCTCACCTTTGCATTCACAAATATAGCGTCTGTTGTCAAATTATGGTGTACCACTTTAGCATCACTCAAAAACTGAAGTCCTTTGCCTACTTGCAATAAGCCCTTTTGAATCTGTCATTGAAACAAGTCAATAAATAACCAATATATATATATATATATGTAGAAAAATGGCTTGCCTCAAGTTCGTCTAAATCAAGGCTTGGCTTTTGAGCATCGGATGAATAATTTTCGCTGTTTTTAACCAAGTGTGTCAAGGATCCCATCAGAGGCTCTGTCACAAACACGATCGAGCTACGTGACTCACTCACTGGTTCAACCACTTCTAGAATCGAAGGGTGTCTCAATCGAGCCAGATTACCTGCCTACAGTTGTCAAAAAAAGAGTGGTGCCAAGACATGCTTACTTCTTTCTTTAATAGTTCATACACTTGTTCTGTATCGTGTTTCGATGCATTGCGGTCTCTTTTAAACGATATATCGAGTGTCTTTTTCTCAAATATCTAGATACAATGAGTTATTCTGTTCATGGCTGCTGTGTCTAATTACGAATAATGCGACTTTTTGGCCTGTTGTTTTTCGCTCGCCTTGATATATCTTCCATAGACCTGCAGTAGATATTTGATTCTTTATATCGTACCTCGAAGTAATCGAATTGGTAATTGAATTGATAAATGAATAAAAAGCAGAACTCATGATAAAGAAGAAAAAAGAAAAGAAAAGAAGAGGGGAAAATCAACTCAGTTAGGCATGGTAGTATTGTGACTTTGTTCTTTGGTTGCTATGCTCACTTCATCTTGATTTGTGTAGCCATAGCAATGATTGCTAAGAGACAAGATCCATCCAGGCAAAGCAAAAAAATAGAGTCTTATGCTGTTTATCTTCTGAACCAACGAAAGGCTTTCATTTGTTCAGTTCTGACTTTAAAATTATAAAATTCTTTTTTTCTCTTCTCTGTTTCTTTTGACATAAACACCATGAGTGATTTCGACATTACAAACGTTCGAGCACGTAATTCCTTTCTTGCTTCTTTAAAAAAACGCAAGTAATAAACTCAAAGCTATAAGAACTATATTACTTATGATTTGAATAAAATAGGAAAAGCATTTGGTCTTAATGATTCAGATTCAGATTCAGAGACTGAACAAGTTCGAAAACTCGATAGAAAGAAGAAGCACCCATCTCCACCCAAAGAAAACAAACTATCCAACACAACACAGAATAACAATACGAACAACAATAACAAAGATGCGAATGATATGAGCAGGAATATACATGATGCGAGCGACAACAACAGGGATACGAATGATACAATCAATGAACCAGAACCATTATCAGACGTAAACCCTTATCTTATATCCACTGGACCTGCACTTGAGCAAATCAAAGCATTGTCTAGATCAGCCATTCTTCCTATACCTTCACCACCTTCTACAAACGAAAAATCTGCTTCTTATATGTAAGCCATAATACACGAAAAGAGTCTCTTCTTATTTCTCCTAGCAATCTTTCGGACGACGAGGCTCAAGAATTGCCCTCTATACCTGATGCTCAGATTGAGGACCTAGATCCAGAATTAGCAGCCCTCTTGGAAAATTCCCAAAACAAACCAGAAACACATTCAGAGCCACAAAAGATTTCTATCAGGTTACAATACCAGCACAACTTGGCAGAATTAAGTGAAAAGAGCAAGTCCCTTGTGGAGAAGCTAATGAAGCCTATCAAGATAATTATTATGGATGTGAGTCAATAGACAAAGGCTTAATACCTTGGTTTACTCATGCTTTGATTTAGAATGTCCAATTTCACAAGGTGATGGACGCCTTTTGTATGCATAAAAAATTAAAAAAATCGGAAGTGGTATTGGTCTATAATGAAGAAACAGTCTTTTTGAGTGCAACACCCTCAGGTGTTGGTATGAGTCCCATTGGCACAAACAACATGCGTAAGTTTTATAAAGCTACGATACAATATGCTTATTGTCTGGTAGAGGTCTATCCAAAGCATTGTTTTGATGTCATGAAGCAACAAAAAGAAAAAGAGAAACAGGAGCGTCTCAAGAGAATAGCAGAAGCAAAAAATGATGACAACGATGACTTTGAGATCCCTAAATTCGAATCTGACGTACCCACTCAAAATACAGAGGAAGGCGAAGATAGAATTATCTTGAAGCTAAGAGAAAGTGACAAGAAGGAAGTTTTTTTTCGAATTAGACCTGTAAGTAAATCCATGCTTGATTGCTCCTCTGAAAATATTTCTATAGTCAAGCGTTCTTTCTTCACTTGTCCAATCTTATAAAGCAAGGACAGGCATGGATTCCAATACAAAAATGATGCTGATTTTCGAAGGTGAAGAATTAGATCATAATTTGAAAATCGAAGACACAGAATTAGAGCATGAAGATATTGTGGAAGTAAAGATAGTGTAAAATAAAGTTTATTTGAATGAAAAAGAAGGGTATAATAACGAATTTACTCGTAAAAGTTGATTTCAATCTACAAGAATGAGTATAAATCATCATGATAGCTACTTACGAAAAGAAAGGCTGATTTAACTGGGTTGGATATAGACAATGCTTGTGAATAATATACATTTGAATTTTCTGATTCAATGAATGCCAGCAATCGTTTGACTACCTAATCATAAATAAATAATGAGATAGAAGCCTATAAAGTAAGGATGGTTACCCTCTGATAATGTGTAGAGAAAAAGATAGGCCATAAATAGATAGTAAGTGTCTCAACAATATTCTCTAACACAATAAGCCATGTCAATCTATCTGCATAGTCCATTATTCGATTGATTTCTGTGATTGTATGTGCAAATTGTTCAGGACTGATCTAACAAGAAAATTAAAATTAAGGAGGATTGGTACATTTCTTACTTTGCCAGTCAATTCTACAGGATATTCGGTACTAAAACGAGTGATACCATCACCCAAGGAATAATCACGCTCTATTCTTATTGCTTTCACTGGCACTCTATTCTGAATTGTAATTGCCTGGTGTGCTTTCGACATGGCATTATCTTGAATAGCTGTTTCTGAGCCTATAATGTATGTATTTAAGAATAAGAAAAAGAAGAAGAAAAAAGAAAAATAAAGGGAGGCAGAAATAAAAAAAAAAAAGTAGCTCCATGTTTTATACTATAAAAAATTGCGTCATAAGAAACATACATGTACCTGCCATGATAGTGCTCGATACGCGTGTAGAAGTAGTTTCGAGAGGAAAAGGCTCAAAAGTAAAAGCACTTGTGTTATTAACAAGTGTAGTTGTATCAAGGTGTTTAACAGGAACTGTTTCTCGTCTCAAATGTATTGTGTCTGGTAAACTAGGTTCATATGAAGTTGTTTTGAACATACTATGACAAAAAGAAGAGAAAGAGAAAAAAAAAGGTTTTCTTTTGTGTTTCTGTTTAAAAGAGGAAATAAAACACATTGCAGTGTCCACTGGCGGTTTTTGTAAATCTAATGGGCGATTCTTGTCACTACTGATCTGAAGTATTTATTGACTTAAAATAAATACATTAGTTAATTGATTTGTGCTGCTGCTTTCAATAAATCATTTTGTTCAGAGTCTTCATCCACAGACCAGATCATGATACCACCTAATCCTTTGCTTCGGGCTGACTTGACTTTGGCTGCAATTGAAAGAGGATCATCATAAGAAATAAACACCTTCGTTTCAGGATTGAATAACCAAGGCGTCGAACTAGCATTGTCCCATGTACGAATCCAAGGTGCTTTAGCAGTAGTCGTTGTATCTAAAACACCTTCAGAAAGCATGTTTCCAAAGCGCCAAATGCCAGAGAGCCCTCCAGGATCCTTGGAACAATTGGGATCTTGCCAAGAAGCATCATAAGAATCACCTTTTGGAGACTGTCCTTGAACTTGAGGTTGGTTGATTGAGTCTGACTTGGTCATGTCTTGTTTTGCAGCTACAAAAAAGGGTTATAAGAGAATGTCATAAAATAACACTTATTTACTTGTGGATCTTCCATAGAAAGCTAAACCAGCAGCAAGCTTACTGGCGGGCACACCAGCAGATGTCCAAAATTCAATAGCTGAATTAAAACTATCGCCTCCACCAGAAGCATCCAAAGGCGAATTGGGTCCAGTTTCAGGATTCCAGGCACCATTGATATCATAAGTCATCAAATTAACTCGATCAAGCACATCACCAATAGCGGTAACAAGTTCATTCGATGATTGACCTGCATCAGTCTTAAAACCTTGAACATAACCAGCAATCGTAATTTCCTTATCAGAACCAATAGCCTTGCGTAATTCTTGAAGTAATGTCAAGTAGTTTTGAACGTCGTTTTGTGGATCAACTTGGTTACAGCCAGCACCTTGACGTCCAGGATATTCCCAGTCAATATCAAAGCCGTCAACATCATATTGTTTGATCTGATCTACACACCAGTCAATGAACTCCTTTCTTGAATCACTACTAGCAGCCATATCACTGAAAAAAAAAGAAGAAAAAGGTCAATTTATTGAATCATAAACTAGGCATCTTACCTGAATGAGATACTTCCAGACCAACCACCAATGGAAATGAGTACTTTGGCATTGGACTTGTGAGCAGCTGCCACAAGTTGAGGTAGTTGAGTGTTTGTGTTTTCAGGATCAGTCCATTCAGGTGTAGCACTCTTCACCATAACAGCAAAAGCATAATTTATATGTGTGTATATATCAAATTGAATATTGGAAACAAGATAACGTGCATAGAGCCCTACATAAAAAAAATCAATTAAGTTTAAGTCATACAAATGAATCACTTACAATTGGGAAAATAGCCAATGACAGCTTTACCAGCAAGAAGACATTGAGTCAAAAAGACAAGAATAAAGGCAACTGTTGAGTATCGAATAAACATATTGTAAATGCCGATTGAATAAAGATTCGCTTGTCTTTTTATATAATAAGTCCCAATTGATCATGTGTATTGTGTGTTTGCTCAAGTAATCAATTTCGTTTGAAACGTTTATTGGTAACATCGATATGTCTATTAATTATAAAGTCATAAGCATAATTACATAAATATCATAAGGCAATTAAGATATCATAACTAGCAAACACAACCTATTTTTCAGGAGAGCATCGTCATGTTAGATTGCCTGTGAATATCAGTGTCTTTATGTTTTTTTTTAAATGGCATAGCTATTGTGTTTTGTTCTATTCACTTGGATAAACTGAGGTGATAAAGGATCAAATATCATTTCTCTAAGTCTTTAGATGCAGCGACTTAAAAAAAGGGAGGAGTCAGAAAAAAAAAGTTTTTGTAATTGACAAATAAAGGCACCAGTTCACTTTTGTCAAGTAAACGTTGATAAACTTGTTTCTGTTTTGATTCTTATGTTACTTATTTAATAGCCAGAAGAACATGGGGAAAACAAACAAATTTCTTGTTAATCATTACTTAAACTGGAATTTCGGTCCCAAAATGGTTCAAAAGTATCAGATATGTAAATCTCTTACACTTAATGAGTGTCAAATTCGACACAGATCAAACCTTATTCGGATATGTCCTTGACTAAGTGTGATGTAACAGAAAAAAACTGGTTCCATTCTCCTTGATGAACATCGACATTAACAAGCCAGGCAAGTTCAAGAAATTAAAAGAACTAGCAATTAAGAAAACATGCAAACAAGCTGGATATTTAAAGTCAACAAGAAAGAGCATAGAAAAAGTTAGCATACTTTAAAGCTTGGCATCAGGGAAGTGTTACTTAGTAAAAATTCTGAGTTTGAATTAGTATTTTCATGTTAATAGATTTAGAAATTCAAGAGAAACGATAGACTAAAAGTGACTAAAAGCAAAGAGCTATCAAAAAAGTGTATTAACAAAGATGGCAGATGTAAATACTGCTTATAAAGCAGTATAGAGAAAGTAGCATGTTTAATATCAAGATAGTGGGCTATACTTCAAAAACGTGTTTTATGTTTTAAGTTGTTGTGTACACTTTTTATAGTACTTTTGTAGAAGTGGCATTTTGAGTGTATTCTATAGATTTAGAGAAGCATTTCGTACTAAGACATGTTATGTCTATAACGTCTCTATCGCTGACAAATCGCAAAATAGTGAAAAATGAAGATTTCTTTTTTTTAAAGGTTTTTATTTCTTGCTCCACGTAGACTATGACTAAAGTCTGTCAAGAGGTGGTCGCAATTTTAAGAGGCACAAAGGGTAACATAAGGCCGAATTGACGATTTTGTCACTTTCTCAAACCTTATTATATTTTTGCATAAATACGTTCTTTTATGTATGTTCAAACATAGATAACTAAAGAAAAAGGAATTAGAAGGCAGAAATTATGGTTCATATTGATAAACAGTTGCACCTGTAGCGGGCTACCAATACACTTTTGATGCTATTATTATGTTAATAAATTGCCTTCCAAATTTATTTAAAAAGAAAGGTAGTTTATGTTGAAGGTTTATTCAAAAAAAAAAAAAAAAATAGATTATAATTTAAGGTCATACAATAAGTTTAATGCTCGAAAAAGACATAAATTGAGGATCAAAAGCATGTTAGGTGTGTAATGTGCCAAATAGAATCAAAAGTTATTTAATAGTCACTAAGTATGTATGTTTTTAATTATTTGAATTAGACACTTGATCGGTTGCACTTTTTATGAGAGGGGTCAATAAATACTTACTATTCAACCAAAAGCATATGAAAAGAATAAACTAACTCGGTTTAAATTTATTGTTACATATTGAGTGAGATCAACAATCGACTCAATTATGAGAACAGCATTGATTGTTGTTTCCTCAGCAAGCTTTGGATGTATATACTGATTTTTTATTACAGATTACAAATCCCTTTCATAGTAAAAACGCAATTGATATTATATAAGTTTGTTGCTAATTTGAGGGACTCCTTTTTTTGTACATCATTTGTTTCTCGAAAACACATTGACTAGATCAGCATTAAGTCACATATCATTCAACCCATCATTCTAGAGAATTTCTTGAGATATAGCAGTGGGAAACAATACATTTATGATTGTAAAAAAAAACAGCTCAGCTTTATGAAGTAAAAGGATAAACTGTTTTATCAACACAAAAAACATATCCTGGCTCTTTATATATATCATCTGTGCGTGTTAGCGAGTTTTTGTGAGTGCTTGTAGGTTCAGTTTTTATTCAAGAGGATGTATCTTCATTGTCGCGATAAATAATAAATCCGAATGATGGAAAGAAATGCAATACATTTGAAATCTATAACTTTCACATGTTTCCGTTGCAGCAATTCGTATTCAACGTGGTATTGGGATTTCATGTACAAATGGCTGTAAAATTTGATGTTCTACATACTCTTTTTTAGATGAATATCATGTATAATGCGGGTAAAATACTATATAAATCATTTCTTTAGTTGATATTTGCTTCTGGATTTCATTAAACTTGTTACACAACGTTGGACGATGATTAACCAAAGAAAAAGTTTTCTTTTTGTACCAAGTACCCCACGGGGGACAAAAAAAGAGAGCGATATAGACTTGACTCTAATTTTTTTTTGTTTGGGGTATATTGGTGTAGTACAATCGAGAGTATAAAATAATATTAAAGATGCTCTTTTTTTTTAGAATATTTTGTTTCCTAAACTACAATATACAGAAATTAGAAAGTAAACCCTGGAAAGTTTTTTTTTTATGAATGTCAAAAGGGAGAAAATGGGCCATATCTGAAATGTGAGGGAAAAGGATAGATGGAAAAAGTGTCGAGGAACCTTCCTTTTTTGTAAGCAACGGAAATAAACTTTTTTTTTTTACCTTGCATCCATTTCATTCCGATTCAAAGCAAAAGCATCAAAAATAGAATTTACAACTCAGTGTTTGATACGTTTCACTGTGTTTCTTAAGTAATTCATTGTAGCTTTTTTAGTTTATTCTTTTTGCATAAAGAATACATTGTTTAGAAACATGTTGGGTGATAGCAAAAAGTGACAGAATATGGGTAGAAAACAAAATTAAATCTGGTTTTCCCTCGATATACATGCTTTTTTCTTTTTCATTTTTGTCTCGACTGGGAAAGTTCGGGTTAATTTACTTGAGGAATAAATGGCCTGTCAAGCCATGACAGCAAAATCAGGAAAATCACCAGCTCATGTAACTAAAGTGGTGTGATTATAAAAAAAATGGACCCTTTATCATACTGCAATATCCAGAGCTATGGATCAAAAAGTGGACTTGTCTTTTCTGAGCCAATCAATCTCGTTAAAAAAATGTGGCTCCATAAATGAAAGCAGGCGAATATTCTTTCGAACCCTTTTTTTCCTATTCACGTTAGCGCTCAACTTGTTGTATTTACTCAAACGATTGGTTATGATTTGCAAGACGAACGGGAGTATAGAAGCAGTCATTTCATTTGATATAATATCTGAATAAGGATTGGCTTTATTGAATTGTCCTTTTTTGTACATTTAATAGAAAGGGAAAAGCTGGAAAGATTCCTTTTTATTCAGGATATACGATACAATTGAGTTATACAACGCATAAAATAAGGTTCTATTTTCATGAGGATGAAAAAAGAATGACATTTGTATGAGTTATCTTGTTCATCGTCTTGCTGAAAGTTCCTAGAACTCTCTTTTTTACTTAGTAAACAAATAGAAAAAGCTATCCCAACCAATCACTCTATCGGAACTCCTCGGATTTGTCGAACCGAATTTATCCATCCTACCCACAAGGCATTTATCTCATACAATCTTTCCCGTTTTTTTCATTTCAGAGTACAAAGGTTGGAAGATAAACAAAAAGGAAACAGAAAGACTATTGAATATATGTCGAAAATGCATTGAGATAGTGTCCTCTTTTTCTTATTTTTTATTTATTTGTTATTCTTTGTAACAATTTGATCGTAAAAATATCAATTTTTTTATCTTTTTAGTAATATTTGAAACTAGTAAGATTTTCCTCCCCAGACTTGCGTGTTGACAGTGCACGTCTCTAGAAAAGGAAATCGGTGCAAACTCATGATTATTATTGGTTATGGCAGAAAGATTATACGTATGATGTGCATGGAATCTTTCTTTTGTATTTACACCAGGCAAGGAGTTAAATCAGTATCATGGCATGGTATGGTCAAGGAAATGCTTATAAATCACGCCGTGTTGCAATACTGCTGTTGAACTCCCTTTCGTAGTAGACCCTGAACTAGACAAACAGGAAAATCATACCAACTCAGCAAAGCTGAATAACTCGGAATAATCTGGTTGGATTGTCACCAGAAAAAAAACATTTAAATACAAGTGATTTGTCGTCTTGTATGTCCCCTTGTCTTTATTTCTAACATTTAATTATCTTAATATGGATTCGAGGAACGCATCCCTCAGATACTTTGTCGTTTTTTGCGCCATGGTCGCATCCCTTGGCTCTTTCAATTCTGGTTTCAATACCTCCGCATTGAATATTCCTGGTAATTCCCTCAGAAACTGTCCCAATGTTCCTGCTGGTGAAGTTACTTATTATCCTAATTCTCCTTTACCTCAATGCATTCCCATGTCTGATTGTAAGTTGAGCCTATAGTTAACATATTTTTTACTAACATTGATCTGTTCGTAGGGATTTGGGGTGCTGCTACTGGTATGTTTGCTGTTGGTGGTCTCATTGGTGCCATGGCCAGTGGTTACTTGTCCAACAAATTCGGTCGTCGTGACTCTATGATTCTTATGAACATTAACTTCTTTATTGGTGCTACTTTACTCTCTACTGCTACTACATCTGGTCAATTCGCTGTGGGCCGTATCTTTGTCGGTGCTGGTTCTGGTTTTATGACCTGTGTGATTGGTATCTATGTCTCTGAAATCTCTCCCCCCAAATACCGTGGTGCTCTTACTTCTCTTCTTCAACTTTTCACTACACTCGGTATTCTGATCATTGAATGTATCTCTCTTGGTCTCAATTCTGCTATTGGCTGGCGTATCATTGTGATTATCACTATTGTTCCTACCATTGCTCAAATAGTTTTGCTTCCTTTCTGTGCCAGATCCCCTCGTTGGTTGGTCAATCAGAACAGAATTGATGAAGCCCGTGTTCAATTCCTCAGACTTCGTAACGGTGACATTGAAGCCGAATTCACTGATATGTTGCTCGGTATCACTAAGGGTTCTGAAGAAAAGAAGCCTGTTCCTGAATCTGACAAGGACTCTGCCGCTGGTTTTGATAACGCTGTTCCCAAGGCTGAAACCGAGAATGCCGTCTTTGAATCTGAAGAACAGCTTAGTTTGGTTCAAGTCATGTCTATTCCTGTCTTGGCCTGGTTATGTGTCAAGATCTTTATTTTCCATGCTCTTTCTCAGTTGACTGGTATCAATGCTATCATGTACTACTCTACCAATATCTTTGAAGCTTCCTTTGGTAACAATGCTCAATATGTCACTGTAGGTGTTTCTGCCTTGAATGTTGTCTTGACCGTAGTTGGTCTTAGTTTGATTGACCATCTTGGTCGTAAGACACTCATGTTGATCTCTACCTGTGGTATGTGTATCTGGAATGTGGTGATGACCATTTCCATGCGATACAATGTAGCTGCTCTTCAAGTTGTCTGTATCATGCTTTACGTTGCCTTCTTTGCCATTGGGTATGGTATGATTCCCTTCGTTGTTGTGAGTGAATCTTTCCCTACTTATGCTGTTGGTTCTGCTTCTTCTGCTTGTTTGACTATCAACTGGCTCTGTAACTTTATCATTGGTCTCATCTTCCCTACCTTGTTGAGTGCCTGTGGTCCTTATGTCTTCTTGATCTTTGCTGGTCTTTCTTTGGTTGCCTTTATCTTTGTCTGGATGTTTATTCCTGAAACCAAGCAAAAATCGCTGGATGAAATTGGTCGTCAACTTGGTTGGTACGGTATCAACATCAAGGACTATATCAAATAAGCATCTTATCATATATACTTTTATTCATTCTAATCATTTGTATTTTTAATTCGTGTACAATAAACTTTCTTTTTCTATATGTGTAACCGCCTTTTGTTTATCGTTTGATTTAGATGCATCTTGCCAAGCTTTTTTTTTTCTTAAAAAACAATACGTCCTTTCAATACTTTTACTTTTGGTCTACCTATGCCTTGCCAAGTGGTAAGTAGTAAAAGAAAGCATACAAAACTTGAATAGAATAAAAAAATAACAGTCATGCCAAGACAAAGATACTTTATGAAAGAGTAAAGAAACTCTTTTTCTTTTCCATTTATAGTAATGTCATGATTGAATTAAGAAAAAAAAAATTCACAAGTCAAATAATGTATTCTTTTTTTTTATTATCGTACTGCCAAGAAATATGGCTCTTTTCCATGTTTTCAAGTATTCAAATCAACCATGAACATTCCGCCACTTGAATTGAACAACTTATCTTCTTCAACACCACCTGTTTCCCCCGAAGAGGAACACAAAAAACGAAAACATATAGAAAATGAACCTCATTTTGGAAAGAAAAAGTCCAAACTTGATCTTCATTCATTAAATACGTATCTTTCAAGTGGAAAACCTGTGAATGTCAAAGATGGTCGTTATGGCCTTAACCTCTTATGCTGGGCATGTCAATGTCGATCCCTAGAGGCTGTCAAATGTATTGTTCAACAAGGCAGTATTGACATCAATCAAAGACATGGTCCTCATCAAATCACAGCACTCCATATTGCAGCAGTCGTGAATTTTACAGCGGGCATTGATTATTTGACTCAGCATCCTAATTTAGATATCAATCAAAAGGACCTGTTTGGCTTAACAGCTGCACATTACGCAGCAAGATCAGATCATATTGAAGCGACAAGGATTTTGATCGAAGCAGGTGCTCGACTTGATATGTATGATAAAAAGGGAAAATTGCCTCTTCATTATGCTATACAGAATGCAAGTGTAGATCTCATTCGACTCTTATTGGTCAAACGAGAAAGAAACAATCCTACCATGATCAACTTGGTTTGGTCTGCAGCTACTTTACATGACCATAACGTGATCCAAGAAACTATTGTTGTCACAGGCAACAGTCTTATCTTGAAGGCCTTGTTAGATGCAGGTGCATTTATACCCTTTGAAGTCGGTGGATGGTGGGAATCACATTATGCCATCAAGCAACATCAAATACTCGAACTCTGTGTTCAATGGAATCGGCTTGAATGCCTTATATATCTTACACAGCATGAAGCATTAACCAACGTACCTTCTAAACTGTATCGACATCTACTTTACTTGGCTGTCCAACAACGTAAGCTGGCTCTTGTGAAATACTTGGTAGGACAAGTCAAGGTCAATCCATCCTATGCAAATGGACATAATCCTTCTTTTCTATATGCAGCTAATCATGGGTTTATGGAAATGATACCCTTCTTATTGTCCCCTTGTACTTCTCTCGATTGTATTCAACAAGCCTTTGTGTTCTCCAGTAGGATTGGCAAAGCTTCCTCATTGGCTAATTTGATCAAGGCGTATTGGAAACAAGATTTCCTCAAGAAACCTGATATTCATACTGCTCTTGAAGCATTTGACTCTATTCTTTATCAATAAAATGCTTGTGCAACAACACTGCATAAAATCCTCTTTTGTTTTTTCTTTGAATTGTTATTGGTTAATCGTCATCTCTCACTCTCATTTTTGCGTTTTGCCCTTCTCCTTGCGGATATTTAATTCATTATGTAATGCTCTTTCTTTCTGTCTTCTTTACTCACTTGTGTTTATCAGATTGAATCATTCAAGAATCGCATTTCTCTTTTTGTTGACAAGTGCGTGCAGATTATCTCTCGGTTTCATCTATTGTTGCGTGACTGAAAGGAACTTCATTTTATCATTTTATTATTTTATTATTATTATTATTATTATTATTATTATTATTTTCTTTCAAGTCTATCTCATCGCATACTTTACTTTCTCTTCTGTATAAGAGAAACAAAGACACTTTTCTTTTTTGGTTTTTTTTCGTTTACTTTCTTATTGTTTACTTGGCTTATCCTGCTCATCGATCCAGCTATTTTTTTACTACTTATTTTATTTTTTTTATTCAATCTTCATCTATTTTTCTCATCAACCTTTTTTTAAAAAAAAGAAAGAAAGATGCTTCAAACAGCAAGACAACAAGACAATAGGTAACTCGTATTTTTTTTTCTCGGCTACAACTTTACTTAACTGTTCTTTTCTATATAGCGCACTAGAAGATGTGTTTGAACCTTACAAACTAGATGATCTGATGATGCCACGTTTAAAAAGCCGGTATCTGGGCATGGCTTCTCTTCAACTAGGATCTCTTGTGTACTCCACCTGTACTTTCTTTGAGATTGCTGTATCGGAAAATTCAGAATCATCCAGTTCAGAAGAGGAAGAAGAAGTACCATCCGATGGACTGGATCCCTTGCCGCCAAAAAAGAGAAAGCGTCCCATGAACAAGATGAAGCGTACACTTGTGTTCTGTACAGACAAAACAGACGTCATGTCTTGTCATCAAGCGTTTTATACATTTCCTCGCAATGCCGTAACTGAATGTCTCACACAGATGGCACCTCATAAGGTAAGACACACGATGAAAGATGGCTCCTCATCATCCAACAGATGGTGTTTTCGTTTTTCCCTTGTGCTTCCGTGGGTCCATGTGAGCCTATGGAAGGATCTTTCAAGACAGCATTGGAGGCATTTGCTGCTGTCTGTAGTAATAGCTGTCAGTATCATCATGATGGTCATGTTAATAATGCCATGATATCCAACGTCTCTCATGAACTCTACCAAGCAATCAAATACATGGTATCGAATTATGAAGCAATGTGTCAAAATATGGTGGCCTTGGTAAGATCCAGTGTGATTAGAGAATGGTATGATTGACTCCATGTTTAGATGAAGTTACATCATGAAGAAGTAATACATCATAAATCAGAAATGGTATTAATGCCTGAAATACATCCTCATCAACAAGGAGAACAACAACAACAACAAGAGCAACAAGGTAAGTCATTACTTGTATACTATAGATAATTATAACAATTACAAGATATGTCGCCTGAACCCATTCAAGCAGAAGAAACACAGAAACAAGAAGAAGAAGAAGAAGAAGAGCAAGAAGCAGTTGTAAAAGAAGAATCGCGTTTACTTGCTAAGCCTAAATCCAATCCAAACCAAAACCAGATCAAGAAATGCCTTTATTGTGGCTCTAAATCCACTCCTATGTGGCGCCGAGGTCCTCAAGGTGCAGGCACACTCTGTAATGCATGTGGTGTCAAATGGAAGCACGGCAAGATACTGAGTGAACATCCTGATCAATACACATTGGAACGTCGACCTAGTAAACCAGAAAGAAAAAGGAAAAAATCAACCAGCAAACGAACCACCAAGAAAAGAGCCACCAGTGTGCCTCAACAAGATGATGTGATACATGAATATTATGCTGTACCTACTCAACCTCAAGTATGGGAAAGTACTTCAAGTTCTACATCCGATTCATGTAGTCCTTTAGAATCACCTAGTCTTTTGTTAGAAAAAAGACAGGAAACAAAAAGAGATTTAAGTTCTATCATGACTTATGATACAGAAACACTTTCTGTTTATGTGGGTGAAGATGCTGTAGAAGCTGCGGCAGTGCTAACGCTCTTAAAAAGAAGTTAAATTCTTTATGTGTACATATATCTCAATCGTAGTAATAATAATAAAAAAAAAGCATAAAAAAAGGATGTATCGAATAAAGAATCAAGCTCAATGACAAGGCTTTGACTAACAAAAGTTCTAAACAGAAGTTGAAATAAACAAAAGTCTCAAACTCATACATATTAGAATCCAACATATCAATTCTCTTTTAAAGATCATGATGAAGGAATTGATCTTTATAGACAACATTCAAGTGCACAAACTTTCTTTGAAGATCAACATGAGCCTGCTTTCCATCGACTTTTTGATTGAAACTGAAAGTAGATGTCTCAAGACTACAATTATTGCTGTTCTATCAAATGATGCAAGCAACAGTCCATTTTCTTGAGTGCCTTTTGACTAAGTCTGATCTTGACCCTGCTGCTGCTATTGAACTTGACAGGGTTGCTTGAGCTATGACTCTTATAGCGTTTGGCCCATTGGGCTATAGCTCTTTGCATGCCAAAAGATAAGACAATCTACTTGAAACCAAACATTTATCTCTAATGTGACTTTCGTATTCTGACAAAGGCATTATGGTCTTTAAAGGCTTTTATCGAGAGGGATATATCTTTAGAGAGAATAAGTGTAGTAGTAAAGAAACAAAGAAAGATTCATTTTTTTTCTAAGCCCTCCTAAGTTCATAAAAAGTCACAAATGACGTCGCCGCATTGTTCTCATTAAAAGGAGAACGAAAGAGAACACAAGCTTTCTTAAGCTTTATATTTAAGAATGCCAGTAAACGATGCAAAATACATTAAAGAAGTATGGGCTGAAAACCTAGAAGAAGAGATGGCGTACCTTCGTGATTTAGTAGAAGATTATCCTTACTTGGCCATGGTATATATATATATATATAAAAAAAGACACATGATGTCCTGTTCATATATATTTATATACATCATGATAGGATACTGAATTTCCTGGTGTAGTAGCTAGACCTATCGGTACATTCAAGACATCTTCTGACTATCATTATCAAACACTTCGATGCAATGTGGATTTACTAAAAATTATTCAACTGGGTGTTACTTTTGCTGATCAGTATGGTAATTTGCCAGGCAATGTCTGTACTTGGCAGTTCAACTTCAAGTTCAACTTGGCGTAAGTTGGACTAGAATGTACGCGCGTTCAGTAGCTCATTCTATGTTAGGGACGATATGTATGCACAAGATTCAATTGAACTATTAACCAAATCAGGCATTGATTTCAAAAAGCATGAAGAATATGGTATTGATGTTGAACATTTTGGAGAATTGTTGATTAGTTCTGGGTTTGTCTTGTTAGACGATGTTAAATGGATATCATTTCATAGGTAGAAAAGAAAAAGAAAAGTGTTTGTTTGCTTACTGTTTGTTTAGTGGCTACGATTTTGGTTATCTGTTAAAAGTATTGACTTGTTCATTGATGCCTGCAGATGAAACAGAATTTTTTGAATTACTTCGAACTTATTTTCCATGTATATACGATATTAAATACTTGATGAAAAGTTGCAAGAATCTAAAAGGTGGATTACAAGACATAGCTGATGACTTACAAGTAAGCCTAAAGATATGATAAACATACATACACATACACACACACTAATGTATTTTAGGTGGCTAGAATTGGTCCTCAACATCAAGCTGGTAGTGATAGTCTATTGACTTGTACCACCTTTTTTAAGATGAGGCAAATGTTTTTTGAAGATAGAATTGATGATCAAAAATACCTGTAAGTGTAGAAGAAGTCTAAGTGGTTGTTATTCACTAGCTGTATAGTGGTTATCTGTATGGGTTAAAATGTAGTCCAAACTCAATTCAAGCAATCACATCAGCAACTCATCATTTATCAATAGATGATCATTTGAATAAAGCAAATGGAAAGTAAAATCTCTTTGAGTGTGTATATTTATTTACAATTTGGCTTCAGTAATAAAAGTAGCTCCCTTAACAATATTGCCCTTTAATTCAGGAGTAGCAGCAGCAAGTAACTTGTGTTCATAGTCATTAAGTTGACCAAGAGGCAATACTCTTTCAACACCTTGAGGACCCAATTCAACAGGCAAACTAAAGTATTCCAAGTCACCTACGTATGATTTGGCTACACCTTCCTTATCTGCCTCAAGATCGATATAGGTACATTCAACAATACCCTTTTTACCAGCCACGACAGCCTCAGCAATGTTCAAGGCAAAACGAGCACCAGCATAGGCCATAGAGAGAGTAGCAGAACCAGCACCATCTTTAGCCTTGACAACTTCATCACCACCAAATTGGATACGGTAAGTAACTTGTTCAATCTGTTCTTGGCTTAATTTGTCAGTACCCTCTACTTGAGATAACAAGGGCAAGATGGTCACACCACTATGACCACCTACCACAGGCACACGGAGTGTACTAGCACTAGCACCAATCAATTCCGAAACAAAAGTGGAAGCACGTACGATATCCAATGTGGTCACACCAAAAATACGACGAGGATCATACACATTGAACTGCTTGAATACTTCGGCAACAATAGGAACAGTTGAATTCACAGGGTTAGAGATGATACACATAAAGGCCTTGGGAGCATATTTAGCAGCAGCCACAGCAAGATCACGGACAATACCAGCATTGATTTTGAATAGATCATCGCGCGTCATACCAGGTTTTCTAGGCACACCAGCGGGGATAACCACTGAAGATCACAAAGTGTAAGTATATACTTATCATTTTATGTTTATATATCTTACCAATAGCAGCATCCTTGATGGCTTCTTCAAGTTGAGCAGCACCAACATGACCAGTAACTTTAGATTGAGTATTAATATGGCTAGAAATAATCAGTTTGGGATAAATTTTTTATTTGCTTACCTTAAATCAGCAGCAACACCAGGTGTATTCACGATATCGTACAAAGATAAATGAGTAATGAGTTCAGATTGCTTCAAGAGCAAGGAAAGAGGTTGACCAATGCCACCAGCAGCACCACAAACAGTTACTTTAACCATGATTTAATACAAGTAAATATATAAAAGAAGAAGAAAAAGACGTGAACTTTGGAAAACCTTTTTTTATATTGTTTATTTTTTTGGGTGCCAGTCACCCCGCATTTTTTTTTTTTTATAGTATTTCACACACACACGCACACACACACACACACACACGCACATATATATATATATATTTATATTTATATATATATATTCCCCCTTGTGTTTAATATCAACGAATAAGAGTCATCAAGATGTGTAAGACTATTTACCCCGCATTTTATGCAATCCTATTTTTTTTTTATCCGCATTTCGCCAAGAAACGGGTCATAGACACACATTAAGAGAGTTGTCGACATGACACTAATTAAATGCCCGTCATGCAAAAGTGTGTGTGTGAATACCAATTTGCCTATTATATACATATTTTTTTTTGAGTCTTCTTTAACAAGGTTTCAATGGATAACAATAAATTATCAGATAAACGAGTTGTAGTGGCTTCTTTGTTTCTACCTTATACAGTTGACTTTGAACTTCAAGAAAGAAAAAGGCGGTCTACTATCACTACACAAGACACGTCTGACGCACTCAATCTTATACAGAGTCTGGCAAAGCATCGGCAAGAAAAGGAAACTAAACCTCAAGAACTGTTTGACTTTAAGAAACCCGAGAAACTTGTACAGCCACGGTCTAAACAACAAAGGGAAGAAGAAATTCGAAAATTAGTGCCCTTGTTATCTGTCCAGAGTAGACGTCCTTCTGTTGATACGGTCTTTACAGACGCACCATGGTCTGTGAAACCTTGTTCTGTAGGCAACATTGGTCTCAACAATGCATTGTTCTCTATTCAAGATAGACTTCATCAGATTGCCTGGGTCGGCACACTCGGTATGTCAACGGATGCCTTGGTTCAAAAGACCAAAGATCAAATCTGTACTCGATTTCGTCAAGACTATCATGCTTATCCCGTCATGCCTTCCGATAGTGTATTTGATGGTCATTATAACCAATACTGTAAACAAGTACTTTGGCCTTATTTTCATTATGTGGTCAGGGATGATCCAAAGAACATGATGTCACAAAATGGACCTTATCATTCTTACAAGGCACTCAATCAACAGTTTGCCGATACAATTGTTGAAAATTATCAACAAGGTGATATCAGTAAGTAGCTTGGTTAATTCTCACATTGTGCCTGGGATTTGACATGTGAATTTCTTGGTTAGTTTGGATAAATGATTATCATCTTATGCTTTTGCCTGGTATGATTCGTGAAAAGATTCCTACGGCTACCATTGGTTTCTTTCTTCATATTCCTTTCCCTAGTTCTGAATTGTTCCGATGTTTACCGCGTAAGTGCCTGGTTTGATTAAAATAGCTTATGCATTGTATGTAGCGAGAAAAGAACTGTTAAAAGCCATGCTTCAGTCAGATGTAATTGGATTTCAAACCTATTCGTTTGCTCGTCACTTTCTACAATGTGCTCGTACATTGGGTGTCGAGACAACACCTGCAGGCATTCGGTGCAAAGATCACTATTGCTCAGTTGGCATTCACCCTATAGGTATTGATATGCATGCCTTGTCAAAGAAGATATCTGACCCACAAGTCACTCAATGGGTCACAAAACTCAAGGAAAAATACGCAGACAAGAAACTGATTGTAGCCCGTGATAAATTGGACTACATCAAGGGTGTACGACAAAAACTGCTGGCATTTGAACAATTTCTGATTCGACACCCTGAATGGCGAGGCAAAGTGGTCTTGATCCAGATTGCCTTGTCGACGTCTGAACATAATGAATTAAGAGCTCATATTTCAGATGTTGTCTCCCGTGTCAATTCCAAGTTTAGTAATCTCTCTTATCAGCCCATTGTGTTTCTTCATCAGGATATTACGTTTTCTCAGTATTTGGCCTTGTTGACGTGTGCTGATACGTGTTTATTGACACCGTTAAGAGATGGCATGAATTTGACGTCGCATGAATATATTGCTTGTCAGAAAGAAACACATAACCCATTGATCTTGAGTGAATTTACCGGGACATATGGTAGTTTTGGGGCTTCTATTCGTGTCAATCCTTGGGATTATCCAGTAAGTAAGAAAACAGCCATGCTATGTTTGCTGATAGTTTCTATAGCAAGTAAGTGATGCTATTCATGAAGCTTTATCTATGTCTGCAGAAGAGAAATCGATTCGATGGAATGAACTCTATAAAGTGATAGAGACCAATTCTGCTCAACATTTTGCTACCAACATTATTACACGACTTGATAAAGTACGTGCTTGAATTTATGCAATACATCACTGCGGTTCATAAATAAAATGAGTCACTTTCTTTTTTTTTCATATTTTTCCTCTATTCTTTTTCTATTCTTGCTTTTGACAGAATATGCTTGTAACTTGTATAAAACCATTACCTGTTGTTTGTTCTAGGCGTTTATTACATACTACCTTGAGTAGACAACAACAACAACAACAAAGACCCCAAGAATATGAACTTCGAGTTGGTTTTGGCAAGTATGATAGAAATAATAATAATAATAAAAAAGAGTGTGATTGACCATTGTATTAGCTATTGCAACTTTACAAGATGACATAACCCATTTCTTTTCTAGAGGATTAACCGAGCATTCCATCTATTCCCCTCATATCAAACTATCAGACCCTGATTATACAAAACTTTCAATCCATGGTCGTACGGCCTATTTGGGAATAGCGCAAATGTTAAGATGGAGCTCGAGCATGTATTTTGATGATATTCAATTAGAAATTACAAAGATGAGAGTATTGTCTGATGATACCACCTACATTGATCATGATAACATGTTTTTTTCTTCAATAAGTCAAGCAGAGAATGACTTGAAATCCAAAGGCATTGTGAAAAAGCTTGAAGTGAGATGGAAAATGCAGGGTATAAAGAATGCTACTTGGTTTGTAGAGTCACGTACAAGATATATTGAAGGTGTATTTGTGTATGCGTTTGATCATGAAGGATATATTGGGGAACATCGCATACAACGTATTGTGCCTCCACCTAGTAGACGCGTTGTTTTGTTACATTCGTTGGGTGTTCGATTACGTTCTTTGTTCTGGGAAAGAAGGCCACCTGTTTTAAATCCTGGTTTTTGAATAATAAGAATAATAAAGGAATATTTTTATTATTGATATTGAATGACCCTTGGGTAAATATCAACTTTTGAGAGACTTTTCACTAGATGGTTGATGAATTCGTTTTTAGCCAAATCCTCTATATCTATGCACACGCCTCTTTTGATTTCAAATAAACAATGTTGATCCATACTATCCATTTCTAAGTACTCCAGACAAGGACATTGTACCACAATCGCATGTATTGATGCCACAGATATTGATTGGCCATACAGTTCAAGTTGATGTATCCTATTTAAATGGAAAACAGATGCATCGAAACGGTCTTGCTCAAGTAGTAATCCATAGTCAAGATGCATTGTATTTTGAGTCACTTCCAACAAGACTGGTGCATGACCATATTCTCGAAGTGTGTATTGATAATTTAACTGGCGACGATGCCCTAATGCGTTTATCACTTGAGAGAGATAGTCTTGTTGGACAGGATGCGCTGTATGGTGTATTGAACTGGCGTACATCATGGCGTGAGAAGCTAAACTCATGCGTTTGGCTAATGCGACTATTTTTTGAATACCATGCTTTTGAATCCAGTTAAAGAAATTGTCCTGAACAAGTTCTAGTTTAATGGTTTCCATATGAGATGAGGTATAGTACAAAAGGTAATCAAGATAAGGTTCAGAAAGTGTAGGTAACCGTAATACAAGCGATATTAGACGATGGTGGTAAGGGCGACGTTGGTTCATTCGACTCAAGACATAGGTGGCAATGTCGTTCATACAAAAACTACTTTCATACGAAACATGCGTCAATTGAGGACACATTGTCAGTACACTAAACAGGGTAAGACTCCTGTTGTCGTAATTGAACACAGTTAAATTTGTGAGCTGAGAAAAATGAGGTAAGAAAGTGATGTGATTAAAATGAGTTGGTTCATAGGGTTGTTGTTCGTCCAAGAGATAGAGTTGTTTAAGTGTATGGCTGTATTTCTGACAGACAGAGAGATAGTAGTAACTACAATAGACATCAGACCAATAAGAGTAGTCAGTATCTATCTGTTGAATATGGCTCAAGATCGGCAAATTGGCATAAAGAATGGTTTTCATGTAATGATCACAATGATGGCTGCCACTCAAGTCCAATTTGATCAGGTTGGGAAAGTATAACAAGAGATCCAGAAACCGTTTGCTCGATAATTTAACAGTGTGTTGTTGATGTTCGTCATGATAGATCGTGAGTGTGGTCGTGTGTGGCGTATATTGAAAGTAGGGTTGAAGATCTGTCTTGGTTGAAAAGAGTGTATGTAGTCTGGCTATGTTGATGCCTCGAATTTGGATGTTTTTATAGAATGGAATGATAGTAAAATCATACCATTTCTTGCATACATACATACTTGCTTGTAAACTGGCTCTGTTGGATGCCACATGATCAAATATGTGTTGACATATTTCACTAGGAAGTTGTTGAAAAATCGACATTTAAAAAAAAATCAAGAAAAAAGAGAGAGAGAGAGAGAGAGGTAGAGAGACAGTGTATCATGTTGATAGCCTCGGGCAATAAAAAGAAAAGTTTATTCTATTCCCATGACGCATTTATGCCTGGATAGGTTCATAGCCTTCAAGTAAATCAATTGGATGGCCAAATGCATTGGACAATTCTGTGTTTAAAACTTGATCTAAAGTATGGTTATCTCTGTGATAAAACCACTTGTGATGCTTTTCATCAAAGTCATATCGTTGAGGACCACTGATCGTATTCTGTTAGAGAATCAATCTTTGCTTGTCAACTTACCTGATAGGCGATGATAACCAAATTTGATGATTAGGAGGTTGTTTATTGACTACATAGGTACCATGTTCACCAAGAGAAATGGTCATGACGCCTTGCTATGCAAATGTAAATTTTCAATAACTACCCAGTGTTCCTCTTACACTATATTCTATATCAAATCCAGGCATATCTGTCTCATCTCCAATTTCTTCTAATTTGTTTACAATATGTTCCAAAATTTGATCTGATAAACGATGGTATCTATCGGTATCTAATTGACTACAAAAACCATGAGCATGAGATGATACCGAACAACACATATTACGTAATAGTATAGCTTGTAGGCTCTTTGTGTTGAATAAAACTAGAGTGAATTTGGCGTGAGCATAAAGGTGTCAAGCGCACAGAACGAGTGACTGGCACACGCAACGTTTGACAGACAATTCTAGTGGAAGCAAAAGCTCTTGAATATTGAGCTGAAGCACGAGCTATGTGTCGAAGCATAGAGTCTAAGAATAAGAAAGAGAGAGAGAAAAAAAAATACATATAACTTTTTCGCATCATTTCAGTTGATCCTGGCGTTACTTTTTTCTTGTCCACAGTCACGGTAGAGTCAAATTCGACATGGTCTCTGCATGAAAATTCGTTCTGAATGCTTTTACTCTTGAAGATAACTTCCAAAAAGAAAAAATAGATCGGCAAACAACTAAACAACAAGAATGGTTTAGATAAATAAATTTAGAATGAAATCAGTCTTTCAAACTAAATCGATGCAATAAGTAACAGGAAGAAAGTCGTTTGGTTATTAAGCTTTTTCATAAAGGCTTTTATTGAACAGTTCAATAATCCTCTTCTGTCAACCAAATGTTTTAGTGACTCATGTAATTAGAACCTTGTCTACTAAGAGTTTCTTGGAAACATACAAAGCTTAAATCAAAGCCCTAAGAAGATTTCGTATGGAATAACACCTCGTTAAATGAGCAAATAAAGCACAAAAAAGGGGGATCAAAATGTTCGTTATTAGAACATGAAGATGTGGCACCCAAGTTGGTTTATAGAGTCTTCTGTTGTTAAGACATTCCATTTAATTGTATATTGATAACCAACATAAAGAATAAGCCTGTTTTATATATTTTCCATGAGGCAAACAACATTGAATGGCTTGCGTACATGTTTACAGAATAAACAGTGTTACTATTTGAAAACCTAGATAGCTGTCACTGAAGTAGACTTTGGGAAAAAAAGACAGACACAGTAAAAATATCTATTGGATATGGCTTGCCCATAGATCCCAGAGAAAAGACCTTTGGAGAAAATAAGGCACGTATTTTTGCCTTCAAGGGCCATATGACTGATAAGACGGATCGATGTGGAGCTTCAATGGAGGTATTATGGAGAAAACTAAAGGAGGTATAAATGAAATTGTTTTAATGTTGAAAGTGACGAACAATCGATGAAAAATCGATCAAGGTAGAAGGCCTGATGAATTGCATGCAAAGATAGCGTTTGATGTCCGATGTTTGATTGAAGTATTTTCAAGATTGCTTGGTTCACTTGAATCTTGCATGAACGTATGCCTAGGCCGAATTTACGGTTTTCATAATAAAAGAAGCGTGCACACAAATGAAATTGTAGGCTCCGAGCTGAATGTATCTTTCTTGTAGAAGAAAAGTGTGTGGCTAAATTGAGCTTGTAAATACACAGTAATCTGCATTGATCCACAACATGTTTAATACATATGCGAAAGGCCACCTTTCATATGCCACGCATCATAAAGTGTAAGGGAATTTGCCGACTATTTGGCTGTTTATATGTATATATAAGCAAGTATTCCTTTTCTTTGATTCAAGGAAGATCAAGAGTGTTTTTAATAGGACGATTCATTTAAATGGACAGCTTGGTGCTACATTACTTAGTCAGGCAACAGAACAATAGGCATGCAAATGCTTTGGCAGCGAAAAAAGAGAATAAGTCATGCATACCTTCTTTTTTTTTTTAAACATATAGAGGTAACATAAAGCCTGTCTGTACATGCATAAGCGCTTTAAATGCCTGTAAACAATATTCAATAATACTCAAGGTACCTTTGGGGTTGATTTGGACCAAAAAAAAACGACTTGTAAAAAATGGCCAAGATGGCCAAAATGACCTTATGACCTTATGTCCAAAGGGTATTACTCATGAAAAAAGCTCGACTTGACAACACTTGATCTTCTTTTTATTGATGCTTATCCGGTCTCGTACTTACTTAGCCTTCATATTCGTAATATCAATGACTGCAAATATCATCAGGTTCCATTGTTGTTTCCTTCTTCTCGTACACAAGGACTGAAAAAACAAAGAACTGGCACTATTAATATGCTATATCGTGCCATTGATTGTCTTCCTCGATTATTTGCTAATGCTCGCCTTAATACTGCTACCGCTATGGTCCTACCTTTGCAAGCTGTGCTTTACATTCCTCCTTCTTCGTCCTTCGTTGTCCCCCTAGGTGTCAAGAAAATGATGGTGCCAGATTTCTTTCAAGTTGATGCTAGACTCAACTTTGTTCACTGGAAAGATACTCGTGATCTTTCATTACTTCATTGGAAGCGTACTCCCTCCACAGTCTTCAAAGGTCTTGCATCTGGGAGTTTGAAACTTCAGCCATTTTTTAGCTCTGTATGTAGTCCTGCTCCATTTGAAGACTCGACGGTCTCATTTGCGCCTTTGATCAACCAATTTCGGTTTCAAGATAATCAAGGTATTGGTAGTGTCAAGGCATCGGCTAAGACATTTCGTCAGTCAGTTCTCTCGTCTATGGCTCCTCCTTTGGCTTTGAGAAATATTACAGAAGTGAAATGGAAATTCTTTTGGTCTCTGTCTCTTACTTCTATTCAACGTAATGTGGCATATCGGTATATCTTGGGGTGTATTCCTCATCGTCGATTCTTACATTTTATTATGCCTCGTGTGTTTGACTCTCCCTTCTGTCCGGTGTGCTTAACTACCACTGACTCTATTAGCCATATGCTCTTTCATTGTCCAACTAAAGAGAAGGTATGACAGGAAATTATCTTTGAGTTTCTTTGGCCTACCACCTCAATATCTGATATCAAAGAGGCCCTTCCGTCCCTGGACTTCTCGTACATCTGGTACTGCCAATGGAAAGGAATCAAACCATACCGAATCCTCATAATGACTCTTTCACAAATTTGGCTTGCTCATATGAGATTTATTTCTGACAAGACCCCCATTGTACCCACGGCCATATTAGCAAGCATCCGATTTAATGTTCATCAGACCATTGAAGAGGATCAATGCCATTCAATCATGTAACTTTTTTTTCTCTTTCTATCTATTTTATTTTATTTTAGTTTATTTTGTTTAGTATATTTCGTCTTATTTTATTGGCTTTCATTTTGATTGCACCCGCCTCTTCACTTTGACTATTACTCTTAGTGTACGCGGCTCAATCAATAAACACATTTTTTTAAAAAAAAAATCTTCTTTTTGACGCTGCAAGACGAAAAATAAAGCTACCAACAAGCTTTAATACTCAAAATGAGCGCAAAAAGCTCTAGCCTTTGGTCAAAATGTTTACCTGCCAATTGTGCTATAAAAATGATATGACAAGAGCAAAAGACCTTAAAAACATTTTCGCATATTTGCTCAACATTTTAGTAGCAAAGCTGCCATGTCATTAGTATTGATGGGCTTAGAAAGTAAAGAACTACAGCTTTTGTCACTAAACCAAAGTCCAATAACTGCGTCTTTATGCAGTTATCAGCAAAGGCTTGATTTCAAAGGCGGCGGGATGAAGAACTAGAGTTTTTCTATTTTAAACCTCGCATCACAGTCAATCAGTATGTCTTTTGTTCATTTAGCCCACATTTTCGTCACAAAGTGCCTATATTTCTATTTTTCTATGTTTCTCGGTACTCAAAATAACATATGACATCTTCTATAAGCTCGTTGCTCACAGGTTCTATATGTCATCGAGAGCAAAAATGCTCAAAACACAGCTTAAATGCACCATTCTTTGACGGATCATTTCTCGACAAACAGACTATCAAAACAGTCTGTTTTTTGTTTAAAACATGTTCTTTGGAGTTCAGCAATTGAATGGTACCATTGGTTTGGCTGTTTTGTGAAATTTATGTTTTTGTTCCTGGGGGATCCACGGAGGTCCGTGAAGATAAAAAAAAAAACAAGAATTTTTTGGACATAAGGTCATAAGATCATTTTGGCCATCTTGACCATTTTTTACAAGTCGTTTTTTTTTGTCCAAATCAACCCCAAAGGTACCTTGAGTGTTATTGAATATTGTTTACAGGTATCTAAAGTGTTTATGCGTGTATAAATAGATCGTGAGGCCCTTCATTTGTCTGAAAAAAGACCACCATCTATGTGAATTGTTACCTTTTTTCACACTTGAGGCATTTGCATACCTGAGGTATCTGCTACAAGAATGAGTTATGTCCTACTATGCTTTTCATTCAAATGAAATATCTTCCTTTAGAAAATATGTCGTTAAATCATACAAATGATATTGTACTTTTTAGTGTAAATGTATCTTTATTGTACAAAAAAGTGTGTGATGAAACTGAAGTTGTGGATAACGGTAGTCTACATTAGTCTATAGCATGTTTAATGCATATGCAGGAGAGCCCCATTCATATGCCATACATCAGAAAGCTTAAGGGAATTTATCAACTATTTTGATATCTTTCATAAGCAAGTATTTCCTTTTTAATCTAAAGAAGACAAAGAGTCTTTTTAATAGAACATTTTGTTCAAATGGGCAGTTTGATAGTATATTACTCATTCTTGTAACAGAGATTACCAGGCAAATAAATGCTTTTCGACAGTTGGGTTATCAACATGGCTGCAACAGGTTGCGTTGATATAGCTCATTCAATAAACAAGCTGCTTTTTTCTTTTTATCTTTCTTTTTTATCTGACTCATTACTTTTTTCTTTATTAAATGCTTTCAAGTTGCTGTCATTTTCATTTTATGCATTTTACTAGAGCTTATTGTTTTTTTAAAGTGCATGAAATAGTTTTTTTTTTTTAGTATAAAGGGTCACGACTGTGAGTCTATAGTTTTGGCATCAAGACCAAAAGTATAGCTATGCTGTGTTTGTAGTCAAAGATTAACAGAAGTTTTTGCTAGACAGCAAAGGTACAAAAAAGGGTTACTATAATCAGAGCATCAAAGGAAAAAATTTTCTAGTGCTATCATTGAATTACGATGTCTCATTTTTTCATTCATTTGAACCATTTATTACAGTTAATATATTGATATATTATAGAATTACCAATCCGGATTTTGTTGTTTCATTATGTTAGCTTTGCACACATCATGGTTGGATTAGATTTAAACAGAATGTTTCTCTTGGCAGCTCTACTAATTATGCTTATATCACAAATATCTATTTATAAACTTCTCTTCGAAGTTCTATAATGTGAATATATCATTGCTTTGAGTAATATCTTATTGGAATATTACTGCTACCCATTTGTATTATCTTTATTGAAAGATTAATATTTGCTTAATCACCTTCCATTTGTATAAACCAATCAAACATTGCGTTATTTACTGTAGAATAGCCACAAAGAGTGATAGACAACAGTGGGCTTAGTCCTGGGAAGACAATAATAAACACAATGCCCTTTCGCTTTGAAAGAAAGTGCATGTATACGTTGTCAAGCTTCAAATTAATCAAAAATTATTTCCAAAAAGAAATTGTATGTACGAATGGATGATTGACTAAAATAAACTAATTACTTAAAGTGGTCAAGCTCTCTCTTTCCCTTTTTCTTTTAGAATAAATTATGATAGACAAAGGTAATATCAGTTAAATTAAACACTTCAAGTTTTTTTTTGCAGTTTTTTTGTTTTTTATTTCTGCAGATTCGTTTCCCGCAATTGAGTTATGGACACAAAAACCGCTGCAGGCACTGTAAAGGGGGACTATAAATAGGTGAAGATTAAAGTAAGTTATATAGTGTATATGGCATTTTCTTTCTTTTATGCACCAGTAGCTGTTGGTGCAGCGGCAGTTGTAGTAACGACAGTAGTAGTAGTGGTATTGCTGTGTGTCTATATAATATAACCGAGTTAATTTTGATCTGAGCCTCATTATATAAAGTTGGGCTTACCTGTGTACCAACAATTGAACCTATGAAAGTATTGATAAGAAAAAAGGTTGGGCATAATTTATTTACTTACCAATGATGATACCAAGAATAACCAAGATGGTAACAGCAATAATAATCTTCCATTTCAAATCCTTCCACCACATTCTCTTACGCACTTGGTTAGCACCACGACGGAAATGACCCGCAGTTGCTTGTAAATCCTCTATTTGTGTGGGTGAATAAGAAGCGTGATGTGAGTCTGAAAAAACTTTACCTGTTTTGCCTCTAAGATCATCTAATCTTTCTCCTCTTTGCATCACCTTGTCGATATTCTCTTGCATGATACCAACAACTTCGTCTACTTGTTGCTGAACTCGAGCTGTTTTGTTGTTACCTTCTTCATTTCTGTTTTTGTTAGGGATATAAGGATCATAGGGTGCAGACCTAGTATACAAATTAATACTTATTAAAACAAGGAGACTTACATTTTATTATCTTTATTAACTTTAGAAAAAAGAGAGAAAGAAAGGGAAAAGGGAAAGGAAAAAAGTAGTTTTTGTCGCTTTTTAAATCCTTTTTTTCCCTGTCATGTTGCACCAAAAAACTCAAATGTAAAAAAAAAAAAAAAAAAAAAAAAAAGAAATCCCTGTCTCAAACGAAAACCCTTTCTTAGCAAATGTTAAACCCCCATATTTCTTTGATTCTTGATATCTCAATGGTTTCGAATAAATAAGAAGTAGTTTATTTTCTTTATTTCATTTCATCATTATTCGAGATATCCGGAAAGTCTTTCATAAACTACCCAAAAACAAAAATGTCTCAGTCCTTGTGATGTATCATAAAAAGAAATAAAGAGCTTAACAAAAATAGTGAAAACGATAAACTCATAGTGTATCCACACGTTTTTGTTTATTTGTAAGAAAAAAAAGTGTCATCAAAGCCAGTTAAATTAATTCTGCAGAAGTTATTTTTTGTCCACTTTTGATTTTATCAGCAGCTGCCAAGCCCTTTAATGTCGCTGCATTAGGACACTTGTCTGGTGCAAAATGGACAATGAAGTCACCTTCTTCATAAAACTTGGGAAACGTATTAAAGATATGATTTTGTCTATCGAGAAACAAGGTCTTCCTGATATATTTCTCCTCGCGCATTACATCCCACATAGCGCCTTGTTCATAACTAGGGCCCTGTCGATACCATTCTTGTCTAGCCTGGATGTCTCGCAAGAATTGAGCAGACCATGCCGTATTTTTGATCAAAAACACACCTGCATTAATCATCTTGTCTGTTCCAGGTCGAACTACAATAAAATCAATCTCGTTAAAATCAGTACCATTATAATAAGATTCCAAGGTGTGTAACAGAGATTCAACTGATTGGGCTTGATTCATAACTACAGCATCCATATCAAGCCATAAAAGCCATTCGTATTTAGGTAATACTTTTTGAATTGCATCAATTTTGCCCCAGACAGTACGACGTTGATCGGGTCGCATTGCTTGTTGAGCAAACTCGCTTGACCGAGCCACAAATGCATAGCCGTGGCGTGTTGCATAATCACGCTTATTAAGAGAAGCTCTTGTACCACTGGGCTCCATACATTTATCATAGATAAAAGAGGAAGTGATGACAGCAATGGATTGATTACCTGTCAATGAAGACAATGGCTTTACTTGATACAATTGTACTAGATTTGTAAAGTCTTGGTCTTGATAAACATGTTGTATCGATATATAACTAGTGTCTACTGATTCAATGCTGTTTTCCCATAACTGAGTCGCTAATGGATTGATTGGACCATTGTTCAAGCCAATCACTACTACACCTTGATCCAAGTTTCCCCATTGTTTAACAGATGGCTCTGTTTCTATTTTTTGAATTAAACGATGTATATCCACAAAACTATGTGGGTCCTGAATAATAACATAATCGTACTCTTTTTTGCCCAACTGTACAAAGGTGAATAAAGAAAGAGAAAGAGAGATATGTAAGATGGTTTCTTACCCATTTAACAACCGTGTCTTGATTGAATGATTTCTCGGCTGGTAAAAGTGAAATATCATCAAATTCCATTTTTTCAGTCTCAAACAGTCTTCTTTCAGGTGTATCCGAGTGAGGTGTTCCCCCATACACCAAGAATTGGTACTTTACATGGTCCAGAGTAATAGGTTTCAGGTTGTCTTGAATGCCAAAATAATTAGCGCGTATTAGCTTTCTTCTTGACTCAAACTGAGCCTCCGTTCCTATCACGATGAGGTAGTTGTGCTTCACTTGCTGCTTGAACAGATCCCGAGAAAAACGATCTCGGCTTAAAAACTGAATATTTGTCAACAAGAATAAGAATAAGACACACAAGACACTAATGCCTAAACATTGCCGTCTATTTTTGATATCTATCATCTAATTTAATAAAAAATAAAAGACAGGTTTTATTAATTAGAATTCTAACGGATCTACTTTTCCGGGCGTAGAACCACAGCCAATCTTTTTTTTGCTAGCAAGTGAAGATAAACCAGTTTTAGTAGCGCCATTTGAACTCTCTTTCTTGGGTTCAGATGTTGATGGTGGTTCAGTGCGACGTGTGACAACACCTCCTTCAGGAGGCAGATGAAAAGTCTCAATAGCGAATCGTTTGCGACGAAGCTTAAAGCCTAAATCATTACTACCTCCTGCTGACAAGACACTTAGTTTAGTACTGGGAGGCAAGAGCGAGTTAAGCACAGGGAGTTTATGTACATGGAAGAAACCATGATAATTCTGTGTATAAGCAGCTTCGTTATGTACAGGATCACCTACACAGCCATTGTCAGCCATTGTGATTTCATTATCAAATAAATTACCTGCAAAGGATTCGATTTCAATGACAGCATCCACCATATGTTCAATACGCTTCATAACATTGGGCACTTCGTCATAAAGATAAGCAGGTATTGTCACAATTGCTGTACCAAATGAAAAACGAAGCAAACCTCGAAGTGCATGAAAGAATTTATATAGATCCTATATATACACACAGATGTCAATACATACTACATTATTTATCCTGCTTACATTAGGTGTCTTATATTGCCAACTAGGTGATGCTAATGAATGAATTGCTACTCTTAAAGCATGGCGAGGTGTACCTGGTGCAACGGGTATCGCAGAGCTAAAGTTGCCGTTCAATACAACTTGACGAATCTTATCCAACAAGATACTATAGTCATCATGATCGTCTTTTTCGTCCAATTCATGTGTCCATTGCATGATTTCTGTATGTGCCTCTTCCAAGATGTTGGCTGGTATGCGCTTTGTTAGATCAAATTGGCTACAATAAGGTTTAGGCTCTTGTGCATTATCTGTTTGCTTTTGATCTTTGGTGACAGAAGTGATAGGAGAAGCTAATCAACATGAGTAAGTTTTGGATATGTAAAAAAATGCTGTTCTTACGTTGTTTGGGTTTGACGCCTGTCTCAAATCGCTTTAAATGAGAATATCTCCAAGCAATTTTCATACGATCACTTTCTGCGTCTGTGCGAGCATTTTTTACTTTATCATCATCATCGTCGTCGTCACGGTCTGAGGTGGATAACCACATGAGTGTCTTGAGCATCTCTTCAGGATCTTCGTCTCGGGAAGCAATAGCACAATGATGGCCTGAACTAATGCCTTGTGCCATGAAATATTTGAGTAAAAGTTGTGCATAAGTTGTGGCGCGGTCTTCTTTAATAAGCATAATAGTGCCCACAGGTTGACCACCACCGAGAATATCGTCTAAAGAAGGAACACCGGTGGATATCAAGAGTTGACCATTATAAGCGCTTAGGCGAGAACCAGAAGGAAGTTTAGGTTGTTGGTCTGCGTTGCGTTTCTTAAAGCTCATACTACAAAAAGAGAAAAAAGAACAAAAGAAAAAAAAAAGAAAAATAGAGTCACATATTTATAGTTTAAACGGGCACATAAATTACACGAAGAATCTCTGCAATCACATCAGAAGGTATATTACAATCCATGTCCTCTTTCTCCATCTGATCATCGCGGGAGTTGACAGCTAGTACATGCAAGCGATGACCAAACACCTTTTCAGCAGCAATGGTTACTAAATCAGGCGTTAAAAAGTCTCTCTCAAACAGAGTAGCTAAAGATCTAACCAACAATGTTAAAGAAATGAATTAAAGAATATCAATAAGTTTACTTTGTTACGGCCACAAGGTCTTTGCTGCACCTTGCTGTTAAGCCTCCTTTGATTCTTGGGTGTGTTCGAATGCCTACTACAATATCTCGAATATAACGTGTAATGTCAATATTGACATGCACTTTACTTGCTTTATCAGCCAATGCTTTGATTTCCTATAATTTTCAGTTTACTATCGCCCTAGTGTACCATTACCTCTTGCTTTACAAGCGCAAATCTTCGAGAACTGGGTTGTCTAAGTAGAGTATTGTTTGAAGAAAGAAACATGTCTTGTTCGAAGTTATAACTAACAAAGAATCGATCCATCTTTTAACTGTTAATAAACTGTCTTTTTACCAGTATTTACCAATTGGGATGAAATAGATAACCGATTGTATCCTTGTGGAAGTACAGCAATCACTAAAAAGAAAGGTTTGGGCATATTATATTTGACATTCGATATTCTCAGCTCTTTAGTGATCATTAATTCCAATAGGAATGCTTGTGTGGTTGCATCACATAATTCCAGATTTTGCATTACAAGTATTTGAGCTATTCTGTTTGAATTGATAGAAGGAACATAGAGTCTTTCTTGCTCTGACCAACGATTCTTTTTGAATATTCTTTCTCTTTTCCTTAGATTAAAATCGACTGGACTAATAGGCGAAGTATAAATAACATTTTCGTTCTCCAGCAACTAAAGGCTAGTCAGACTTAAGATGTATGAATACAGCATTTTACCTTATGGCTATAGTATGATTTCTCAGAGTCAATTGTCTGAATAGAACGACTTGGCTGATGTGAAAACACAGAGGCCTCATTCTTGGGTTGCTTATCTTCAGCTTCTTCTTTTGAGTTGAACAAGGCCTCTACAATATCACTCTTAGTTAGTTTCTCACGGCATACCGTCTTGGCTACTGTAAACCCAAACAAATGACGACTTATCTATGCTTCATTGTGAGTAAAAGGGAATAGAAGCAGACTCGAGATTACCAAAGTTGCCATGTGGCTCACTTCTGTTAATCTTTCTGGAGGAGCAGTTAGTACCAAATGTTTATCTCTTTCAGACATAAGGCATAAGAGAATAGAGATGAACAAGTCTTGATTAAATGAGAATCCTGCTTGCTTTCTCAAGATGGCCATGCGAGTCTTGATCCATTCCTTGCGATCTTGTGACATGAGTAATAAAGAAGACTATATGCATAACAAAGAAAAAAATATTGCTGTTTAAGTTATCATATGATTGTCACACCAAACACACACGCTTTTTCTATTTACTTATGATGGACAGTGTTCTTTAACACTTTAGGGTTTGTTTGTCTCAAAAGTAACACAGAGATGTATTCAATATCCGAAAAACGGCTCCTTTTCTCTCTTTCTCTCTTTCTCTTTTTCTCATATCGATCATGTCTTACTGGCTTCACTTGCCTTCAGAATTATGGTACAAAATATTTCAACTTTTGCCTAGGCAGGATATTATGGAATGTCAACTCACTTGCCAACTGTGGCACAAAGTCTCCAAAAGGGCCGCGTATAACAAAATAACAGTCTATGAAGACCACCAAGTGCCTTTGTTAATAGACACATTTGCCAACTCATCTTTTGTACCTGGGCACTTTGTCAGGCACCTTGATTTGCCTTGTGAAGACAGTCAGAGATGGGATCTGGATTCCGTGCTTGTTCAAATTGCCAATCACTGCCCCTACGTTGAATCTATTACCTTATCGAAAACCTGTGCCTTATTTTATAACAGAATTGCACAAGAGCTCCAAAAAGGCAACTTATCGTACCTGGATAAACTTCAATTCCCTCAAGTGGACGGCAAAGAACTCGAGAGTTACACAAATGTCATAATGCTCATGCACGATAGACTCAAAAAAATCAAAATATCAGATTGTGTTTCCTCCTCCTTTTTTACAAAGACATACAGACCATTGACTGATAAGGTCAAGGATTTTAAGCAAGTGGAAAGACTTGTGTTAGAAAAGTTTAGAGAATGGTCTTTAAACGAACTCAATGCTCTTGTTGACTCATTAGAGGAATTAAAGTATCTTAGACTGATCCTACATCTATCATCGCCTTTGGATACATACAAAGATACAGTGCTGAAGCCAAAAACAAAAGTGCGTAAACTGTATATCAATCGAATCATAGGCTTGGAGAACGCATTTGTGTATATAATGAACAAGTTTCCTTGTCTAGAGCATCTCGAAATAGACAAAGCAAACCACGATAGGCCCATCCTTTTATCGATTACACGTCAATCCAACTTTGATCCTTCCATCATGAAGCAATTGATTTTTTATCTAAAAAACCTCAAGAGCTTCAGTATCAAAAAACTAGAGAATATGCTTGAATTTGCCTTCTTGCTCAGAAAGGAATTGACTGTAGGAAGACTGGGGATCAAATTGTTGTTTGATATAGAGCCAGACGATGTCAAGTTTTACCTCAACTTGTTTTACCACCGAGATTTGCCTAGTACGGATAGTACTATTCATTTACATATTTCAAACAAAAACAGGTCTATTGATCTTTCACCTATTCTTGAAGCATTTGGCCCGATCATTAATGAACTGACTATTCGGTATGGAGGAGAAGGCCCTGTAGACAAATGCGATATAGAAAACATATTAAATAACTGTCCTAAACTTCAGCAGTTAAATCTAAAAAATCTTCAGCTTATCGAATGCAACGCTGGAGGTGAATGTAATGAATCTCTTAAAATGCTGACACTTGTCAAATGTGTCTATACTCCTTCGGCATTGACAACATTATCTTATCGACTGCCTTATCTTCATCGTATGGAAATGATCAAATCGACATTAATTAATCAAGCAAATTCTCATACTCACTTATACATGCCTGGTACTACACTCAAGTTGTTTCAGTTAGAGAGAATAAGCCTTAGAAACATTGATACGTTTGTCTATTTGCATTTACGAACAAGAGATGCAGAAACACATTATAGACTAGATGGTTTAACTTCTACCTCGGTTACAGCAGAAGAATATCAGGCCTTTGTATCCAATGACCAAGTATTAACACTTGATATCAAGTGTAACAAGATTGAATGTTTAAACGTGATTGACTGGCAATTTTACATTGTATTTCATATTCAAGACTAAACAATTTCTTTTTATGGAAAAATTTATCGAAAATTTTTTAATTTCGTTTCCATATGGCGATCGTTGCTAATGATATCATTTGTCTATACACCAATCATATTAGAAGCAAAATAAAAAAAAAAGAGATATAAGCTTTTTTGTTTTATCTATATATCTTTTTTGTTTCTTTTATTTTTCACATATGAAGGAATTACCCCTTGAAATCATTGAATTGATTTCAACCAATACAACTGTACATGATTTGCTTGATATTATATTAGTATCCAAGGTTTGGTATCATTACTTTTACCGGTTTCTATACAAGTCAGTCTGTATAGACAGTCAAGAGAAAAGCCATCGAATTCTATCTGCTTTTGATAAGCAACATCTTCCTGGTCATCTTGTGCGGTCTTTGTCATTATCTCATGCTGAAATCAATGGTCAACAAGTCATTGATACTTTTCCTCATATTGACACACTTGTGGCTAGTGCCTTAAAACTAGACACTCTTCTATTTAGACACTATCAACTCAAGCACCTAGTGCTGGACACTAGAGAACAAGACATTCCTTGTATTTTAAAACATTGCCCAAGCCTCAAAAGACTCGAACTCTTACATTTTGATCAGCAAGTCACTATGAATTATTTGGAAACCATTCATCAGCACTGTCCTCAGCTGACTGAACTATCGCTTCAGTGCTTGGACGCTGATCCTCAACCGACCTCTTTGTTTGATGATATGCATGATACAAAGCTTGTGTCTTGTGGTCTTCAGTCTTTTTCAATCTGTACTAAATCAGGTGCTTCTAAATGGTCCTTTTGGCTCTTATATTTTGCATTTAAATACCCTTACTTGAAGCATTTGAGCTTTAAACAGCAAGGCAATTCAATTCCATCATTGGTATCTGATCCTGTCATTTTAGATCTGTTTACACAAAACTGTCGCCACTTGAAATCCATTGCATGGCATAGCATTGTTGTACGACATGATCAAGCAGCTAAATTGTACGGACCACAATTGACGCATATTCAAGTCTTTGAGAGCTTTGTGGGTTCACATTCAATTCTTCAGATACGCAAGATGGCCCAGTTAATCACATCGCTTACGATTGGTCAACTCAAGACAGCTGAGACCATTCAGTTGATTGGTACGCAGTGCCCTTCCTTATCACAGCTTGAAATTCAGCAAACCAAGGGGCGACTTGTTATTCAAGATTTGTTGGTCTATTGCAAGCGCTTGTTAGTATTGAAAATAAAGTGTACCCATATCACGGCCTCTTCTTTAGACATACCTGCTTATTCACCATTAAAGCAAGTAGTACTTCAAGCATGTTCTTTTGAACAAGGTGTATTTGAATCTATTTCTGGTTCCTGTCAAGCGCTTAAACATGTTGAACTTTTGGCTTGCTTTCAATCTGACAGAAGAGACAAAGTTGAACTGGTATTGAATCAGCAAAGGCTACACACGCTTAAAATCCAAGCACTTCGGACACGTCAATACTATCCGGGATGTCGTATCCGGTTTTTCTCGATCAACAAAGACTGGTTCTATATGGAGAAATTTGATGTTTCTCCTAAGGGCATAGAAAAAGCTGTTCAATTTGACAGGTTAGATGCACAAGAACAAGAAAAGCTACTGCCTTTTGTGACGACCAAGATGTTAAAGGCTTGGGATATTGAACACATTAAACAACAAGCATTGTTTAGCATGGAAGATCCCGAAAATGTCTACTATTCAGGGATTGTGTCTATACAATGCTTATCGATACAACATCTACTGATCAATGAACTTTTACTAGAACAATAAATATATCTATTTAGAATAATTCTTTGGTGACTGCTCCTCATGATGTCATGTAGAGTGCTTAGATTCGTTAGAAATGCAGCATGAATCTCCCTTTCTTCTCTTCCTTTTCTTTTTTTTTTTTTTTGTCTCTTATGATACCCTTTTTACCCTTTGAAATCATTCAACTCATTAACGATTATTTGCTGTTTGAAGATCGTTATCAACTTGTCTTTATCAATCATGCATTTTACCATATTTTTATTGTATTACTTTACAGACATATTGATCTTCATTCCTATCATCAATTTCAGCAACTAATGATTATGTTTAAATACCATCACTACATTCATCATTTGAGTATAGATATACCTCTCAATAGACAAGATTTAAGCAAGATACAAGCATTATGTCCTTTTGTTCAATCGATTCAACTCCACAGGTCTACGCAATATCAAGATATCATCATGTTCTACCAGTCCTTCGAAAGACTTTCTTTCCTTACATTAGACCTACCTAAAAGTATCTTGCCATTAGATATTATACGTTACACACCTCATTTAAAAAGTCTCACGCTCATGAGAATTCACCAATGGATTACATTTGAATTGATGGAATCTATCCATCAAAATTGTCCCTATTTAGAAAGTTTGTCACTTGAAGGTGATAATGCACAAGCACTGTCTACGCATTCACTCATTCAACCTGCCTATCGACTCAAATCATTTGAACTCAATGTCGAGTTTGGTGCAGATCGATATCACGACTGGCTTATTTATTTAGGCCAAAAATACCCTCGCTTGATCTCTTGTAGATTCAGGCATTCAGGGCGCAACAAGGACATGATTGAACCGTGTCCAACCGAACTGTATGCGTGGTTTATAGCATGCTGCCCATTTCTCGTCGATCTCCAATGGCACAATATCATACCTGACTTTCGCTTTTTTCGACAGCTTCACCAGCGTCAATTAAAAAGGCTTGTTGTATACGACAACAGCATGATGTTGCCTACTTTTCTAACCAGCGCACTGTTTGATCATCCATGTCTATCTAGTCTGACTCACCTGACACTAGCCATGCCTCGGTCTGCTTCACCTAATGAATTTATTCAGTCGATTGCAAGGACTTGTCCAAGGCTCAAGCATTTAGGATTACGTGAAACGTATTGTGACTTGTCAGCACCATTCAAGATGGATAACATTTTGGACCATTGTCAGCATTTGGTCTCACTTGAACTGCATCGTATTGCACTACGTGTTTTAGCCACTCAAAAGCCTCGTCCTCACCCTCTAGAGCGACTTGAAATGAACCAATGTTGCTTATTCGATGGCGTCTTTGACCATATAGCTCTTCGATGCTTTGACCTCAAGTATCTCCAATTGTTTGCATTAACACAAAAAGATCGTCGGTATAAAGTACGCATCCACTTACCATTTCAAAAGCTACACAAAGCAGAAATAGCTGGTTTACGCACAGAGACATTTGACATAGAAAGGCGTATTCGTTTCTTTTCTATTCAACATCATTGGTTCTACATGAGTCAATTTGATGTACCTAATGACAAGATAGAAGTAGCACAAGCTTTTGAACAAGTCGATATCTCTAAGTCACAGTTTTTGTCGTCTTTATGGACAACAAGTCAACGAAAAAATTGTATTCAAGATTGGGATACATATGATGCAGGACATGTTGACTTTCAATGTCAGTCAATTCAATACCTTTATTTGAATAAAAAAAGAGTCTTGTAGTTACATTGTCTATAAACATATACAAATCAAACGTACTATGTATGACTCAACTTAAGAATAGGTAATTTTTCCACAAGTCATTATACATTCGTTCGTACATTGATGATGTTTTCTACAACAAAAAAAAAAAAAAATAGTAATAAAATAACAGTCCCTTTGGTATTCTATAGCGTAATCCTTTAGATTTTTTTTCTTCTTCTGTACATAATGTCTACACGTATTGACCTCGGCGACGTGACCAAGAATAACTTGGGCCAAGTCAGAGTACTTCATAAAACCTTGTTTCCGGTTCAATACGGCGAGAACTTTTATAATGAGTTATTGGAAGCTGGTGAATTCGCAAAACTAGGTACTCTAAAAAAAAACAGGGACCTTTGTCACTCATACTTTCTATTCTTTTGTGTGATAGCTTATTATAACGACGTTTGTGTCGGTACAGTCTGCTGTCGTAGAGAAGTAGACGAAAGCAACTCTGACAAATTCAAGATCTACATGATGACACTAGGTGTTTTGGAACCTTACCGTCACCTTGGCATAGGTAAACATCCAGAAACCGTATCCATGCATTAAATCATTGTAGGTTCTGCATTGGTCAAGCATGTTATAGAACAAGCCAAACTTGCTGGAGATATCAGTCAAATTTACTTGCATGTTCAAACGAGCAACACAGCTGCTGCTGACTTCTACAAAAAGAATGAATTCCAAGTCATTAGCACTGAAAAGGATTATTACAAGAACATTGAACCAAGAGACGCTTATCTTTTAGCTACTGTACTTTAGAAAATAAATAAATATATATATTTGTATTTTATTTAAAAGCTAAAAGGACACCACCATTGGCAGTGCTTAGGTCAATACGGTTCTCTGTGTTTGCATCATCTCCATAATAACCAGAGGTAGAACCCCATTTTTTGCTGGTATAATGAACTTTGCTTGTCTCGGCCCTGATGCGCATTGATCCAAGCATAGTTGAAAGTTTGAACTGGCTTTGGAAATCAGTAGGCTATACATAAAATCAGTAACGAGAAAAAAAAAAAAAGATTCATATCACTTTACCAAACTAAGGGAAACGCGACCATTACTAGCACTGTTCTTAATCAAAATAGGATGGTCTTGTTGAATTTGATCGACATCAACATCCGAATGACCATTTGAAAGGGACAAAATAAGATTGTCATTGAATAAAGTGTTAATACGTCCAGTAATATCACCATTCGATGCTGAAATTCTTGTTTTACCAGTGCTAATACCTTCTTTGAAATGAATGTCACCATTAGCAACTTCAATGTCAACTGCTTTAAAGACCAAGTCTTTTTTCAGGTGAATATCATGGTTATCCAGAGCAATTACAAATTCTTTGATTGCATCTTTAGTCGGCACACGAACAGTAATATCAGTATAGAAACATGCATCTTTAATCTCGGATTTTGCCTATCTCTAGAGTATGAGAAAAGAGGAAGAAGATGATGCAATTCACCAGCACTTACACGCATCACAAGTGAATAGAGATCCTGTTCTTCAAAAGATTCGACCCAGACAGTATCTTCCAATTCTTTTGAAGTCATTGAGAAATCAAAACTGACAAGTACTTGTTCAATTTGATCATCAACAACAACAGTAGCATCACCACTCTATTATACGCAATTAATACACTGATTTATATGCTTGTCTTGCTAAATTACTCTGCATTCAAAGCCTTCGGTTTTTTGTTTGATGGAAAGACGAGGAAATAGGCTTGGATCATATTTGAATTCCAATAGCTTATGATAGTGATAGACAGGACCGACAACATGATTGGTTGTGATTTCAGATGTGTGATCCAAACAAGAGAGGCGAAGCATAGTAAGGATCAAATAGACCGCAGTACCGTAAATAAAAGCCTTAGTCAAATGTGTCTTTACAAATTCTTTGTATGTAGAGTGAGTTTGGTTGACAGTAGGGAGCAAAGGTTGTTTTTCCATTTTCTTTACAAAGACAAATAAAAAGGAAACTTTATAGGGTGCTTATATAGTAAAGACTTGTGCCACTTGAAGTCTTTGTAGAACCTTGGCATAGCCAAGTACCAGAGCCAAGCACACTCAGAAGCCAAGCTTGCCAGGAATATACAAGCCACTTTTCTCCTTTCATTCTGTTGAGGTCATTTGACTCTATAGATTTCAATATGAGCCAATACAAGGTAAATTCCCAAATTAAGTATTTATTTTATGCAGAATGAAGTCAGAAGGAGGCTGTTTACTTGTTTGAAACATTTTTCTTCTATAAAACTATGGCGCCTTTTTCTTCTCTCTCTCTATTTTTCTACTTTTCTTTATAAAATGAAGTTGGATGAAAAATACACTGTTGAAGAACAAATAAAACGACAACAAACCACAAGTAAGCGCTGGAAATGGGTGCGTCGCTTTACTCTTTTCACTTTCTTGGTTGGTTTATCTATCCACACGCTTTATCCTGTTGTTCAACAAGACAATGTGTTTATAACAATACAAGAAACAAAAGCTCGTGTCATTTTGCATACTGGCTTCCCTCCTGTTGAACATATTTCTGGCTTATCTATTCAGCCCGGTAAAGCTGCAGCAACGGCATTCTCACCCAATCCTACCAACTTTAAAGAAATCGGTATGGACCGCAGTTATCATCGAACAGGCGAAAGTTGGTGGGACCGTCTTTTCCCTAACCGTCATGTTCATCTTGTCAGTGTTCAGATTCCAGTCTCTAGTCCAACCCAACATAACCGTATTGAAGGCACATTATCTATCTGTGCCTCAAAGCGCCATGGTATGTTTGGTAATATTCAAGTGCCTGATTTGAACAAGTGTGTTCAAACAGTATCAGTCAATAACCATCAAGATGAAGTAACTGAAGATGATCTTTTCGGTGTACTCGAATGGGTTCCTGAAGAAGAAGTTGTTGTATTGAAGAAGTCTAAATTGTATTGGCTTGTTGTTCAATCAGACAAAGAGGCCTTTGACTGGGTCTATGCTGAAGGTGGGTCCAATCAGTATGGCACTGCTTATGAGACTGAAGCTGGTTGGGAATTGAAGCTAGAAGGTGAACCTGTTCCAAGTGCCATGATTATGGTAAAAGATCATTCAAAATAAATAAAGATTCGGATTCGGTCGATTGATTTTGCCGATATTTTAATCAGAATTCCTGTGTAACAAAATTATATTGGATTACATTATATCATCTATATTTTTTTTTTCTATCGTTCGGCACTAGTTGCGGACGCTTCCTATTGGAAAGAAACGGACGCAGAGACAGCAAGCGAAAAAAGAATAAGAAGAAGAAAATTTTTTTTTATGTACGACATCACGCTTAGACCTAGAATGATAAATCATTTGTCCTTTACTATTTCACATGCTGTTTCACAGTGGGTTCATTCTCCCCCTTCAGTATATCAAACCAAGAAATATCTTCTAAAAAAGGACTGCTTGCGTAAACATGTTTAAAAATAATAATCTCTGATAAGAACGGCTTTATCAATTGATCATTTTTTATCACCCAACTTCATCAAAGATGAGGATTTTTTCATTCTTCCAATACAAAAGTATGACAAACATATTGAGTAAACGGACTTTAAATCATCATTGTCTCTCTTTCTGTTTGTTGTGTATTAAGCACAACTTTTTTCCTCTTTCCGTATCATGGCAAACAGCCGTTTTACAAGTAAAAATCGCGTTCATCGAAACATTGTAAAGTGAATTCTTTTTGTTTAGCTTTTAGAGATCTGGTCAATAACCTCCATCAGCACGTCCCAGTCCATATTCCTTCACCTCTAGAACAACCACGTCGTGCTGCTGTTGTTGCCATTTTAAGATGGCATTGTTCCAGAGCACAACCTAGCCAGAAAGTACCAACATCTATTCAAGCATTCTTTGATCAAAATTGGGTGAAAGAAGACAAAGAAGGATATGCAGAAATCTTGTTTATGCAAAGAACGGCACGCGCTGGTGATAGGTAAAACAAAAAAAAAAGAACAGTCTCTAAACATCAAAAGATGGTCAGGACATGTTGCTTTTGTTGGAGGCAAAAATGAACAAGGAGAAAGTGACCGAGATACAGCTAAAAGAGAAGTACTTGAAGAGATCGGTATTGATTTAAATGATACGTCTGTCTTTTTACCTGTTGGAAAACTAAATGAAAGAGAAATTTCTTCTATCAAAGATGATAAACTTTTGATGATCTTGGTTCCATTTGGTAAGATAAAGAGTCCTGATTGTCTTTTTTTTTAACCCCAAGAAAGTTTATCTACAAATCGTGCCTGAATCACCCAGTTTCCAGCTACAAGCTTCTGAGGTTGCAGCTGTACAATGTAAGGATACCTTGTGACACCACATGTGGTTGACTAACATGATAAAAAAATTAAGGGGTTCCACTTGAATTTTTTCTGTCTAGAGAACCTTATGCAAGTCAAGTCATTCGAGAGCCATTGTCCGTTGTTCATGTTGCAAATCCATATTTACGTTTTTTTGTACGTGCTATGATGGGATCCGTCTGTTTTCCAGCGATCGATTTACCCGCTACCGATAGAACATTCCGTTTATGGGGTTTGACCATGGGTATGACAAGCGACTTGATTCAATTTACCCAAAGAAATCACTTGGCATTTGTAAATCTGACACGGAGTGAACCTGTATTTACTAGACCTGATATTGGATTTTTAACTCACTGGATAACGCGTATTGTGTCTTATGTTAAACATAAGCGGTTTTTGGATCCCTTAACAATGAACATGTTGGACAGGTAACAGAAAAGAAAGCGAAGAACAATCATTGTGTATTGACATCGAGAAACAGAATAGAGTGGGACAAAGTTTATTTCTCATCCATTAGAAGAGCGGTCATGGTGGCAGTTTTATTAAGATTAGGTTTTACAAGTATGGTTATGTCTTTTTATATTAAGAGATGGATTAAGAAGCGATAATAAAATATTGGTATTAGTAGAGTATTAGTATCAGTAAGGTAGTAAGAAGTAGTACAATGGAAAAATATACAACGAGCGAAACGCAAGAAAGATACAGAAAGATATAAACAGAAACCATGTCGTATAGAGTCTAATATACGATTATGGTTTGTTGAATTGCAAGCGAGGACTGCCTGATGAAGGCGTATGAGGAGTGATGGGTGAAGTGGGTTCAGAAGTAGAAGACCAATAGCCAGGAGATAAAGCAGGTAATGCTACTACTTCTTCTTCTGTCTTGTAAGTTGTAAATAATTCAGCGGTGGCAACCCTTAAAGGTTCAGGTCGGATGGCTCTTACGACATTCTTTTCTTCTTCGTCTGATGTCATTGGAAGCTTGTAGTAATCGCGAGGATCGTGTTCAATGCTGTAAAGAAAAGATCGAATGCTCAGTTTGGACACACCAAGATAGTCCATACGTGTATGATAGTCTGGATTAACTTTAGGCAAAAAGTTTTGTGCGACTGCAAAAGCGAGGATAGCATAAATAGAGCCCCGACAAGATCAATCATGTAATGATGCGTAAGATACATAGTGGAGAACCACATCCACATGACGTAAAAGATAGCAACAGGTTTCATGCGAGGAAACAAGTAGGCAAAAAAGAGCATTTCAATGGTAGCACAGCCAGAATGAAGTGAAGGAAAAGCACCAAACACAAGAGGAGAAGTGCCAAAAGTGGAACCATAGAGGTCTAACCCTAGAATTTCATCAATACGTAGTAATCCGCCTGCCTCACCAGGAATGGAATAGTCAGCAGGAGCTGAGCCGTAAATTATTTCATACCCTGTTTTTTTTTTTAGTTATTATTTGCTTTAACACACAATTATAAATATTTATGTTTGTACTTACATGGAGATGCATTAGGAAACAGTAATTGAGTCAAAACACCAGCAAGGTTCATAAAACCAAATGCTTTGCCGAAAATCTTGAGACAACCCGGAGGACCATAGACAAACAACAATAAAGAGAGAATAAAAGGAAATGAAAAGTGAATGACACCATAAGGAAGCCAGGCCAAGACATCAAGTACAGGATGAGTATGTTGAGAAATGATCTCTGAAAGGTTGGCACCATAAAGGATACGTTCAAGTGTAGGCAAAAGGTTGACAAAGATATGATCGGGTCGATAATCGAGAGGAATGAATTGACAGGCATAAAATGTGGTGAGCCAAGTGAAAATGGGTAAAGCGGGTACAGTAAAACGTTTGATGTATGGAATAAAGAATGAGGTTATCAAAAGACCTGCTAAAATGAATCGAGGAATCAACGTCGGTAATTGTATGATTGAAAAGTCAACAAAAAAGACTAGAGCGATAAACACATATTGAAGGTCATACATTGACCATTGTCTTTTCAATGCTGCTAACATATTTATTTTAATTTAATCAGAAAATTATAAAAAAAAAAGAGAGGAGAAAGAAAACAAATGGACTGGTATTTATATCATGATAGAAAAAAAAAAAAAGTCTCGTGTGACAATACATTTCCATAAGTTTTACCATCTACCTATGACATGAGTCATTTTTCAATGACAGCATAAATTTTTTTTTTTTTTATTCATCACGTTTTTTATTTGTCTGTAAAGCAGAAGAACGATTTACCCGAGTATTCGGCTGTTCAATGACTCTTGTCGTACAAGTTTATGTTTGCCCGGTTATTCTTTTTTTTTTTGTATACAGTAAGACATCTACATTCCATAAACGTATAATTTCGGCCCTCAAGCAAAACTCTTTCTAACCAAGAAGCGGAGCTCTATAATTATTGGCCAAAACCTTGGTAAAAGTCATACAAGAAAATTAAAAATAAACACATTTAAAAAAAAAAAAAAAAAAATTAAAAATCAGAATTTTAAATTCTATTTAACACTGATAATTACAGCGAATAAAAACAAAAGGAAGAATTTAAAAAAAGGAGGAAAAAACACTGTTTGAATTTCTTATTATCCACTATTGAGAAGATTATCTCACTTCACTAGTGAAAATAGTTACTTTTACTCATTTCTGACTGAATCTAGCTGACATTAGTGGTCACTAAGAGACATTGAAACATAGAAATAATGTTAGGCACATCATATCTTAGGATAGTATGCGGTTTTCGAATCGAAAGCCAAGGAAAAAATCGCCCGTAACTTATGAATAAACGTACACCAAGTGTTGAATTTGGGTGGATTTATACATGATGCATGGAAAGTGGTATAGGCTGTCTCCGTGTTGTCCCAACACTCACGAGGTTTTCGCAGTTGCAAGTCTGAATCTACAACTTTTGTATACAACCATCAGCCAAATATTTTAGTGACTCATGTAATTAGAACCTTGTCTACTAAGAGTTTCTTGGAAACATACAAAGCTTAAATCAAAGCCCTAAGAAGATTTCGTATGGAATAACACCTCGTTAAATGAGCAAATAAAGCACAAAAAAGGGGGATCAAAATGTTCGTTATTAGAACATGAAGATGTGGCACCCAAGTTGGTTTATAGAGTCTTCTGTTGTTAAGACATTCCATTTAATTGTATATTGATAACCAACATAAAGAATAAGCCTGTTTTATATATTTTCCATGAGGCAAACAACATTGAATGGCTTGCGTACATGTTTACAGAATAAACAGTGTTACTATTTGAAAACCTAGATAGCTGTCACTGAAGTAGACTTTTGGAAAAAAAGACAGACACAGTAAAAATATCTATTGGATATGGCTTGCCCATAGATCCCAGAGAAAAGACCTTTGGAGAAAATAAGGCACGTATTTTTGCCTTCAAGGGCCATATGACTGATAAGACGGATCGATGTGGAGCTTCAATGGAGGTATTATGGAGAAAACTAAAGGAGGTATAAATGAAATTGTTTTAATGTTGAAAGTGACGAACAATCGATGAAAAATCGATCAAGGTAGAAGGCCTGATGAATTGCATGCAAAGATAGCGTTTGATGTCCGATGTTTGATTGAAGTATTTTCAAGATTGCTTGGTTCACTTGAATCTTGCATGAACGTATGCCTAGGCCGAATTTACGGTTTTCATAATAAAAGAAGCGTGCACACAAATGAAATTGTAGGCTCCGAGCTGAATGTATCTTTCTTGTAGAAGAAAAGTGTGTGGCTAAATTGAGCTTGTAAATACACAGTAATCTGCATTGATCCACAACATGTTTAATACATATGCGAAAGGCCACCTTTCATATGCCACGCATCATAAAGTGTAAGGGAATTTGCCGACTATTTGGCTGTTTATATGTATATATAAGCAAGTATTCCTTTTCTTTGATTCAAGGAAGATCAAGAGTGTTTTTAATAGGACGATTCATTTAAATGGGCAGCTTGGTGCTACATTACTTAGTCAGGCAACAGAACAATAGGCATGCAAATGCTTTGGCAGCGAAAAAAGAGAATAAGTCATGCATACCTTCTTTTTTTTTTAAACATATAGAGGTAACATAAAGCCTGTCTGTACATGCATAAGCGCTTTAGATGCCTGTAAACAATATTCAATAACACTCAAGGTACCTTTGGAGTTGATTTGGACAAAAAAAAAACGACTTGTAAAAAATGGCCAAGATGGCCAAAATGACCTTATGACCTTATGTCCAAAAAATTCTTGTTTTTTTTATCTTCACGGACCTCCGTGGATCCCCAGGAACAAAAACATAAATTTCACAAAACAGCCAAACCAATGGTACCATTCAATTGCTGAACTCCAAAGAACATGTTTTAAACAAAAAACAGACTGTTTTGATAGTCTGTTTGTCGAGAAATGATCCGTCAAAGAATGGTGCATTTAAGCTGTGTTTTGAGCATTTTTGCTCTCGATGACATATAGAACCTGTGAGCAACGAGCTTATAGAAGATGTCATATGTTATTTTGAGTACCGAGAAACATAGAAAAATAGAAATATAGGCACTTTGTGACGAAAATGTGGGCTAAATGAACAAAAGACATACTGATTGACTGTGATGCGAGGTTTAAAATAGAAAAACTCTAGTTCTTCATCCCGCCGCCTTTGAAATCAAGCCTTTGCTGATAACTGCATAAAGACGCAGTTATTGGACTTTGGTTTAGTGACAAAAGCTGTAGTTCTTTACTTTCTAAGCCCATCAATACTAATGACATGGCAGCTTTGCTACTAAAATGTTGAGCAAATATGCGAAAATGTTTTTAAGGTCTTTTGCTCTTGTCATATCATTTTTATAGCATAATTGGCAGGTAAACATTTTGACCAAAGGCTAAAGCTTTTTGCGCTCATTTTGAGTATTAAAGCTTGTTGATAGCTTTATTTTTCGTCTTGCAGCGTCAAAAAGAAGTTTTTTTTTTTTTTTTTTTTTTTTTTTTTTTTTTTTTTTTTTTTTTTTTTTTTAAACGTGTTTATTGATTGAGCCGCGTACACTAAGAGTAATAGTCAAAGTGAAGAGGCGGGTGCAATCAAAATGAAAGCCAATAAAATAAGACGAAATATACTAAACAAAATAAACTAAAATAAAATAAAATAGATAGAAAGAGAAAAAAAGTTACATGATTGAATGGCATTGATCCTCTTCAATGGTCTGATGAACATTAAATCGGATGCTTGCTAATATGGCCGTGGGTACAATGGGGGTCTTGTCAGAAATAAATCTCATATGAGCAAGCCAAATTTGTGAAAGAGTCATTATGAGGATTCGGTATGGTTTGATTCCTTTCCATTGGCAGTACCAGATGTACGAGAAGTCCAGGGACGGAAGGGCCTCTTTGATATCAGATATTGAGGTGGTAGGCCAAAGAAACTCAAAGATAATTTCCTGTCATACCTTCTCTTTAGTTGGACAATGAAAGAGCATATGGCTAATAGAGTCAGTGGTAGTTAAGCACACCGGACAGAAGGGAGAGTCAAACACACGAGGCATAATAAAATGTAAGAATCGACGATGAGGAATATACCCCAAGATATACCGATATGCCACATTACGTTGAATAGAAGTAAGAGACAGAGACCAAAAGAATTTCCATTTCACTTCTGTAATATTTCTCAAAGCCAAAGGAGGAGCCATAGACGAGAGAACTGACTGACGAAATGGCTTAGCCGATGCCTTGACACTACCAATACCTTGATTATCTTGAAACCGAAATTGGTTGATCAAAGGCGCAAATGAGACCGTCGAGTCTTCAAATGGAGCAGGACTACATACAGAGCTAAAAAATGGCTGAAGTCTCAAACTCCCAGATGCAAGACCTTTGAAGACTGTGGAGGGAGTACGCTTCCAATGAAGTAATGAAAGATCACGAGTATCTTTCCAGTGAACAAAGTTGAGTCTAGCATCAACTTGAAAGAAATCTGGCACCATCATTTTCTTGACACCTAGGGGGACAACGAAGGACGAAGAAGGAGGAATGTAAAGCACAGCTTGCAAAGGTAGGACCATAGCGGTAGCAGTATTAAGGCGAGCATTAGCAAATAATCGAGGAAGACAATCAATGGCACGATATAGCATATTAATAGTGCCAGTTCTTTGTTTTTTCAGTCCTTGTGTACGAGAAGAAGGAAACAACAATGGAACCTGATGATATTTGCAGTCATTGATATTACGAATATGAAGGCTAAGTAAGTACGAGACCGGATGAGCATCAATAAAAAAGAAGATCAAGTGTTGTCAAGTCGAGCTTTTTTCATGAGTAATACCCTTTGGACATAAGGTCATAAGGTCATTTTGGCCATCTTGGCCATTTTTTACAAGTCGTTTTTTTTTTGTCCAAATCAACTCCAAAGGTACCTTGAGTGTTATTGAATATTGTTTACAGGCATCTAAAGCGCTTATGCATGTACAGACAGGCTTTATGTTACCTCTATATGTTTAAAAAAAAAAAGAAGGTATGCATGACTTATTCTCTTTTTTCGCTGCCAAAGCATTTGCATGCCTATTGTTCTGTTGCCTGACTAAGTAATGTAGCACCAAGCTGCCCATTTAAATGAATCGTCCTATTAAAAACACTCTTGATCTTCCTTGAATCAAAGAAAAGGAATACTTGCTTATATATACATATAAACAGCCAAATAGTCGGCAAATTCCCTTACACTTTATGATGCGTGGCATATGAAAGGTGGCCTTTCGCATATGTATTAAACATGTTGTGGATCAATGCAGATTACTGTGTATTTACAAGCTCAATTTAGCCACACACTTTTCTTCTACAAGAAAGATACATTCAGCTCGAAGCCTACAATTTCATTTGTATTATTTAATATTCTTTTGAGGAACAGAAAAGAAAAAAGTCTCAATAATCAGTTTGCATTTATACACTTATTTTAGAACATTTCTTTTTTGTTGCTCCATGTTTTTGGGACCATCTATTTGCTCGATATTTTTTCTTGAATGATTATATCTGTTGAGATTTGCACATTTTCCATGATTTGCAGTTTTGTTTTCGATATTTAAATTTTTTTTCTCCTACATCTGATAAATTATTTTCTTTGGGTTTTTCATCAGTTGGTCTGCCATAATTCTTATTCATTGTATTACACTCAAGTTTTTCTTTGTCTATTCTCGGTAATTCTATGCATTCATTTACACTATTCAGAAAGCCTGGTGCTTGCGCTTCTATTTTTTTCCTTTGTGCTGCCTCCTTTCGTCACACCTAAATTTCATCAAAGATAATAATTCATTATTTGATAGGCTGGCTGGAGTATACTTGAGCTATACTATATTTCAAATACCCGACAGAAAAGGCAAAGATCGAATTAAATTTCAAGTTCATATGTTTAAAGTCAGTTGATATCATCCGATAACCCGCGAATCTATTCAAAGATTAGTAAAACAAGATTAGCCATGACCAGATTTTTTTTTTGTTATGCTACTGCCTAGGGGTTTTTTCATCCAAATAGTAAAAAGTTGAAAGGAAGAGTAAAAGAAAGATTGGATTTTGAGATATAAAGCTTCCTAGATCTCATGAAAGGATCTGATAAAGATAAATCATACCAAAAGAATTAGTGGAACAATACGCAACTTGTGGCTTACATGTTGAACCATTAAATGATTAATCCTGAAGAAATAATTGGATACTGAGTACATATCTCTTTATCAGATCCATCGGAATCTGATAATTTTTTTTTTTCACATCCCCCTTGAAAGAAATAAATAGAAAAGATCTGATAAATCTTTTTATTTCATTTTTTGTCTTTATTTTTTTGCATCTATATCATGGCTTCCCGTACACTCTTCTCGAACACTTGCTTTAAATCATCTCTTATCAAGCAAGCAACGAAAAAGAACTTACTTAATAATAACAAGACTACCATCTTTCCTGGCGCTCAAGCTTCTCGCCAAGCAACAACTACAACAGGCTTAGTAGATAATTCAACAAAGTATGGTAGAGTCTCTTATGTCACACCTTTTAAATATACCCAAGTTCGAGATGAGGTTCATCTCGTCAAGTTTACTTCTGTGGAGGGAAAAAGACTTTTTCGCAATGCTATGGTACAAGGTCGAGCCGAAAGTTTCTTCAAGCTTATGGGTAATTTTTCCACGCAATCTAGCCCGACTCAAGGAGGCGTAAGTTCATGTAAGTTGTTTCTGAATCAGATATAGGAGAAAATATTTATGTTTTATTAGTGGCTATGGTTTTAAATGCACTTGAAATTGACCCCAAGAAAATCTGGAAAGGAAACTGGCGTTGGTTTTCTTGTAAGTAGTAACACGTGTTCTCTTGACAAATAAAACTAACACCTTCTAGCCGAGCAAATGCAAACCTGTTCACCAGCTGAGTCTATACAAGAACGAGGTATTCCTTTTGATGAGTTTACTTGTCTAGCACAAGCTTATTGTCAAGTCCAATCACGCCGTGGAGCGAGCTACAAGCAATTCTTATCAGATCTTGAATCTGTAACATCAGATAGCAATAGCCAAATGGTGGTTCATTACTCTAGATTTGCTTTAGGCCAACAGGACCTCCTTGCTCATTTTAGTCCTATCGGTGGTTACAACAAGTCAGAAGACCAAGTGCTTATCATGGACGTTGCCCGTGGTAAATACCCAAGCGTTTGGGTGAATACAAAAGCCCTTTATAGAGCTATGATGGCTCCTAGTCATGAAGAAGCAGGTCGTAGTCGTGGCTATTTTGTCTTGAGTCGTCACGAACAAAATTCTAAGCCTGACGTAGCGTTTACAAACAAGTTAAAATGTAAAGACTGTTCTCGTAAATGTCATGCCAACGCTTAAATATTCGTATATTCATCATCGTAACCCCTAACTCATTCTGCATCTTGTATTATATATGTAAATTTCTTGTCAATAAATCATCTCATCTTTTTATCTTTGTCAACACAAATATTTATATGCATATTTTTTTTATTCAAAGTAGATACAAGAACCACAGTACATTAAAAAAGAAAAAGAAAAAAGATATTAATACAATACAAGAGATACAAAAGATGCTCCTCATTTTCCTTTCTCTCTTTTAAGGGATATATATAGAGAGAGAAAAAGATTGCTAATTTAGAGCTTGTTTACAGAAAGATTGACATTTTGACGAGGCCATTGATAGTCAATCTTGGTGTCACGGTGATAACCATATCTTTGAACAAATTCATCCAATTCCTTGGGACCACGAGAACCATAAGCATATTGTTTAATTTGAACATCACTATCGTGGTCATCA